TTATTACTTCTTTTTTTTAATTAATATAATTATTTAACTTAAAAATAATAAATTACTAGCTTTTATTACTTTAAATCTATATATATTATTATATTTATTTATTTATAGCTAAGCTTTCTTCTTACCTTTTTCTCTTTTTTTTTCTTACCTTTATATAATTATTAATTAAATATTAAAAGTAAGCTATTAATTAATTATTTTAATATAAATATACTTTTAATATATTAATTTTTTTCCTTATTTAATTTTTATTTAAGAATAAATAATAATTATTTATAAAAGCTACCTTAAGTTATAACTAAATATTAATTATATTTCTTTCTTATTTTTAATTTTCTTTACCTTAATTACTTATTTAATAATTTTTAAAAATATAAAGCTTTTTTTATTATTATACTTCCCTTCTTTATTACTTAATTTTTATTACTTACTTTTTACTTTACTACCTATTTCCTTTACTTTCCTTTTTTATAATTAAAAACTAAAATATCTTTTAATTAAAAAAGCAAAGTAAAAAAGTAATCTTAATTATTTTTATATTATAAAATACTTTAAAACCTTAACGCTTTAATTTTAATAATTAAACTTATTATTTTAAAAGAAAATAATTTTACATTAATAATTATAAAATTTCCTTATTTTAATAACTTTAAAAACTTACTTAATAAAATATTATAATTTTTAAATATTATAAATATATAAAATTAATAAAACTTTACTTAAAAAGTAAATATTAATTTTTTTAAAAATTCTTTTAAAATAAAAATTATTATAAATAAGATTTACTTAAATAATATTTAATAAACTTAAATCCTTAATTATTTATTATTTTTTAATATAAAATAAATAGCATTTAATAATAAGCTTATAAAGATAATATAAAAATATTTCTTAAGCATTAATTTTTATCTTAAGTTAAAAAAATTAATTAAGTTAATAAACTTAATAAAATAATATTAAGCCTTCCTTACCTTTAATTTTTTTAATATAAAAAAAATACTTTATAAATATAAAAAATTAAAAACTTAGTATATTATAACCCTTATAACTTAATAACTTTTTAACTTTTAAAATATTATATTTTTACTTAAAGAATCTTTATATTATAATTATACCTTATTTATAAAATATTAATAATATAAATTAATAAAGAATTATAAATTTATTATTATACTTATTTATATATTTAATTATTAAATAATAATAATTTTTAATAAAATTAATAACTATTGCTTATTATAAAATAATCTTATATTAAGAAATAAAAATAATAAAATAAATAAAAATGCTAAAGTACTTATTTATAAATATTTAATAGCTACCTTAAAAAATAAAATATAAGATTTTAATAAAGAGTTTATACTTAAATTAAAATAAATTAATAAAATATTTTATAAGTAATATATTATTAAGTTTATTAAAAATTATTTTAAGGAAAATTAAAGAAAAAATAATTAAAAGATATAAAATTAAGCTAAAGTTACTTTAATTAAAACTATATACCTTAAAATACTTAAAGCTATTATTAATATTATTACTTAAATATTTATTATTTAATTAAAGCTTAATAAAATTAATAAAGCTATTTAAATACTTATATTAATTCCCCTTATTAAAATTAATAATATAAAAGTAATTAAAATAAGAAATAAGCTTTTATTATAAAGGGAAATTATTTAATAATAATTATTTAAATTATAATATATTAAAATTATTATTAATTAAAAAAAGGTATAAAGGAAATAATACTTTTAATATAAATTAATTTAATAACTTAATTTTAAATATTTAATATATAATAAGGTATAAACTTTTATATAGCTTAAAATTAATTAAATATAATTTTAATTAAATAAGCTTTTAATTTAAGTATTATATTATAAAATATTTTAAAATTAATAAAAAATATTTATTTTAATATATATAAGAATCTTTCTTACTTACTTTTCTTAATAATAAATATAAATAAAATTTAAAGTATGTTAATTAATTTTAAGTAATTAAAATAATAATAAAGTTTACTTAAAAATAATTTAAAAGGCTTATAAATAAGCTAATTAAATAATTAAATATAAAGCATAAAACTTAAAAATAAAAGCTTTATAAAAAGCAAAAATAAAAGTTAATAAAATTAATATATTATACTTAATATAATAATTAAAAAAAAGAATAAATTTATTTTTTATTTTATAAAAATATTTAAATCTTTAATAATTATATTAATATTAATTATTAAATTAAACTTTAATAGCTAGGAAAATATAATTAATAAATATATTACTAAGCAAGTCTTAAAAATATTTAAAGCTTTTATAAAAAAGCAAAAGTTATAATAAAATAAATAAGCAAGAAATTAAAGATAGTAATAATAATTAAAATTATAATAAAGTAAATTTTAAAACTTAAAAGCTTAATTAAAAATAATAAGGTTTTATTTTAATAATTTTTATAATATTTATTATAAAATACTTAAAAAAAGGTATATTAATAAAAATAAGGAAATATATAAGAAATAATATTATATTAAATTCCAGCTAATTATAAAAAGCTAGCTTTTATATTTATTTTAAATATTCTTAAAAAAATTAACTCTTTTATTTTTTTATATATTTAATGCTTTAATTAAGCTTTTCTTATTTTTAAGAATTTTTAAAATACTTACTTTTTTCCCTTTTTTAACTTCCTTTTATTCCTATCTTCCCTTTTTATTACATTAAAGCTCTTTCTTAAATTATCCTTAAAAGGATTTAGTAAAACCTATCCCCTATTTATTTAGGTAGCTCGTTTTTAATAATATAATAATAATAAATATAATAAGTAATGTTAAGGTATTAAGGTAATTATATTATAATTCTTAATTAATAATTTAAGTAGCTTATGTAATACTTATAATGCATTATAATATTAAAATATACATAGCTTTATAATATAAAATGATAATTACTTAAAACTTATAATAGCCTTAAGTTTAATTTTATATAAATGTATTTTAAAAAAAAAAGAAAGAAATTATATAATAAGCTTAAGCTATGCTTAAGTTATATTATAAGCTTATATTAAGCTTATATTAAGCCCAGCCCTTTTATATAATAAGCATATATTTATATAATAAGCATATGAAAATAAGCCCCTTTAAGGCCCCTTTCCTTTTCATAGCATTATAATTTATAACTCCTTTTAAGTACCTTTTAACAGCCACTTAAGGCCAGCTTATAATACTTAGCTAGCTTATAATTAAATAAATATAAGCTATAACTTTATTATAACTTATATTTAATTATTATTAATTATATAAAAGTTAACTTAATGTATAACTTATTTTTTATTATTAAGTTAAATTAATTTAACTTTTTTATATTTATTAATATATATAATAATTATATTTATTATAAATTTAATTAAATTAAAATTATATATATTATTATTTATAATATTATACTTAATTATTATATTTTAAAATAACTTAAATTAATCTTTAATAACTTTTAAATCTTTATAAAAAGCTTTTTAATAATTATAAAAATAATTAAACTTAATTTTTAAGTTAAATTATATATTTATAAAATATTAAGCTTTATATTTATTAATAAGTTTAATATTATATAATATTAATAAAAAGTTATAAAGGAAATCTTTAAATATTTTATTTAATTATATATTAAATAAATATTTATCTTTTATTTAATTAAGTTTATATTAATTAATATATTTATACTTATAAACATATTATTACTTTAATTTATAATATAAAGTTTATTTTAAAATAAAAAGAATTTATATTATTTAAAAATATTTAAAGATTTTATATCATTCTTTAAATTATTAAATTACTTAAATAATTTAAAAGAATTTATTTTATTTAAATAAAATATATATTATATTTATTAATTTTTAATATAATAAAGATTTAAATAAGTAAATTAAAATAAAATTAATATAAAAAATTAAAATATAATTAATATTAAAAAAAGTTATTTTATATAAATTTTAATAATTTTTAATTATATTATATTTATGTTATTTACTTTAAATTAATAAAATTAAGTAAAAATAAAAAATTAAATATAATTAGCATTAATTAATATTAAATTTAATTAATTAATAAAAAATATATAAATAATAATATATTTATTTATTATAATAAGTAAATAAATTTACATATTTTAAAATATTAATATAATAATAATTAAGTATTAAAGGGTTAAAAAAAACTTAAGTATAGCTTAAAGGAGCACTTATAATTAAAGAATCTTAAGTTTTTATTTAAGAAAAATAAAAGGAAAAGCAACTAGCTAGTGAAATAAGCAGACCGTAAAGGAAGAAGAATCTGTACGACACATGGACGATACAGCCGGTAAACGTAGCATCCGACCTCGAGCCTTGATTGTTCCTAATGTGATGGCCTCACTTGTGCGATGGCCTCAGTGTGGTCTCGTCTGCTGTGTCATGGTTGTCTCGCGCAGTGTGGCATAATTGGTAGGCGTGGGGAGCAGTCCTGGCTTACGATTCCACCTGGGGGATCGGAGCCCACGGCTTCCTACCCTTTCACCGGGTGTCTTATGCAGCTAGCTGCGCAGGTAAGGTGCGACCTGCGCTGGATTGCTTCCATCAATAGAAGGAAGGTGTTGGTCTCGCAGGAACCTGCCGCTTGCAGGCTGTACTCATTCAGGGAAAAGCCGACGCCCTGTCCTGCTCGTTTGGGTGGTCAGACAACGGGAAGCGCTAATTAATTGCTCTGCGAGGCGTGTACTGTTACACGTCAATTCCTGACCGGTGTACCTGGGGCATCTCTTTTGTGTCACCCAGTCACTCACATCAACACTGGGCAAACAGCGTGCCCTCTGTTGTCTCACTTTCGGCCAGTCCCCCCACCCCCTTCCCGCCTCCGCCTGGCGTGATTGAACACGTTCTTCCTGACGTGCCGACGGCCGCTGTATCAATCGATCTAGTCCAAGAACCACCATTCTTTTTCTTGGCACCGCACTTGGCCTTTCCTCTCGATGGCGACTACGCAAGAGATGCAGAAGAGTGAGAAGACGGGGCAGGAGAACGCAGAAGGCGATTCATCGTCGCTGCCCACGGAGCAAGATACCGACACTGCTGCCGCCGAGGCCGCCATGGCCGACAAGCACAAGACAGGAATAGACGGGCCAGTCACTGCCTCAGACGTGGAAAAGGCCGCGCCCACAACGGCTGTTGGTGAAGACGACCAGTGGTCGGTATGGTCGACCCGAGGGAAACGCACCATCATTTTCTCGGCCTCCTTCGCCTCGCTCTTGTCACCACTTTCCAGCAACATCTACTTCCCAGCTCTTGAGCCCATCGCAAGAGACTTGCACGTCTCCAACACCCTGGTCAACCTGTCCATCTCGACCTACATCATCCTCCAAGGCATCGCTCCGACATTCTCGGCTCAACTGTCCGATACCTCCGGACGTAGGCCAATTTACTTGGTCTGTCTCATCCTCTTCCTTGCCGCAAACATTGGCCTGGCCGTGCAAGACAGCTATGCGGCCCTGCTGGTCCTGCGATGTGTCCAAAGTGCAGGCAGCAGTGGTATAGCAGCCCTGTCCAATGCAGTAGCCGCAGACGTCGCGACGCCAGCCGAGCGAGGGAGTTACGTCTCGTTTGCGTCCGCCCTCCCCATGCTCGCCACGGCTATTGTAAGTACAACCAACCAATGCCCAAGCAAATGGCTTCTGAGACTTGGCAAGCTGACGCCGCATTTAGGGACCCGTCATCGGTGGACTGATGGCCCAATTTGCCGGATGGCATTCGATCTTCTGGCTTCTCACCGCGCTGGCTGGCGTCGTCACCATTCCGATAGCCCTCTTCTTCCCCGAGACCTGTCGCAAGGTTGTCGGCAGCGGCGCTATTCCACCGCCCAGATGGGATAGATGCTACATCAACGTGTGGTACGAACGACGAACTATAAGTCAGGGCAAAGAGGTCCCGTACGGGCAGCGTGATGATCTGGCCAGGGCGCGAAAGCTAAGATTCCCGAATCCTTTAGGCCCAATCACACTCCTCCTCCAGCGGGAGTGCGGGTGGGCTCTGCTGTACAGCTCCATCCTGGCCTGCTCATTCTATGCTACCCTCGCCTTGATCCCGTCACAGTTTGGCAGGATATACAGTTTCAACGAGCTGCAGATTTCCCTCTGCTATCTCCCGTTCGGGATCGGTGCTCTCGCTGCAGCCTTCAGCCGCGGCAAGTTCATCGATGCGAACTTTCACCGCCACGCGAGGCGCCTCCGGATTACCGTCGAAAAGAACCGCCGGACCGACCTGACCGGGTTCCCCATCGAGCGTGCAAGGCTCGAGGTCGCAGTACCGACGATCGTCTTGACCACCGCGTGCACCATCGCGGTCGGCTGGATGCTGCAAAAATCTGTCCACCTATCAGGCCCGCTGATCATGCTATTCTGCATTGGGTATTGTGCGTCGGCATCTCTAAACTGCATCGCGGCGCTGTTGCTGGACCTCTATGTGGGGAGGGCGGGCACCGTGACCGCGTCGAACAACCTACTGAGGTGCCTCCTGGGGGCTGGCGCGACTGCTGCCACGGTGCCCATGATCGATGGTGTCGGGATTGGCTGGGCGATGACGATATTCGGCCTGTTGAACACCGTCTTCATGCCGCTGCTGTGGTATATCATGAAGCAAGGTCCAAAATGGCGAGAGCGAAGAGCGGCGAAGACGTCATAGACCAACACTCTCCGGCCGCTGGGCAAGTTATAAGATAGTTGCACGATATGTGATTCTCATAGAATTAAGACTAATCGACTGATTTATGAATGAATGTTGCCATGGTGGTTTGGGTGACGTTGAAGAACCTGTCCATGTACCCCACTAGGGTGCCTCTAGTTAGTCTACTACTATGGGTATGGTGCGCGACAAAGCTGACTTTCCAAAAACCCCATGCTAGCTTATTTTTAATTAATAAATTAACCCTATAAAAGGTATAAAAAGCTTTTATTAATTTAAAATTTTCAAAATTTTACTTTTTTTAAGTTAAAAAAGTTAATATATAAAATATTTATATTAACTCTTGTAATAGCACGGGTCTTATATATTACTAGGTATATTTTCAAGGGATTGGAAATTACTGGCTTTTTAACTAAGCGGTTTATTTCGCCAGCAGTTTAATAAATTTATCTTAACTCTTTAAAAACTTTTATATTCTTTCTTTATTTTTAATATTTTTAACTTTCCTTAAAACTTATAAATATACCTTAAATAAACTTTTTTTTTAAAATTTATTTTTATTACGAGAGGGAATATAGAGACAAGGCAGCTATCCTTAATACATCAATTTAGATTAAGACGGCGCTACCTTTTATATAAGGAAGAAGTCTTATGGAAATTGCAAGGCAGGGGTTTTATGCCTGAGGGGTATGGGGCCCAGAGCCTTAGTGAATGCCTGCAGTCAATGGGGTCCTTCACCCATACACCCACTCACAATTTTTAAAATTCTTTTTAAAAAAAGATTAATATTAAAAAACCCTTTTTTAAAAAAAACCTTTATAAATATTTAAAATAAATAAGGTTTTAAAAAAGATTATATAATAAGCTATATTATGCTTAATATTATAAAGTTAAAAATAATTAAAATAATAAAAGGTACTGATGCAGTATGCCCCTGAAGCCTAGCGTGGTAAGCTTATTATGCCCCTAATAAGCCTGTAAAAGAGCCCCCTGGGCAACCAGTGGGTCCCTCTCCCTTTTGGCGCAGCGGAAGATTTCGCGACTGCATTAGGTACTTAATTTAAAGATATGGTTATAAGCAAAAAGGGGTTTTTAGAAAGTTAGCGTTACCGCGCACCATAGTGGGCATTTCCGTGGATTTACCGACACATATGTACGCTAGCCTTGGACCGATACTTAAACACGCCCCACACCGCCGTTGTATTCGCCGGGAGACCATCGAGGTGGACACGATGGCTAAAAAGCAGAACGAAAGTTATGTAGCTACACAGTGACAACCCTACAAGACGCAGATTTCATAACATCATTGAGGTCCGAAGAAGACAATAATTCCTGGCCTCACAGAGTAGGATGAGAGTAGGATGTTCATGTGCCTAACCGTGTCCCTCCAGAACCAATCCAACGGAGCCAAGGGTTTTCATCAATTTACAGAAAAACGCACCCCACGGAAAGGCTCAGACGAGCTTGATCTCTTGAAGAAACCCTGACAAGCCTAAAGGGGGTCTACGTGGGTTAGGCCGTGTCTGACGCTGTTGCTAAATTTTGCTCCTCCTTGATACAGGGCACAGATCACGCAACTCGCATCTTGACAGGGCATGACCACAGTACAGACACGACCTGCGGTGGAATGGGGCGATCCTCAGACTTCAGGAGGCTAATCCTCCTTCGGCCACGCGCCGGGCACCATCACACTGTCACTGGGGACGACCAACCAAAAGCACACACAATGTGCGTCAACTCGGGTTCGGGCCGAGTACGACGTTTTATCCTGTCGCCCAGTACCCTGTCGTCCCACACATCTCATCCTTGAATCACAAATATCGACAACAAGTCACGATTCATACAAATAAGCCTAGAATGGATCTGCACTAGCCCATGTCTCTAGAGCACACCGCCAGTGGACATACATAGCCTGGGCTCGGGGCATTCATTCGACCTTCTGACGACGCCTTCTCCCCCTCGACCTCTAAGCGAGGTTCGTTACCCCTGGTTTCAAGTCCCATATTCACGTGTCATCGAACGGGTACAAGCCGCAGGGAAAAGCTGCGGTTTTATCAATACATCACCTGAAGGCGTCCGCGGATTCCGTTGATATTATATAGGACACTCCGCTCCCGTGCGAGTCGCGTTCTTTCGGCCAGCTCTGCGGCTCCCAATGGAAGGAAGCCCATTTTACCCTCGATTTTGAGTGCCTCTCTGACAACTTAATAGCGCAAGGGACCATAGATATTGATTTCGATTGCTCGTTGCCCGATAAGCTTAACCGTCCTAACTCTAAGCAAATCTCGACCCGTGAACGCACACGTGGATCTCTCTAGAACTTATCGTGAAATCTTTTTCCAGTCGAGATGCGTTCCAATCTGGACATACTGGCTTCAATGCTGATGTCCTGCTCCAGACGATGCTCGACTTTCAAAGCTCTCGCCATGGCTTGCAACGCCATGGACACTGGATTCAGTTCGCAACCCATGGCACGCTCGATAGCTTTGTCAATTCCATTGGCTGACTCAGGTCATCAATTCCTTAAGTGAATGGTGAGGAACCCGGGCCTTAATCATTCCTCCTATGGAGAGTCTACGTGGTAGAGCTATAGGATGCAAACACAAGATGAGTCACAGAATACCCCGAGCCTGCTTGAAGTCTTGGGTCCCATTTGACTTGACATCACAACGGCCGTTTGTCACGGATGACATCATCGCGAATCGTCCTGATTTCGCACATGTCAATTGCGCTCAAGCCCTGGGTGTGCCACTACACATCAAGTTTACCATGCCCTGGACAACAACACGAGCGTTTCCATGTCCACTTGCCTACGTTGTCCCGCGTTTCCCTGATAAGCTACTACCCGTCGGCGGAGATCCTCCGGACCCAGCCACCCTGATCGATCACGAAGTTCTTTCGCGGATGCGTTACATATTGGTTACCTTGAGGGAGTGCCGAGAGACCTGTAGACGCTTGACATTGACAACCACGCTAACTGACAGGGGCAGGCTCCGCGGCATCAGCACTGGAATATTTCGAGCACCTCGATATTGCAGTGGACAGTGACCTCCCATTTGGATGCTGGGCTTCTAGACGTCTAAGCCGCCTTGAAGTGCGCATCTCGTACAATATGTCTCCATTCTTGGTAGCACACACTCATCTGAGCAACACGTTCGTTCCTTGAACCATTTCGATTCTTACTCTCTCTGGTTCAGTTGACCTGTGACATTCGTTTCATTCCGCAAAACTAGCCATTCGTCAACATGAGACTTTCTCCCGCCGCTGTCCTTGCCCTGGCCCAGGTGGCCTCGGCCCAGTACTTCTTCGATTCCGTCGTTGAAAATGGTGCTGCAGGAACTTCCTTCCAGTACATCAGAGACTTCACCCGTGCTACCAAGTACAACCCGATCAAGTGGTCGGAAAACCCTGCCGAAGACATTCGTGATAACTCTTTCATCGACGGCAGCAGATGCAACCAGGGAGCCTTCACCAACGCCGCCAAGACGGACGTCCTTGAGGTCGCCGCGGGCAGCGACGTGACTGTGCAGCTTGGCGTCGGCGCCACCATGCAGCATCCGGGTGAGTGCTTTTCCCCACGGCCATTTGGCATTTGCCCAAGTTGCGTTGATTGACCCCCTATACTGATATAGGACCCGCCCTGTACTACATGTCCAAGGCCCCCGGTGGGGACGTCAAGACCTACGATGGTTCCGGCGACTGGTTCAAGATTGGCGAGACAGGCGTTTGCAACGAAAGCGGCGACTTCACCAAGGACGCATGGTGCACCTGGGACATGAACACCCTTACCGCCACTATCCCCAGCGACACTCCCTCGGGCGAGTACCTCGTGCGCTTTGAGCACATTGGTAGGCCATTTTGGATGAATTCACCTCACATCGTGTTCGTCGACTGTGTCTAATATAACATCTATCAGGCATCCACAAGTCGTTCATGAACGAGTCTGAGCACTTCGTGTCTTGCCTCCAGGTCAAGGCTACCGGGGGCGGCAGCGGCACCCCCGGCCCGTTGGTGCAGTTCCCGGGCGCATACAAGTACACCGACCCCTACGTGAGCTTCAGCATCTACAACGGCTACAAGGCCCTGACCATGCCCGGCCCTGCCGTGTGGGCCGGCGGGTCGAGCAGCAGCCGCGCCAGCAGCGTGTCGGGCGGTGCCAACGGCACTGTGGATGGGTTCTCGGTGACCAACAAGGACCAGGCGCAGACGACCTTGTCAACCGTTACTCGGTCTGCAGCGGCCGCCGCAAAGCCTACCTCCCCGTGCGCTTCCAAGGCTGGCTAGCGATGTGCCGGCCTACGTCACCCGGAGATAGGCTCCGTCTTCCGCTCTACCTGCGCTGGGTGGAACTGTCGGCTTCACTGGTGCTTCCGAGCGCATATCCTCTTGTGCCCTTGCCCTAAGCCTTTCAGAGGATATTCCATGTGCGTTTCGTTTTTGCACCGGTTGTCTTTGGAGACATTTGACTTTTGGAATTTCTATTTCATTCACCTGTATTATTATTTTACCTGCCACAATGAACATACTTGGCATGGCTCCACTCTTTTCGTTGGATGCTGTCATGGACACACCCACTGGTCAAATAGGTTCTGGTAGGATTTCACCTATTCGAACTTTCATCTTGATTGATGGCCGTCTATGCACGCGCTGGTTTCAAGAAACATCCATCCCCCTCCCTATAAAATGCGATCAAAGGGGGGTGACTTGCCTCACGGACCAGCCTGAGCCCCGCCCCACGTCGAAGATCATGTCGACTACACTCTGCAGAAATCTGTGTGGCTGATGAGCTTTCACTGCTTGTCATATTTTAGCTCACCGTCGAAAATATCCTTGCAGACTCCACCTGGCATCCCGTCTTTCCACCGCTAATTTGGCATATGTACAAACAACCCAGTCGAATACATCTTCCAGGCAGTGTACGGTAGTGTGTGGTCTGGTGCCGGCGTAGTGATGGACACCATCGGTCACATGCCCAGGAAATCTTACGGACAAGATCGGCGTCGCTGGGCCATCCCGATATCTTCCTTTTATTCTCATTATCGCCGATACGTATCATGGCTTCTACCCGCGAGATCGACCTCGTATTCACATGCAAGGCTGTTCTCTGAAGTGACGCCGGCTTTGTCATGGCGTAGAGCGCCCTCTATCCCGCTGGATGTGCTCTCTCGAGGCCTCGAAGTATCGCCATCATTGGCGTACCTCTTTTCTTCAGAATGGAGAAGGTGACCACTGAACTGATGACCTTTTAGATCCGGGCAAGACAAGTACATCTTGAAGGAGAATCCGAAAACAATAATGATAGGTTACTAGATATTATAATATAAGCTCTTCATAATTTGATCTTTTACTTATGCATATAGTATTCCGATGCAAATTATACTTGCCTAGGTATAGAGTACTCCCACGATTAACGCGCATTCTACCTTTGAAATCTGTTGGGCAGCCTACCGGCGTGTCTTTCCCCTGGTCTTCGTTTTCTGTCGGCCTTCTCATTTTTTCGACACTCAGCCCTGGCCCTGCTCTTCGGCCCACGGTGTGCAGCAGACCAAAAGTCGTCTCTCTTCGGATTGCGACTCTTTGTATATTATAAATCAGTTTGCACGTTGTCCTGTCGTCTTACCGATTTATTACGACGGCAGTGATGATCTCATTCGGAGGCTACTGCCGGACGGGGCTGAGTGCACTGTCTACATCAAGCCCCAGCCAAGAAAAGCTTGTAGGACCGTACCGCGAGTCAGCGTACGCCCACCCAGCTTCTACAGTACGCCCACCCAGCTTCCAGCGTTGGCCCACCCAGTACAAAGAAAATTGGCTGCATACGCTATAAAATGCTAATACTGCGGGGTTATTAATAAAGCATAGCTATAGCTATTCCAAAGGGGTCCCATAGCTACCCTAAAGGGGTCTTATAGCTACCCCTTTATTTGCAACTTAAAAGTTACTTCGGCCCTTTACGCCCTCTTCGGCCCTCTGCGCCCTCTGCAGCCCTCTACGCCCTCTGCGCCCTCTGCGCCCTTTGCAGCCCTCTACGCCCTCTACGGCCTCTACGCCCTCGCGGCCCTCTGCTCCCTCGCAGCCCTCTAGGCGCTCTGAGCGCTCTGGGGGCTCTGGGGGCTCTGGGGGCTCGGGGGCGCTCTGGGGGCTCTGGGGCCCTCTGGGCCCTCTGGGGGCTCGGGGGCCCTCTGGGGGCTCTGGGGCCCTCTGGGGGCTCTGGGGCCCTCTGGGGGCTCTAGGGCCCTTTAGGCTTTTTAGGCTTATATTTTTAAAGTATTGCTTAAATTAGAAAATAGCTACCCTGGCTTATTAAGAACCCCGCAGTACTTGCATTTTAATGCGCGTGCAGCCAATTTCCTTATACTGGGTGGGCCAACGCTGGAAGCTGGGTGGGCGTACTGTAGAAGCTGGGTGGGCGTACGCTGACTCCCGTACCGCTGTGCCACCCAGCCGCATCGCTTCGGGCCGAAAAGGCCGCGCATAAATAGTCCTAGATAGCTTCCCTTCTTTAGACAAACACGCATTCGGTCTTTTCTGTCTGAACAGACACATTATAATGTGGTAGTTTTGTTTTTCTTCACGATTCGCGGGCGCGTTTGCGCCTAGAACTGCGACTTGCCCACACGCCGTTACTCCCGACATGGTTAGTTGTCGAGGTAACCATGTCATTACCACCATGAAGCTCGGGGATTGTGTCATCAAATATAAGTTAGCACAACACCATTTTAAGCACATACGGCCATAGACAGAGGAAAATACGGGATCCCGTCCGCTCTCCCATAGTCAAGCCTCTGATCGCTGGATTAGTAGTTGGGTCGGTGACGACCAGCGAATACCCGGTGCTGTATGTTTTTGCCTACTTTTTGTGGTACCCACTCCAGTGGAGCCTATGTTTACTGGCTTTGTAGTCGAGGCGTTTCCCGTCCACTCTCGGCAGTGGCCGGCCGCGCCAAGGCCGGCCCCGAAGCCCGCCACAGCCAGATAAGTTCGCTACTCTTGTCTTCGGCTCAGATACCTGACACGCCAAGCCCTCGGTAAGTTGTTGCTTCTCTCACGTTGTTCTCAAGCTTTCTTCGGTAATGGTCTCGAGGGCCTGTTATACTTAGCAGCCCAGATGTTTTGTAGACTGTGAATATGCGTTATGTAATGGGTGGCGTCTTATTACTTGAGGCACGACTAGACTGCCTCCCTTGTATTGGAGTCGGCATTAAGGCCACCAAGCCCGAGACCTCGGGATTGATGAAATCAATACTTCCCAATGAGATGAGAAAACCGTTATTCTGCTTAGCTGATCTTGAATTTGATCCGGGTGTCCGCTACAAAAGTCCTGGTCACATATTGAGAAGCGAATTTAGTTTAAAGCCTAATGAGGCTTACTCTATCCGGGGTTGGCTTGGTGGATTGAAGGATCAGGATTTGTTTTCTGACCATGGAAAGCCCATGTCCCCGCTTTTCCGTGCTTACATTCGCTTCTGCCTGAACAATATTGAGCTCCTTGGTCTTCAACGCAAATTGTGAAAGCTATCCTCCTACTTACACTCCTTGAGCCTCCCTACCCACGGTCCTGTCACGCGAACAACACCTTTGCAAGGGTGTGATCAACTCAAGTTAGTTGCTATTATCCGGAAGCAGCCCCCCGTAAGATGATGCAACGACTGCTTGAGCTGAAGGGCATATGCTAACATTTAATTCCAGCAGCAGGTGCAGCCAGTGAGTTGAGTGTACGTTGATCTGTTGCCAGATACCGGTTGTCTTGGAGGTGAAACAACCACGTTCTCGTGTCTCACTGAGACAGTCAGGCAGCTGATATAAACACCGGAGCTTCATAAATTCCTCACGAAAGGCTTATCGACACATTCTGCGGCGGGTTTCAGGCCACCGAGTTTTCTCTGCACCCATTCATCACGATGTGGACCTCCCGCCATGCTAAGGTAGCCTTGCTGATCATTTTCGACCTGTGCCATACCTCTGCAGGACTTTTGGCTACAGGAGATGGCTCACCAATCTCGCGGGTATCACCTGAAGACTGGCAGGCTCTCAACAAATCGGTTGGAGGGCAACTATTTGCCACATTACCCGTCGGTCTCCCATGCTATGACAACTTTAATGGCAAGCCGCGGAGCCCAGACGAAGCGGCATGCGCCAATGTCGTGGCAAACCAGAAAAACATGACATTTCTCACGACTCAAATTGGCGGATACACTCAGGTACGACGTGTCGAGATTTTATGACCTCCACTTACTGACCGTAGCTCGTAGGGAAATTGGGATATCTGCCAGAGTACCGGAGTTGGATGTCCCTTGTCTCCAGCAAATGAAATTGACCCGAGCCAACCTTGCAGTCAAGGCAACCTCCCCCTCTACTATGTTAACGCAAGCTCGGTCGAGGATGTCCAGCAGACTCTGCGATTTGCTGCAGATCAGAAGGTGCCGATAGTGGTGAAGAACAGTGGCCATGATTACAAAGGCCGCAGCGCCGGTGCCGGCTCCTTGGCTCTGTGGGTTAACAACTATACACCGGCGCCGACGCTGGAGAAGAGCTTCATCCCTGAAGGTTGTAGCCAGTCAGTTGGCGACGTTGTTACGTTCGGTACGGGCGAGGACTTTGATGGATTGTACAAATTTGCACACCAGAACAACGTGACCATCATTGGCGGCTCAGCTCCTACAGTCCACCCAGGGGGTGGCTGGATTTCTGGGGGTGGGCACAGCACCCTGTCGCCAGTGTACGGTCTTGGGGTGGACAACGTGCAACAACTGCGTGTTGTGTTACCTAATGGGACGTACGTGACGGCTAATCACTGCCAAAACCGAGATATTTTCTTTGCGTTGCGTGGCGGCGGCGGGGGCACGTTTGGCGTCATCATGGAGATGTCAACATTGGCCCGTCCTCAGCTGACGATACAATGGGCCAACATCACATTCTTCGGGCTGGATAAAGAATCACAACGACACGTGCTTACAGTAATGGTGGAAAATGCGAACTCATGGTTTGAGTCTGGTTGGGGAGGTTACATCATTCCGGGCACGACATTTCCGGTGTGGCTCATGAATCCACTCCTCAACGCAGCCGCAGCGAATGCTTCTCTACAACCATTGTTGGACCTAGCAACACAGCTTGGGGCGACCGTCCAAGTCACGACTTACCAGTCATTTTACGAACTATACGAAGACAAAATCAAAAATAGCGACGTGGCTCGAGGTGGAGTCGGTTTCGCGGAGGCATCTCGATTAATCCCAAGCAAGCGATTCGAAGGAAAGGACAATCAAGCGGCGCTCACAGAGATGCTCCTCGACCTCAGTTCACCCACCAGGCCGGTGACGTTCCGCCTCATGTTGCTACTGACAACGCCATCGCGCGCGACCCAGGACAGCGACAGCGCCATCACGCCGGCCTGGCGCAGCTCAACCTGGCACGTTATCATAAGCACGAGTTGGGACTCTTCAAAGACATCTGTGGACCAAGTCGACGCCATATTCCGGAATGTGACTGCTGCGATGGACCCACTCAGGTATCTGACACCAGGCAGTGGAGCTTACATGAACGAGGGCGACACATTCGAGCCTGACCACATCTCGGCTTTTTGGGGCGAGGAGAACTATGAAAGGCTACAGTCTATAAAGCAGCAGGTGGACCCGCACAACTTGATGCAAGTTCACCAAGGCGTGAATTACAATGCGAGCAACCCGCTGTTCAGCTGCTACCCGGAAATTCAGACGCCTGTGTCCCAGCCGGAAAAGGCCCTAGAACTATGACACCTCTTAGTACAGCTTTACTTCGAAAAGAATTGAATAGTGACTTCTTGAGAATATCGAATCTTAATTTGCGAGATTTCCCGCTGATCGTTCTCTTGAATACCTTCTTGTATGTCATTTCAGGGATTACAGCGCTCCATTGAGCTGTTGATTCTGGCATTGCTCAACTCAACCTGCAAAACGTACAGTGTCCTCACTGTGGATGATGAAACTTTCAATACTTTGTACTTGCAGGGATTCGAGAAGGCCGCCGAATTGGTCTGCGATTCTGGCGAGATCCCATGTTGATCTCGGCACGCGGTGTAGTACTTTTAAAGGTATTTTGTACTCTGTAGGCCGAGAGACAGCAAGCCGGCCACACTAGCCGCAACGGATTGTGGGTCGCCCATGACTTCCTCCTTGAGGTCTGCTCGCTGGCTTCGAGGACTTGTGTCGCTGTGTCAGGTCAACAGGACGTTCACGCTAAAAGGATGTGATGCGCTGTCGACGGCACAATTTTGTTCCGCTCCGGAAAGGCTAGCCTGCAAAGGAAGGTGGCCGATACTATCTTGTGTGTGCTGACGGCAGTGTCGAGTTCACGCTGAGCTATTGTGAAGCCACTGCGCATCATGAATGATGACTTTCATGAGCACTACCCAGATGATTGATCTTCCTCAACATTAGCTACCAATCTGCCATCTTCAAGCGATCCTTCCTCCACCACTCTGCGGGGCAATTGGGATGAAACGCTACAGTATATAAATCGGGTCCGCTTCGTTCTGATCAGACAGACAACCCTCGACAATTCCGAGTTGCAACATCTTCTCGCCTTACAACCCAGATCACACACGAACAGACTAAAAAAATGGCGGGTAACAACACTTCAATCCGCTCCAGCTGCCACTGCGGCGCCATCACAGTCACAGTTCCACGACTGCCTGAACATGTCAATGTCTGTCAATGCTCCATATGCAGGCGCTACGGCGCCGCATGGGGCTACTACCATGTAGACGAGGTCAAGATCGAAACGAGGCCAGGCGCAATAACTAAGCAGTACATCTGGGGAGACCGAGACACATCTTTTAATTTCTGCGATAATTGTGGATGCATGTGAGTCAAGTAATCCCTCTTGCAAGAGATTGAGAACTCATGCCGTGTAGGTGCTATTGGTGGCCGCTTCGGCGTCCTCTTACTGAGGGAGGAGGGTATCAGATGGGAGTTAACACTAATAACATGGATCCGGAGGTGTTGAAATATGTCGATCGGAGGTTTGACTATTCGATTATGAAGACCCCGTTGCGGTCGAAAGAAACCGCGCATCCTGAGGATCGGGCGACCTATTGAGCCTAGTCTCGAAAATTGGAAAGGAGAGGTTGGCCATATAAGAGCGGAAGCTTCTATCATGTACTTGGATGCGTTCTTTACGAGAAAGTGGTCCTCTTATCGGAAGCGGCATCCTGTCCTGTCGAGAGATATGATCTCGTCAACCGCAGATTACAGTGGTGGCGAACAACAAAAGCGAGAGTTGGGGTTGCGTTTGTTGGTAGCGACGGCGCTGCAACTCCGCGGTCGAGCGTCTTGTCAACTGAAGGTGCGCGATATCTCACGCCTGGCTCCGCTGCCACGATTTGTTTTGCCGAGATACGACGCATCGTCTGAGGGCCCAGACGCGGGGTTGCGCCTCCGTGGCTCTCTAATAGGTCCTCTTGTCTGGAAGCCGAGTATATCACGTTTCAGACACTCCTATGCGGAAGACTTGCAGCGTTGAGGTTGGATATGCTAGATGACCAGCCTTCCATCGCTTAGTTTGCTTTGATCTCTTACTCCAGATGACTTTGAATCCTATCGCAGATCCGTCCAGAGCTCCTTTGGGGGCGACTTTGAAGACTGGACGTGATGTTCGCTTAGCTGCGCGTGCCAGCCTCTGGTCGACTCCAACGTCTGGTCTTGCGCCAGGCTATCTACAGGCCAATCTTCTGGTCCTCCACTCACGCTACGCGGCCGACTTTCGGCTCCTCTGCCAACGCAATCCGGTCCCGTGTCCCTTGATTGCAGAATCCTCAGAGTCTGGCAACTTCTTCTCTTTCAAGTCATATCTTCCTGGACTTTCCGCTTCTGCCGTTCTTAGTGACGTTGACATTCGTCACGACATCCCGCGTTACAACGTGTACGCCGACTCAGCACTCATTAAGTCTGCATGCCCAGACATTGCATCAGAGTGGATAGCAGACCATGTGGAATTTCTCGTTGGCTGCTCGTTCAGTTTTGAAGGTGCCCTGACCGGGGCTGGTCTCATGCCACCTCATACCACACTCAATCGAAACGTCGCCATGTAGCGCACGACAGTACCCTTATGTCCGGCGGGTGCTTTCACGAATGGGGTCTACGTGGTCTCAATGCGGTCGTACAAGTTGCAAGATATCGAGAAGGTACGGGAAATCACGCGCGCGTATGTAAGCACGCATGGCGAGTCAATCGCTTGGGGTTGGCAAGCCGTTGCAAAACTGGGTATCAAGAACATCGATGTGCCAGACTTTGGTGATGCACCGCTCAATATAAATGGCAAAGCCCTCGGCAGTGAAGCTGGGTCTGAGGATGAGGTACCTGTGTTCTGGGGCTGCGGTGTCACCCCCCAATAGGCGATAATGAAGGCGGAACTTGATGGAAGTATTATGGCACATTCGCCAGGTCACATGCTTCTTTTGGATTGTCAAGACTCAGATGTGTTCAGAAGACTATATTCTAGAATGGCAACATTGGAAATCGTTACTCGCATCAACAGCACAGCAAGCGGTGACACACACGTACGTCTACTGAAATGGTATGGAATCGGACCATCCAAGGAAAGCGTCAAATCCAATTTCCGAAACAGTACCTCACAGTAATTTAAAGCCGACCGGCAAGATGTAGAGAACCGCGACCCTTTCTTTTTATTCTTTTCTTCTGAAACTGGTCAGGCAAAACTCAGTGTGCAGGACCATCGTTTTCTGAATAGGCTTACAACCACTGGTATTCTTGAATCGGAAACTTAATCATGTCACAACTCAAGTGGGAAGTGGCATCCACGCGTTGTTCTACATCCAGTTCGATAAGTTGTGGATATGTTCAATAGCCGGTACGCCGACGCTTGTTAGGGTGTAGCATCAATTTTGCGGAAATCCGGCTCAATCATGCTAGACCAAGAAGACGAGAGAGAAGCTTAACGAAATTGAAAGCATATCTAGGACAAAACCTGTCCCATATTCTTCCAAGGCTGCTTACGTACTACGTATGTAGGCACCTTAGTACACGTACGTGAAAGCCAAATCACCTTCACTGGTTGTCTCTTTCCGATCGTCGGAGCGCTCGCCTTGGCCAATATGGGACTTCTTCCGGTTGAGAATGTAGAGGTATCCGACCTGGGTAGCAATAAGACCCATGGAAATCAGGACGGAAGCCAAAGAGCACCAATGTCCAAGACGATATGGAGCAGCGCGGTAAACCTGAGGTGCTACAATACCAGCAATGTTTCCAATGGTTTGTTGGATGCCAATGGCTGTTGCACGTCGATAGTGTGGAGCCATGTTGTTGTTTATCCCTGAAGGATCATTAGCAAATACCTCTCCAACGCCCAGATAAGTGTCGACTTACAAACACCATTGAGACCGGGTCCGCAATAAAGAGGGATTGCGATTAGGTAGCAGGCGAAGTAACGGACGCCAGGGATGTCTGAAACAGCGAGCAAGATAACATAGCCGATGACAGCGAAGATGTCGAGAGTGAAGAGGACCTGAGGAAGATATTTAGAAGCAGCGAGGTAACACGCGGGTCAACGGAATTACGAACCGTGCCACGAAGTTTCCATTTGTCGCCTAATACAGCCGCGGTCTTTACACAATACTGTCAATCTACCATGATTGTCTCTCTTCGGTTATTTGTGTGACGAATATGTCGACTTACGAAGAAAGATATGCCGCCCAGCAAGTACAGCCAAAGCCACAGACGAGAACAAGTAGGCAAGTCGGCGACCCTAAAAGGTTTGGCACCTTGCGTGAGACCCTCGAGAACCATGGAAGCTATGCAAGGCAACTGGGCAAGACTCACTTGTTCTTCTTTCTTGTAGACCATGGTGATGTACAAACTTAGGCAGGGGAAAAACCCAGCCTCAGTCATACCCAGCAGGACACGCACGGCCAGGAGTTGCCCGAAGTCCTTGACGAATGCCGTTCCAAATTGTAACCACAGACCAACCGAAGCACATCAGGGCGATAGCACGATGAGGCCCCATCTTTTGCATGGCCAATACGATTGGGAGCTCGAGAGGGACATAGGTAGCGAAGAAGACGCTGACGGCGGTGCTATACTTGGGGCCTGTAAGCCTCAGGCTGGTGGTCATGCCGGCGACGGCAGCATTGCCGATGTTGTTTCGGTCGAGATATGCGATAAAGTAAAGTGCAGCAAAGAGCGGTGCCAATCTCCAGTCCAACTTATGAACCAGTTGCTTCTCGATCTCGCGACCAGGTTCAGGCAGGACAGGAGTAAACAAGATATCCCAGTGTGGGCCGTTCTCGACGTCCTTCTTTTCCGAATGGTCTAGACGGTGTTTACCATTTCAGTGGTCCATATCGAGCGGTTTGATAAAACCCTGATGAGTCAAACCAGGCAAGAAATTAAGTACAGGTTCTGGACACTCAGCCTACAGACGAGGTAGGAAGCCGGAACGAGTAGACCTGTCTTAAGTCAGGGTCTGCACATTTCGGCCCACCCCCTGATTCAGCCCACCAAAACGATCCTCCTCGCCACACCACCCCTTTAATTAAAGTTACTCTAAATTATCATTACCACCTATAATAATACATTTCTTTGCATTTATAATATCTTTAAAAGCATTTATTTTTATTAAATTATCCTTAATTACACTAGCATTAATTTATGCTTTATATATATATTTAATTTTAATAAATATAAAGTTTAAGCTTATTTTAACTTTTCTTTTCTTTTAAGGTATTATAACTATTAATTTATTTTTAAGGATTTAATTCTTTTATAAAAGCATTATTAATTATTAATTTTTCTTATTATATTTTTTTTAAATTTTTTTAAAAAATAATTATTAAGTTATAATTAAGTATTTTTATAAGTTATAATTAATAAAAGCAATTTATATTTTTTAAAATGCTTTAAGAGTTAAAAAAATTTTTTTTTATAGCTTAATAAATATTAAAGTAATTAATTTAAGTTTTTTAATTTTTATAATATTATTAAAAATAAGTATAAATATTATTTTATTAAAGTTTTTAAATATAATTATATTTATTAATAATTTAATTATATTAATTAATTATAAATTAATTCCTTATTATTTAAAAAGCATATACTTTTCTTTAAGTGCTATAAATCTTACCTTTTAATAATAATAAAGAAATAATTGCTTTTTAATATAAATATTATTAATATAAAGATTTAAAAGACTTACTTCTTTTTTATATACTACCTTAAAGTTAAAAAATTATAATATATATAAAGTATATAATAATAAATAAAGGTAATAAATCTTATATACAAAGCATTCCTATATAAACTTTAAAATATAATAACTTTTATGCCTATTTATTATTAATAAATATTACTTTTTAAGGGCATTTAGCTTTATTTAAGGGATAAAGATCTTTTATAGCTACTTAAGTATTATAATATTATTTATTTAGCTATTTAGCATTATTATAAACTCTTAATTCTTATAACCCTTAAGAGTTTTAAATTATTATTACTAAACTAACTTTCCCTTAAAAATAATAAAAAAAGGGCATAATTTGCTTATTATAAAGATATACTTAAGAAAAAAGGTTTATATATATAATTTATAGCTTTTTTAAGTAATAACCTTCTTTTCTTTAAGTCTTAAAATAATGCTATTCTTTCTTTTGCTTTTAGCTATACCCCTTTTATTAATATTATAATAATTTTTTAAGTAAATATTTATAATTATTAATAACTAAAAAAAGTTAAATTACTTTTTAATTATATTTATTTTTACTTTATTTACTTAGCTTAAAGTTATTTAATAACTTTATATACTTTAAATCTTAGGATTTTTAATAAAAAAAGCCCTTAGCTAATACTTATTAAAAGATAATTAATATTTTTAAAAAGTAGCTACTTAAGCTATAAAAAACCTTATTTTAAAATATATTATTAATAGCCTTAATATTGCTTAATTAATTACTTAATTAAATAAGTATATTTCTTAAATTTATAATAACTTTATTTAAAATTTTAAAGTATTTAAATAACTTTAAGCATTATAATAATAATTATAAAGTATAATTCTTAAGATGCTTTAATATAAAAAAGCTTTTTAAATATTAATGCTAACCTAAATTGCCTTAAATGCTATATTTATATCTTCTTTTATATATAGCTTTATAATTAATAAATAATGATATATTAAAAGTTTAAAGAAAAGAGAAAATTCCATCATAAAGAAAACGCGTAATATGTGATGGGGTGGACTTAACGTGCACGTGGGTATGGAGTGGGCCGAATCAAGGGGTGGGCCGAATGTGCAGACCCTGACTTATGGTTATCTCTGTTCCAATCTCAAGGACGGATCAAGTTCGCCCAAATTCAAGATCACAGGGGACTAGGCCACAGACAGTGGCCCATAGTGGATATGGCTAGCAGCGAATGCAAATTTTGGCGGTCATTTGTCACTTATCTATCGAAAGTCTCCGTTACTGGTTTCCGAATTGGGCAAGGTACGAGGTGTTTTGTGTTTCCTGAGCACTTTCAATTATTATTGGAAGCCTAGTCGCAGCTGACAAAGGAAAATTTTATTGAAGTCATCGACAAATATTTAGTCTAGTAAGAGCGAGCCATGATTCCTGTCATTTTATCAGCTAGGCCAAGGCCCCTCACTTTCTTAATTCCATCACTGTTAATTATGCATTCTGAGACACCGTAAGGCATAGCATCCTTTTCACGAAAGGTGACCGTAAGAGATCTCGCACACCGGCCCACGGTCCGCTTCTCCCTCCCGCTCATGCCCGTTGCTGACGTCGTCCCCGGTGTCGTTACGGGTATGAACTCTGGCGAAAATCTTTTCGGCTTTCTCCACATCTTCTTTGCCCCAGCCCTGGAGTGGCAGGTGCGCTCTCACCTCGAGATGAGATTGGCAATTCTGGCATCCTGACACGTGCCACCTACTCAGGATCGGCTCCGTGCCCACGAGAATCTCCTTGCCGTCTTTGCGAGCCCATGTTGAGATTAAAAAGGAGCCGCCGATGCTGGCGCGGTTGATATTACTGACGGTGACCACGGGTGCCGGGTCCCTTGAAGGAGGGGCAGACTCGAACCCGTGGTGGCGGCCTCCATCGCGCGGGACCCCGTCATAAGCGTAACCAAGCTTGGCGATATCGACGACGTCGTTCGACGTCAATGTGATACCGGCGTTGCCAGGCCTCTTGAAGGGGTCAAGAGGGCTATCCATGGTAAGCCACGTGCCGCCGGCCACGCCCGGGGTGGGTCCCTGGCTGTCAACGGAGTTGGTTCCAGGGTAGCCCTCGATGATGTCCAAAGATTCTGTCTTGCGGTTCAAGACTTGCCATTTCCAGAAAGTCAGGTCGATGAAGCAGTGGTGGAAGTAGAAAATTGGGTCGAAACTGGCGGTGTCGTTTTCACCCATGTCGCCGTTGGCGTAGGGGTAGTTGCTGTAGTTGTCCTGCCCGGGTTTGGGCACGTTGAACCCTCCAAGGGCCAAATGGATCGAGTTGTGAGGGCTCTCGAGGGGCACGATAGTGACTTTGCCGGTCGCATCGGAGTGGTCGTCGTTCCAACGCTGAGCAGAGGTAGTGTTTGAGAAGACGGTGTAGTTGGGCGCGTTAAGGCAGTCGGCGTACTTATTCTTGACTCCTGCAGGATAAAGGTCCCCGTCGCTGGACTCGTAATGGTCGAGGTTGAGCCACATTTTGACGTTGTCGTTCAGAATTTTGTTCGTCTCGACCTCTCCCATCTTATCCAGTCTTTCGTTGTGGATCCGGGTCCTCTCCTTGTCTTTCGGGCCCACGAGCCCCGAGAAGGGGTAGCGCACCGTTTGGTAGTCTTTTGGCTTAGTATAGTTGGCATCTGGAATCGGCGCCAGCCTGTCAACGACGCTGCGCTGAAATTTGTACGAGAATAAAGGATTGGCTATTCTAGTCTTGTCTTTGTCATCGAAGGTGTACCATCTCTGCAGAAAGATAGCAGGGATGATATCTAGCCTGTTGGTTGTGTCCTCTGTCTCATCCCAATATGGTAGAGCCACGCCGGGCACCTGTTTCTGGAGAGCCTGCTCGAGCCTGAAGAGGTAAGCACGGTGCCATGTCGGGAAAAGGACATTGCCATGATTGCAGTAACCTCCCCACCATGACGGATTCCCATAGCCTGCTCCTCGGAACGGCTCGCCATGGAGGCCAGCGATGCTGAAGAAAGAGTCAGGATTGTCTGGGTCGAGCTTCTGGATCGCTGCAAAAGCTTTGACCAGGTTGTCAAGCTCAGGCGTAGACAGTTTCCGGATGTCTTTCCTCGTGACAATTCCAACCATATTGGATATAATAGCTCACAAAATCCTACAGAATTTGTGACAAAATTGTTTCTGGAAATGAGTTCAGAATCTAAAGCTTATGACTTGAGGGACGTAGAAACATGAGCTTGATGGTGCATAAACTTTTGGATTGGCAAGGAAAAGATGCCGTATTTATACTTTACACGTGCGCTATGAGTTACCATTCGAGGATTTCGGCCTCGTGTTTGGTCTTGTTTTTCCATTCCAGCTTTTTCAGTCGTCAGGCCACTCATCACACCAAGAACGATTTTCAGGAACGCGTGGCTGGGCACTTTGGGGTATGTCTCAGTGGGACGGGTGGTTGCGCTGGGACGTCCCGTTCCGGTATTATTAGCCTAGATTCCTGCCATGGGAGAGACAATGACATCCAGAAGCAATGTGATACTGTTCATGGAGAAAATACCGTCTCGTTGCCTCGTTCTCACCGCAATTGGACATGTTTCGGTGCGTCACCCCTCTCTGTTGGTCTCAGACAGCATTTCTCAGGACGAATCTCCTGGTCGACATATCTTCAGCTGTGTTTCACTACTGCTTTTGGGAATGATCTACTCTTGATATAAATCGTGGGGCAGAAAGTTCACCTTGAGCATTCGTCCAAGTTAGCACGTCGAGCCACTCGATTCCACCTACATCCTTCGAGCTACTCCCCTTTTCTCACTCGACATTGTCCACTTGACCCGTCCATACCTATCTACTGCTCAAGATGGGAGGCTGCGAGAAACTCAAAGTTCTTCTTATTCTCTTCGATGGCTTCAATACTGTCGATATGAATGGGCCATACGATATTCTGACAAAATCTGGGACGAGTGACCACTTTGTTATAGAGGTTGCCGCAGAGAAGGAAATCACGAAGTCAATCGAAGGTGTCTTAGTCGAGGTGGGCATAGACTCCACACCAAGTCGTGTTCCATGAACAAAAGTGAGATCCATGTCACTGACGAGTAGAAAGCGCACGGTGGTTCTCGACGACAAGCTCATAGACCTCGCTCATACAAAATATGATTTGCTCGTTGTGCCGGGGGGCGGGTCCAAGGCCGTGAATGTGCAGGCTGCAAAATTGGATAGTGCCTTCATGAGGCTCATAGCCGCCTTCGCAAACACCGTCAGCAAGTCTGGGAACGACCGTCGAGTTCTCTTGTGAGCAGACTCCTACTCGATGATAGATGATTGACACAGTGTATTGATGAGTCTTTATAGGTCCGTCTGCACCGGCGCTGCGTTCCCGGCCAACCTCGGTATCTTCAACGACCGTTACTGCACTACACACTGGGCGTTTTACGGGCAAGTGACTAAGGACGTGCAGTGTGCTGCTGTTCGCACCAAGGGTAAGGCCGGCACGGTGATCCCGGCCCGCTTCGTAGACTCCGGGCTCAATGCGGCGGGCGTGCGAGTCATCAGTAGTGGTGGAATAACCTGCTCGTTGGACGCGAGCCTGCACGTCGTGAAGGTGATGGTGTCGGAGGAGGAGTCCATTGCTACGGCCACGCTACTAGATTACTCGTGGAGGAAGACGGAGGGTGTTGTATTTGGAGAAAAGTTCTGAATTTGATACCTAGAATGCAAACACGGTTAGCTGGGCCTCGCGCTGGTGAGCAGGTCGGCACGACGCTGCACACTTGGCTCCATGAACTAGGTGAATGTCGTCTTTTGGTCTACTCCCTCCTATGGAAGAGGTCTTCATGTAAACTAAGGAAGTAATGCACATGCACATGCACATGCAAAATCTCAAGCACATCTAAGTTTATTCATTGATCTTTAAGTTGAAGAGCTGAGGACTCAAAAATTCTGAATCAACAACTGTAAAAATTGAAATTGAAAGCAACAGCAAGTTACAAGGTGAAACTATGATGTAAATATCATGTGCACTTGAGCTGCCCTTCAGCGGTGCCGAACACGCCCCCTCTAACTCCCAGTAACATGTTTCCTCAATATTCATCTCTCTCACATCGATCAGTTCAAATCGAATGCCATGGCTGCTAGACTAACGAAAGTGGGGAGGGGCATTCCAAACCCTTGTTGAGCAGACCACGAGCCAGAAGATATTCACTTGGTTGTCAATGTATATAACTAAACTTTACTGTCCTTGCTATATTAATCCGCTTTACTATATTGTTTAATGTTTCCACTCAAATTTCCCTTATAGTTATGAAGTATTGCCTAAGCTGCTTTAGTGTGTTTGTATAGTTAATAAAGCTTTGAAAATGTTTGAATTAGATATTAGTCACTTCTCCAAGATCCTCTTCCTCATCAAGCAAGAGCAAGACATTTTATAGATAAAAGATGGCTAGAAATATACCAATGTCTTCCTGCTATAGGCCCGTTGTAAGGTACTTAGATGCTGGGCTCGGTGAGCACCGAGGGATAAATGAACTAAATGGTATTGCAGGTATGAGTTCACTGGATTTCAAGTCCTTGCCTCTCTCCAACATCTTCTGCAGATTTCGGCGGAGTACGCATGTCCCGTTCCCTTTGGCACGGGAAGCTGGGAAGAACAGTACAGTGTTTTCCACATCCCCATGCCACTTTCGTGCTCCTCCAGTATTGCCTCGTCCCCATTCGCGCCCGCATCGACCATTTCGTCCGTCCTTTCGCATTGCTGCTAAGATGAGCCAACCACCTACCTCTTCATGCAGTGCTGGAGACCGGTGTGAACCACCACACTGCTGTAATGGTGGCCAGTCTGCAGTAGACCATTATGCACAAGGACATGTTGGACCTTAGGCCAAGGGTTGCATGCAGAGAGTAATATGTGGCATCCGTCCTTTTGGTGTTCTCCCGGAGGGTGGGTGGGTGGAAAGCCATGCAGTCGCCCGACCACTTTCCCCAATCATGGCTTTCACCGGCCTCAACCCCGCTCCTTTTATCTACACAGGTCTTGCCACTTGACCAACTCCAATGGAACTTGAGACCCCCAGAGGTCAATCGGTTCTCTATTGCTGAACTGCCAGGCTGTGAGTGTTGAAAATGACACCACATAAGAGGCGCGAAAGCATCCCTCGCATCTTCCGGGCCACTGTCCGACCCATCAAGGAATTCTTGAAAACATCACGGCGCGAGCGGTCCGTGGCGGCACCGGAGGCAGAGCCCAGTTCGCCAGGTCTTGTTCCTAGCATCCATCCGGGGCTTCCAACACCGGACCCAACCCCCTCCAAGCGGAAGGCATCGACCTCAGCACCCTCTTCACCGACGACAACTCGGCCTCAGAGTAAGCGCCAGCTCCTAAAGCTACCGTTGAACCTCTTTCCCAGGAAATTCCACAGTTCGGGCCAGTTTCCGTCACCCCCAGCTGGCCCTAGCCCCCAGTTGTTAGTTCCGTGGCAGACGGGGACAGCCCTCGACGCAGCGGCGGACTACGAGAGCGACAGGGTCTCAGTGCAGAGATCCTGCCAGGCTTCCAGAAGCGCCGGCAGTCTGGCATCCGATCGGGGCCGGGCTCGGGCATCTGCCCGGGCATCAGACCAAAGTGATGCAAATCGAGTGCTGAAGACGATCAAAGATCTCAAGAGCGAAACGTACAAGGTTGAGACAGTAGGACAGGGTGGAAAGTACCTGGTTCAACGGAAACTTCAAAGGCCTGGCTACAAACTGCTGTTGAGGAAATTGGCAGAGGAGGATAAGAAATTCGAAGGGAAGGACAAAAGTATTCTGCAGGAATATGTCAAAAAGGAACTCCGGCAAGTCCACCGGATTTCTACCCCAATTATGGCAGCTGTGCTCATGGGTAATAGTTACGACTACATTCCTCGCCCTTGCAAAGGTGAGAAACAGTTCATGGTCCACATGCCGTCCCATATGCACGAGGGCATGGCGGGGGCGCTCAACAAAGTGATCATCGAATGGCTCGGTCAAGTAAAAAATGGGCAACACTGCAAAATCGATGACACTCTGAAGACGACAAAGATGGTTGCACAAGAGATGGACTCCTTTTTAGCCACACGCGTGAAAGTCAACCATGAAACTCGCCAGGAACCAGACCTCTCCTTCAGCTATAAAGCAGGCCGGACTGCCGGTCTCGTAGTTGAGGTAGCATGGTGTCAGTACAAATTGAAATTGGCAGAAAGAGCCGATCGATACATCAGAGGAACCGAGGGCAAAGTCCGCACTGTCATCGGTATCAATTTGAATGACATATATAAGGGCGGGAAGGAGGCGTGGTTCTCCGTATGGAATGCCAAGTTTGACGGGTCAAGCAAACGTTGGACCCGAGAGATCACAGTTGACCAAAAGGTATGCTAAGTTCCTGGATGCCATGCGTTGCGATACCCCAATACTGACCTTGCAATCAAGATTTTCATCGACAGCGATGGAGATCCTGTCGAAGAGTGCGAGTTGTGCCTTTCCCTCAAAGATTTCGTATCTGAACAGGCGGCGAGTAGAATAGGAGACTTTGAAGATGTGTCGATCAAGATCTCCTCGAAAGAACTTCACCAATTTTATATGAGGTCACTTCAGCCGCAGTTATGTGCCGAGATAGATGATGAGCGGGAACTGGTAAGAGAGGAAGTGAAAGAGGACCTTGAAAATATCTCGGAGGTGGAAAAGACCTTGTAAGAGCCAGAAGTGGAAACATCCGAGGAAAAGCAAGCTGTGTGGCTCGAAGAGGTAGAAAAGGTCAGGGAATCACTGGACAAGGCTGAAAAACACAAAGACAAGAGGAGGGCTAATGTGAAGGATTTGAACGAGAAGTTGGAGACGATCGGTGATAAAGAAAGCGAGGACGTGCAGACAGCAACAGAAATGCTGGTTGAAGCAGAAAAGGAACTAGCAGAACTTGAGAAGAAGATATTGGAAATGAGTTCTGAAGTGGAAAGAAAGGCGCCTCCGAAAACAGTGGATATCGCTGTGAAGAGGAAGACTCGGCGAGCAGGTGAGACGAACGCGGCCGGACCAAGTGTCTCTCAGTCATCCGAGGGGGTTTCGATTTCTTCGGTCAAGTCAGTGAGAAAGTCAAAGACGCGTCTGTCATGGTCTCGGAACAAGGAAAGTTGATCTTGAATCTTGCCGGATAGGGTATGAGGTTGAAGGGCTTCTTAGTTATGTTATGGAGAACGGTCCCTTTAGTGCCAGATTGATCCCCCGATAACGTTATCACTGTTCATACATATGCACAATCACAACCTTAGCAAAATCAGCTTGTGACGCGCGGTACAGGAGCGAGACTTTCTTAATCAGGTGCAACCAACGACGAGCTTCATGACAACCTGCCTGGAGGCAGCAGTAAAGGCTTTTGTAGAGCACACCTGGGCATAAAGACAGTTGAAGGTATCATCGAGCAATACAGTAACGAGCCGACCAGATAAGCTCCAAAGGCTGAAATCTCTCTTAAACGGAGCAAAGAACACCTTACCTGGATCGACATCCTCGGACACTCAAGCTTTCAAAGTCTCTTGCCATTCCAACGTCTTCTGGTCCTTGAAAGCCTTCTTATCTAAACGATGAAACGATTCGAATCGGCTGGATCTTTCAAAGGCGGTTGATACTGCGCTCCCAGTCAACGTCGCCCTACCCAGCTTTTTAAGTGCGCCCACCCAGTACAAGAAAATGGCTGCACATATCACCAGAATATAGGTATACCTCCGATTCTGACTAATATTATCCCGCTATTCGCCAAAATTATATACTTATAATTACCTCTGCTCTCTATAGCCCTCTGCCCTCCGGAGCCCTGCCCTCCGGGGCCCTCTGAGTGCTCTAGGGCCCTCTGGGCTTCTAGGGCTAACATTCAAAAGTATCACTTAAAAGGGTAATTAGCTATCTACAAGGTTACAGCTTTTAAAATTACAAGGCTTCTTTTATGCTAACTAAGAAGGTACTTTATTTTATAAGGAAATTGTTAAGGAAAATTTGTACTAGGTGGGTGCACTTAAAAAGCTGAGTAGGGCGACGTTGACTGCTACGCTCCGATAGTAAATGTGCTGCATGTGTGAACGTACCTGGTGCTCTTTCTGCCTTGACCGTCTTCAAACACCCCCTCGTGTGGGACTAGGTTCCAGATACGAAAAGAATTACTTGTGTTGGCGTGTATGAGCCTGAATTGCCGATAAGTAGAGTATTCCCTAGACAGATTTGACGTTTTACACACTGGTGGAACCATCTGTACTCATCCACGCCGTGCCTTCTACACAAATGACTAGTTGGTGCGGGTGATGCAGCTTGCCACAACCTGTACGTTGTGGAGCTCCTCGCCTTTGCAGCGTGGGGATGATACAGGCATGGCGCTGACAGGTTCCGAGACCAAAGGAATGTCGGCGGTGCTTTCTTGCGATGTATCCTGTTTTGGCCTATTCTGCTGCTGTTCCCATGGGTTTTCAAACAGATCTAAATTCATGGCAGTTGGAGCAGTTGTAAGACCTGTTACGTTGAGAACCACAAACCCGATTAATAGGGGATGATATTGGTAATCTGACACAGGAGACCTCGCTTACAGTCAGGCAACCACCTGATTCGAATATCTCTGACACACAACGGCTGTGAACTAGAAACCATCAGGCAGCCTTGGGGCGGGAACGCCCACCTCACCGGCGACCTTCTAAGTGCTTATGCAAGTGGTCAGGGATCCTTGTGCAATTAAGAAGATCTTGACCATCTTGGACACCGGTATACAAGCCACCATCAACGCCACCAGGAAGGACTGCTGGTCGGAGTCGAGGTTGAAGCTGGTGCGCTTCAGGGTGTAGATGAGGAGGGGATCCCACAAGGCGGCGAAGCTGACAAGCTCGGAAATTCTCCGAAGATCGATAGCGGAATCAATTTCCGCAGTGGCGCTTGTGAGGCAGACAGAAATTCGCCAATCGTCTTTCCAAAAGAGGTCTGCCAAGAATTTGCACACGAGGCAGAAAGGAATCTTGGTGCATGGCCGAGCTGTCAGCTGCATCGCAGCTATGTTGTGATCCCGTTTCGCCAAGTTCTCCAGAAAAATGCACTTTCCGGGGTGGCACATCTGTAAGCCCTATTGGACGCCAGCCATGCCTGATCACAGTCGGGCACCGTCCAGCTTAAAGTCGCGGTGTGCCTGCGAAGTCGGTTCGACCATGTGCCCTGCCCGTCTCTACCAGGGCAATACTCCACCCATCAACAGATGATTCCAGTAGGGTCTATACGAGTTCGAATCCTCAGATGGCGCCGTCAAGCAGCGAGTGGAATCAGTATCGTGGGATCATTACCCACTGCTATATCACCCGTAATATGTCGCTGCCACTGTTGATGCATGAGATGGAAGAAAAGCACGATTTCCGAGCAAAGTAACGTGCACTTTAACCCAGATTTTCGTACAAAAGCGACTGACAGGATGTTTCCATCCACAGAGCGAAGACATACAGGGCCCATTTCCGCCAATGGAGAATTCAGAAGAACATGACCTTCAACCGTGCCGTAGCAGCATTGGGCAGTGAAGAAGTCAACCGGGAAAGGGCCCTAAGCTACATTAGTAGGTTGCCTGCATCTGTTCGGCAACAAGCGCTTCGACAGCTACCATCTTCGCCTCGACGGTCTATGGATCCGCCCGATGAGCTGTCTGTAGTGGAGAACTGCATCCAGCTGCTCTCACACCAGGTGAATGGCTCCTTTGAGTCAGGGGTATGGCCTAAGGATGCAGTCACTGGCGCTAAGAATGAAACGGTAGTACCCGAATGGTGTACATCAGTCATGTCTGCGGCGTGGGTACTGAAAGAAGGCAGGGGAGGAGAGGCGCAACTCCTCCTGACCCGGTTCCAGAACGAATGCCATAGTCAGCTACAGCGCCATGATCCACTGATCTTTGCCTTCATGTACACGTCGGTACTTTACTTTGCCAAGGCACACCCTGCCATTGCATGGCAACTTCTCCGAAAGTTCCGCTCCGTTGCGGAAGAGCTACCGTGGCCGAGAAATCATCCAGCCCGCCTTTTATTCCGGGTTCTCTACCAAATGGGGCCGGACCAAGTGGTCGCGTATGCGAACAAGATACTGCTCGCCTACGTGGATCTGATTCACCGCGCTCTCGGCGGAGCCTATCCAATCGTCCAGGACATGCTCTCAGACGCCATGATGCGCCTGCTAACTGGGGGGCTCATGAGTCCCGAGCAGATAGCGGATCTGGGCCAAGATATGTGCGAGAAGGCCGAGAGGGAGAACCGACACCAGAACGAGTACTATTTCAACCTGAGATTGCACATGGCCAACGCACGCCTTTTGATGGGAGACAAGGACGCCACAAAGCTGCAACGAGGATATCAGGGACCCCAGAATTCTGGTGGGCGTGAACAGAACGATGGCCAGATTGCACGAGAGCGAGGGTGCAATGTCCGAGGCCATCGAGTGCCTTATGAGGTCTATCGTGTTGACACGAGATTGACGGAGAACAAGGACCCCATCTTGTGAACGGCTTGATTTTGCTGGCCAAAATGTACGAGAATTCCCGGTCAGGCAGAAAAGGCACAGAGAGTGAGAGAGGATCGCGATGCGACCTTAAAGTCTTTATGCGAGAAGACGGGGGACAGTCAGGGTAGTTAGAGTATTGATTCATACCTAGGTACTCGCTAATCTTTGTCACAACCCCTCAGCCATCCATATCACCTTACGGCCGCCTAGCATGTGTGTAATAAATATGGTCCTCGACCTTCTCATCGTCCGAGTGGTCATGCTTTGCAAAGGCCGAATTGCAGCCTGGGACGAAGCATCGTTTGTGGACGTATTCTCGCGCGTGGTCGTACAAGTCGTCCTGAGGAAAACACACACCGTGCTCGCAGCACGAAGCGCCATACGTGTCTTTGTGTGTCTCCAGCTCTTCGGCATCGTCGAACCAGAAGTTGCAGACGTTACACTTGACGCGCTGCAGCTGGATCGAGACCCGTGATGAACTCCACGAGAGAGGACTAGGCGACGCCGAAAGAGATCGCATATCGGTTTCTTCTTCATCACCGGCGTCGTCCATATCTTGGTCCTCATCTCCACCAACTTCGTCGCTGCTGTCGTTCGCGTCGAAGGAGGCATCGTCACTGCCATCACTGCCGCTTGAAATACTCACTATTCGAGCAGGAAGGTTGAGTCAGTACGTACACCTCCGCTCCATCGGAGCTCCTGATACAGTGATACTTACTGACTGGTCCTCGTATATGATGTGCACAACCATTGTTCTCCTCCCCCACTAACCATCCGCAAAACTTGCAGTACCGCACGGAGTCGTGACCCGCCTTGCGGCAGGCTTGACAAAAGTTGGACCGGTAGTCGTCACCAATGTGACGGTTCTGCCTTCGTTTGCTGCAGTAACCGCAATACATGATGTGCTAGAAAAAGATGAGGAGGAAAAGATTTTGGAAGAGCAGAAATAGGGTTAGAACGGTGACATACCGGTCAACGTATCATCAAGATCAATTTCTCAAGGGGGAAGAAAAACACATCATTATATAGACAGCAACTTCCCATCCTTCCTGCCTTACATTACGCAGGTGGGGCCATGAGGCTGGCCCTTGATCTGTAACATTCGCATAGGTATTAATGTGGTACAAATGTGGTCAGCTTGGCATGCACAAAGATCCCTGCACAAATACCCCTGCCAACACCCTCTTTACCAGGCCCAACTCAACCTGTCTTCAGCATATCGCTGACGGGTGGCTTGAATGTTGCGTAATACTAAATTGTCCAAAGCTTTTGTGAGTGGGAGGATGAGTCGGAGGGTGATTCGTCGTCGTGAAACTCACGTTATGTGGCTTAGAAAGTGCCTTCCTCCACACCCTCTCTTTTTGTACAGAATAATTTCGCACAGCAGAATAGTCTCCCCAAAACCCTTTAACGATGGACAAGCGAATTTTGGACAAACACAAATTCATGACTATGATGAGGCATGAGGGGGGAAGATGATAGCATCAAGCATGCAGCTTCGCGTGTTTCCAGCTACTGTCAGCTCTCCAAGCCACCACCCTCACTGAAACTACATTCCAGCTTTATTATAGTACGATCTCATCCTAGTGTCTCCTAAAGCTTTGAGGGGACCGATTTAAGGAGTTGTGCGGGTTTTATACCAAGCACGGCATCAAGCTGGTTATTGATCGCGTGTTTGAGTCTGGTCAAGCGAAGGATGCGCTTAAATTCCTGTATGAGGGATCGCATTATGAGAAGGTTGTCATCCGGGTGGCTGCTCAATCGTAAAAACGACTGACTTTGGCACACGACTAAATTAAGCAAATTTCAATGACATCCCCCTTATCCTTTGGCCACCTCTGTCCGTCCAAGACACCATTCAAGAAGGTCTCTCCAACGAGCCGATACTCTGGATCCTCGGGGTTGTTCGTGACCTTGCGCAAGACAAAAGGCTTGTCGCAGCCTTCGACAAGCGCGATCTGGTCTTCAGGCTGGACATATTGGCAGATGCCCATGACCCGGTCCTTAGTCATTAAGAGGCGTTGTTGAGCAGTGATCATGCGAAAAGTCTGTACAACGCTTGCCAGCGGATCTGCCCCTCTTTCAGGTCCCAGGGTCAAGGTCCGTTCCCATGCTTCGGATTCGCCAGTCGCAGAAACACGAGCATCAACCCAGGCTTTCATCGCGCGGATTAACGCTTTATCGTGTTCACTGTGGGGGAGATCTTCTTCAGAGCAACAAGCATCGATCCAGGCCTGCAATCCGCCTCCGGCAGCCACGCCCTCATCTTTACCCGGACTTTGCCCCTCTGGAATTCCAGAGTCTAGCTCGGCTGTTATCGATATCTGATCGCATGACAGACTGATCACAAAAAAGCTCAGAAGCCGCAGGAACTGCTCTCTCACAACGAGATTCCCAAAATTCTCTACGCACAACCCGAGGAAGCTGTCTCGGATGCTGCGATTCTGCGCACTCTCGACAGGTTTGGTCTTGAAATCCGGTTCCGCGGCCTGCTCCTGAAATAATTCACTCACATGGCGCACTGTGTCCAAGACTACTGCTCTAACCCTCAGCAAACATTCATCGCGCGCCGGCTTGATCGTGGTGTTGAAGCCTGCGCTCATTCGCGGTGTCGCGCGTAGCGCTATCCCCCGCTCGTTTAATTGCAACAAAGGCCTCGAATTCAAGGCGCCGGAGAGGTACAAATATCTCATTTGAGGTCCGCCGACTGTCATCGCAGCTCTTTTTCTGGTCAAGTCGGGCACCCAAGAGGGGCAATTTTTTGTCGTCCCATCACTTTGTCCGGCGAAAGACAGAATTGATAACGACCCAGTAGCGGCAATGATGCACACAGCTGCGTCGGTGTACGTCTCTGCAAGAGTGCGTTTATAATCGATGGTCACTTGTCCAAGAAGCTCCGGGTAGACAGACTTGAGGGCGTAGACGCGATCATGGTCGTCAGTGCAATTGAGGTGTGGTAGCGAGTCAAAAATTTCGGACTCATACGATATTGGATTTCCCCACGTGGTAGCTCGCGCAAGGTGAATGGTGTTTTGGGCAATACTTGCCCCGTAGACCGGGTCCCGAAAATGCTTGATGAAGTCCGTCTTGGAAATCCCGGCGTGTTTGCCGTCTCCCAAGTGGATGAAACATCTCGGATTCAAGGTGAACTCCTGATAGGTCCAGACACGGCTCCAGTAAGAATGAGAGGCGCTTCTTAGGACTGAGACATTATTTTCAAGGGGCATGTCGGGTAGCCAGACCACAACTCTTGCAGCATTCCGGTAGATATCGGCCATACAATTGATCTGGCGCTCCTTGTCCTCTTCGATCTGGCGCTTCTTGTCGGACGCGGCGCCAGACTGTTCTTGCATAATGCAAATAGCATCGATCCAAAGATATATACTTCCAGATCGGTCGCGTAGTCCTCGAATGGCTCCCTCGGCATTCGCTGTCACTTCCAGGAGCTTGGCATTGCACTGAATCGTTCGCTTTGGCTTCTGATCATCCCACCTATATGATACTGCATCATATGGCTGCGGGGGGTTGTCCACAGGAGCTTCTCTCAGCCTGGTCTTGATAGGTGCGGACTCTGTCTTCGCAGGCAAGACCTCGATGATTCTGGTGCGTGGTTCTCCGGTCCCGGACAGCGGGGTGTGTTGAAATTGCCCACGTCTAGAGGAGTACGCTGGGAGGAAGGCGCTGAAGATGCCCATGGCGGCTCTCTTTTCCGTCGTCGGTCTCTGCCTCCGAAGTTGATCACTGTGCTGAAATTGTTGGTAGAAGTCTCGTCTTTGCCTCAGAGGTGGGATCGACTACTTTTTGTACCTCGGCGCCGGGTGAATTCGGATTGTACTCGACTCCTGCGAAGTCACTGCCTGCTCACGGTCACACCCCGCGCCAATGGCTTGAGGATCTAGATCGTGGAGATGGTCCATGTTGGCTGAGGGGTGTTGGGTATGGATGCCGTGTAACTTGCGTGCCCTGTTTCTGCAGTGAGCGTGGATAATTGTACTCCGAGTGGCGTTACTTACTGCGGGGTGCGGCCGGAATTGAGGGTTGTAAAATGACGGTATGTGCAGATTCGCCAGCCATGAAATAAATGTCTCTGCTGGAAGGGTGGGGATGGACCTGAGACGGGCGCCACCGTCCTGTCCGGTATGGCGAGGCTTGAGGTATCGCAACTTTCCACGGGAAAGAAACGAATACGAATGAGGCAGGAGAAAGATGTCACCCACATTCAAAGTATTGCATGTATGATGGGTTGACTGCCAGTGCGTTGATGATAGTGTCGTGGATAAGATCCCCAGGAGTCGATTCGGCTGAGGAACCTGCACATGTGTGAATATGTGAATGCCCTCTGCCGGCGTAGCATTCAAGCCCAGGGTAGTAACCTCAATCGTTCCTTCCTTGTCGATTTGGTAACACGACTGCACCGCTAACCATCAGTGGAAGAGAAGCTGCCCACCTGGGATGGAATGAGTTGAATTGTTTCCTCAAGCAAAAGAGAATTCTACTTTAGACCTCAAACACCGCTGCTATTTATGGATACGCTAGCCATTTTCCAGCTCTATACGTGAATGCGCCAGACGACGCGAGTGTATAATACAGTGCGATTCGCTGATTTTCAAGCCAGTCCCCACGGGGCCTGTGTGGTAACGTACCCATTAATCAGAGCAGCCTCGGGCTGGCGTTGACCCGCTGGGAAACGAGGTCCCTCGCGGCAAGGCTGGCCTTCCCTGGCGAAGACCACCCTTCCCTTGGGAGGAAGTGGCTGAGGACCTTCTTCCTTAGTCAGCCTCAACTTTGATGGCGTAAGTACTAGTGCGTTAAGGTAAAACGTCTGAGGCCAGCTATAACAAAGAACGTTGGATCGTGGTTTGCCCTCCTCTAGCTGTTAGTCGTGAAGGTGATTAAGTCAGCCCACCGCTGGAATGCTGATGAGGGCGGACTGATGGAGTGTAAATTGGAGAAGACTTTGACCCTCGGTTATTCGAAGGGTAGTGCTCTTCTGAAGAAACACTTTAATTTGAGAGCGTAGACCTCCTTCCTCGAGTGTATCTTCGCTATGGGCAAGCCTCTCGTTCCTCTTATTATCTTCAAGAGACTAAGCATATAGCAATAGTGGTTTCCCATCGTCCATGAAGACTACGAGGGCTGGCAGTTCAACGCTACGAAGAAGGGGTGGATGAAGGAAAGAATCGCCATCAAATCGCTTCGGAACAGAGTCATGAATATATATAGATAGTTGTCAAATAGCTTTAGCGGTTATTATGAAATATATAAGTAAAATTATATTATTTATGTGGGCATGGGAAAATTTGGCTGTCTTGCATTGTGGGGTATCTCGCAACGTGGGGGGCTATGGTATGTGAAAGACCCAGATCATCTGTGCTTAAGGCAACCTACTTGCGGTGCGTGAACTCGTCCATTTTGGCTTCTTATGCCTTGCTTATAAGTGTCTTCAGGGTTTCGGCCTGCAAATGCACCTGGGCAGGGCGGGAGCTGGCTGCATGTCTACCCAAGCTGTGCCCTCCAAACTCCAGAGGAGCTCTTTGCCCAGGTGCCCAGCTACAATGGGCAATACTTGCTTGCAGCTGAGCCCATGCCTATGTTTCTTGGCTGCATCAAATCTGACAAACTCTGTACCCAACCTGTTTACCCTGGTCGGTTGGTTGCCTCAGGTGATCAGTCAATCAGGCAGCCTGTGTAACCGTCAGCCCAGCTCGGACAGGGCTTCATTCCGACCCGCCCCACGTCACGAAACCCCTCCTGAAAGTGCTCTATCCCACTGACACATCTTATTACACAGTCCAAAGATATACTACGAGGCTTTCTGGCGTGTGGATTTGTATCATCCTCGACCATCTCCGGTTGCTCAAGGGGCTACTAGTACTACCGCTCACTTAACTCGCTATCGCTCACCCAAGAGCAGCCAACCTCCACCAGCTACTCGGCCCACCACATCTTGTTGCCTGTGAATCAGGATAAATGTGATACCGCAAACAAAATGCAAGTCTCGATGTCGCTTTCTAGCTACTTGACTGGTTACTTACCTCTTGGCTGTTAGGGCCCACTTCGAGAAGATCGCCGGGGCTCTGCCGACTGTTGAGAATATCATGGCTCTCGCCGGAGTCCCAGGCATATCGATTGGCATCATCGACGGAAATTCTAATACTACCGAGACCTATCATTTGGGCTACCGTGATGTCGAGAACAAATTGCCCCCCAACGACCACACGAGATACAATATCAACTCACTGACCAAGGGCATTCTGTCTGCCCTTGCCGCCGCAGAGGTCCTCAGAAGCCAAGGTACTGAGAGACTAAGCTGGCGCCAACCGATTCGAACGTGGTTGCCGGAGCTTCCTGGCCTTTCTACCGACTTAAGAGTCGAGAGCACTCTCGTTGACCTCCTGTCACACCGTGTTGGAGTGACTAACATAAACGACATATGGCTAGGTGCTGACAATGAAATCTATCTGCCCAGATCTGAAGCTGCCAGGACGTTTGCTTCATTGAAAATGACCGAGCCATTCAGGACTTCATTCGAGTACAGCAACTGGAACTACGAACTCGTTGGACAAGTTCTTGAGAGGGCCACGGGGAGAACAATCAGCGACCTGTTTGAGAAGCGCTTCTTTACACCACTGGGCATGAAAAGGACAAGTACTTCGTGGTCAGAGTCTGATGACAACCAGGCTAAATCCTACGGAATGCTTCCAGATTTGTCTCCAGTAGAAGTAGGCCGTCCGTTTCGTGGCAATGATACCATCATGACAGCAGTTGGCGGCGTCAAGTCGACTCTCCACGACATGCTCATCTTCTACAAGGCCTTCATGGAAGAAGTTCCTGTCCACTACGCATCACTCTATGACTCCATTGGATCATATCCTTTCAAATACTGTCGCATGCTCACAACAAGCCATGCGAGCCTACCAGGGCCATCGCTTCGAGAACAGGGTTACGGGCTGGGTTGGGTTCGCGCCGAACTCCCTGGTCCACTTGGTAGAATGTCAGCAAATGTGCCGAGTGGAGGAATCATCGTCGGCAGAGGCAGCCCGTCCCATTTAGTGCTCTACAATCAGGGCTGCATGCCGGGGTCTTCGTCAGGAGTCTGGCTCATGCCAGAAGTCAAAGCTGGGGTGGTCGTCCTTCAGAATTCACTGGGTTTCGTTGACACGGCCGACTTCATCGGTCAACTGTTACTCGAAACACTTTTACAACCCCCAGAGCCGAATGACTACGTTGATATATCACGACAGTTCAATGCAAGAGCGAGAGGGTCCATCGGCGATGTGAAGGCTGAACTAGAGTTTTTCCACATCCCAGGTACACACGCTCGGCCGCTGCCCTCCTATGAAGGTCGATTCTGGAACGAGCTTCACAACTTCTTCATCGATATCGCGGTTTCTGATACCGGGACCCTACAAATGAAGTGGCAAGGTTTGGATTCGCAATCCCATGAGCTGCGTCACTATCACTACGATGTCTTCTCATGGCTCATGGCGCCAGAAGAGATGGTAAGGCGGGCCCTAGGCAGTCAATTCTATCCCGCTGAGTACTACCTTCTCGAATTTGGCAGCGACAAGAACGGTGATCAAGTTGATTACCTGAGGTGGTCGATGGACGGCAATTGCACATGGGACAGCACATGGGAGAGCAAATGGGAGATCACATTGGAGAAGTTGGAATTCAGGAAACACTCGGAAAAGACGACAGTGAGTCGAGTAGATGTTCTGCACACATTTGACGCGCTAACAGGTACATTCTCTATCTTCAGAGCTCACTTTTGAAAATGGTGGTGGGATACGGACAAACCGTGTTGAGTCTGTTATGGTAGCCTGCGAGTCTTCCAATGAAATAGGACCAGTGTCGAGGATCAGGTTGCCATTCACATGATGTTGTGGCACTCGCAAGCCGTATTGTTTCTCTCCCTGTAGCTTCCCTAGTATCACTACCAGCTGTGTCCTCCACGGCTTTCGAACACCGCTTCCTATCCCGCCGACATTCGACCATGCCATGATGCTGTCCCTATCCCATAGAGGATGCAAAATGCCTCCTCTAATTCATCGTTTTCTTTTCTTCTATCGATTGCATGACCTTAAACTTAAGGTTCGTTTAGCGGGTCTAGTAACTGGATCCGTGAATACGATTATAGGACGTCATTGCATCGCGCCTTGATCGGATGAAACAAGCCGACGAGACAGAATTCGCTGTCTCCAAGGTGCTCTGCCGTCGACACCACTTCAATTCTGCAACAGTGATGCAAGGTAAAATCTCAAGGGTTCTCCTCAGGCATTGAAGCGAGCGCGTGATTCGAAAGAATGGCCGAGGATGGTGTTTTCAAGAGCGGCCTCAACTTTATACGTCGCCAAGCCGACCGCGTCGTGAGCCCGGAAGGGCGCAATGAAGCCTTCGAGAAAATTAGTAGATTTGCGCACGATCAGCCACTTACTTTTGTAAGCCTCAATTATCCATTACGGGACGGCTGGATTGTGTCTCAATATTACTAACAAACGGCTTTTTATACGCATAGTCAGTTATCGTCCTCGGCCTGGCTGTACTTGTCCTGCCCATTCTCACGGCCGCAATTCTTGGCCTTGTCGCCACAGCCTGCTTCTGGTCACTCTTGATGTCCCTTACAATCATATTCTTGAGTACAGCATTACTTCCAACGGCGGTGATCGCAGCGACGATATGGCTGACCTACACCACCGTGCGGTGGTCCGCCGATTTGTTCGCCAAAGTACCAGTGGGCTCTGAGAACGAAAGCAACCAGGTTCTCATGAAACCCGAGGCCGCGGCAAACGCAAACGAAGCTCACGCAAAGCTGGAGTTGAATTTGTTCAAAGTTGAGGAGAAGGGAGATGATGGCAGGATGTAGCAGAACCTGGTGGTCCAACGTGTACCATGGTTTGGTCTTATCATGTCTGACTAGAGCAACTAGACCACGTATTTAGTCAGACAAAATGATTGCAGCGGGCCTTGCTGAGTTCAAAGCTTCTCAGAGACAGACGTCGATTGCCAACATGCAGACAGTCCCTAGTGCGGTCGATCGACAGAGCTCATTTGAGACAAGTTCTCAGCTGCTGATGCACCAAGGGAGCTGAGGAGCAGCCATCCGCCAACACCACTGTCACATATTCAACTAGGGGCAACCGAGTTTCTAAGACTATGCCAGTGTCTACTGTGTAGCTCATACCATTAAACCCTAGCATCATATCGTTCGGCTTAGCTACTAGGGTACGCAGCCATTGATATGGAGAAAAAGCAGTCGCCTCATCGAGAGGCTAGCATGCCCTTCTGCACACTAACTCTATACTACTGTCGACGTGCCCTCGGGATCATGTCTCAGAGACTGCACCAGCTCAGAACACGGTTCCACCGTGGCAATGAGACACGTGTTTTTGAAGCAACAGAGTTTCCCAGTGATTGGTGGTCATCGTATCTTAGTATTCATATAGTCGCAACAGAGTTTCAGGGGAATGAAAGCTAACACATTGGAATGAGGGCTAACGTGTTCTGAACGAAACTGAACTTTGGCCGCCTCATTTCAGACGCTGGCGTACCGCATCTGCTCGACAGTTGTGGCAGCATTGTGTGAAAATTTTCTTTGTTGGAAGACCCTTTACCTGCCCTTCTTGAGCCTGCGACCTTCTCCTGAAATTCCCGACCGCGCAACACACTGGCATCGACCAATCCTGAACATCATGATTGGTACCCGGACCTGTCTAGCTTTCACGCTCATTTGTCTAGTCTACTTTGTCGCGCAACTAGTATCCGACAAATACTCATTCATCCCTTCAGTAAAGGCAGATTGGACCGAAGGCTCGCGAATACCCGGAATTAAATGGGGTGAAGCTAGAGCAAATGATTATCCCGATGACACGCCCCCCGAATCATACAAGAAGCCACCAGCTGAGTCGCATCCTACAACAGAACCTGATACCGAGAGCCATCATTCCGGCTCCTCTGAAGGTGACGTGGACCAGGAAGAGGAGGATAAAGGAAACGACGAAGATATCGACGGCGAGAACGACAATGACGCTACGTTGTCCTTACACAAGTGGCTCATGAAGAGGGGGTTGATGCCAGGCAAGGCAGTGCCAATTGTAACGATTGCGGACTCGTCATATCTTCACGTCTTGCATGCGACGCAGCAACGCCTAGGAAAGTGGGGATATGATCGTGACCTCGTCGTCTTGTGCTTAGATGAAGCGTGCGCCAAGGATCCTGAGCTCCTGAACCCCTACCCGGGATATCTGCTGGGCGATGACGCGGCGATGCACGCCGTGGCGCTGTTCAAGGTACGCTTCTTCATAAATCTGAGATCGTCTCTATGAGATGGATAGTTTTGCTGATTGGGTGCGCGGTCTAGTTCATGGCCAACCTGAATCTTTCCGAGAACGGATATGACTTCGTTTTCCTTGACGCCGACGTCTTCTTCACCGGCTCCCGCGACCCATTCAGCGCGATGCTTCCCCTGTCGAACAAGACATGGGATCTTCAATTTCAGTCCGACAATGCGCCAAATGAGCTCAACATCGGCTGGTATTTTGCACGGCCAACGCCTGCTACGCAAATGTTCTTCCGGTTGAGCTTTGCACACTGGATACAGACCAGAACGGATAAGTGGGATCAGCTCGTGATGAACAACGTAAAAGATGGCATACTAGACAATCAAGCCAAACTCGCCGCAGAGATCGCCGCAGGCACGAATGAAACAAGCACATCACGCATACCGCCGCTCCGCATACACATGGTCGAGCTGAAGTACTTCAGGAACTTCATGAAGGAGCTGTGGAGCCCGGACCTCTTCGGCAACCAGACGGCCACCGACGAGTACATAGACACGGCGGCCGCGATCCACTACACCTGCGTCCAGCACGACCTCAAGGAGTACTTCGGGCTGTACTACAGCGGCTTCGGCGACCTCCACGGCTACTACAGCGAGCCCCCGCCGCTGCTGCGGCCCGTCGAGATCAGCGGCACGTCCGACGCGGTGCAAAAGCAGGTCGCGTTCGCCCTGGCGCTGGGGAGGAAGACCAACCGCACGGTCGCCTGGCCGGACTCGGTCAACGTGTTCCAGCGCTGGGGAGACGGGACGTACCACTTCCTGCCGCGGCTGCCCAGCGTCAAGGCCGTCAGCTGGCCGTCTGCAAAGGGCGCCAACTATTCAGTCGTCGAGGGGCAGTACCTGCAGAATCGCGTGCGCAACGGGTTGGAACCGCTGACGGAGGTCCACTGGAGCCTCAAGGAACATGTTGACCAGGCGAGCAGCGATCCCTGGTTGGATTCCTTGGCGGAGAGCTTGGTCGCTGAGGATGGCTTCCCCGTCGTTAGCTTGGACTTTACCGATGTGGGAACGGAATGGAGCCCGTTGATGGATCTCGCCGTGAGAGACAAGCCAGGATATGACGAGTTGGTACAGGAGGCTGAGGCAAAGTTCTACGCGGTCTTTAAGGAGTCGGGTATGGAGGAATTTTCCGCATCACCATTGGCAGACTTGGGCAAATGCCGTTGGGTTGATGGCGGAGATGGATGCTTGCTTAACTGTTGAGGTCCATTATCGTGTTGATTCAGTCAATCGTCAGTTGGCTGAAATGCTTGGCTTTGAAACTATTGGTCTAAGCAGCATCTCAATTATGAATGAAAAACACATAACTCGGCCTTTCTCTCCATTTTTACCCCTAGGATTTCAAAACTTCCGAACGGCTTATATTGTCTCCCAAAGAAAATAGGACGGCATAGTCAGGTGAATGAAGGTTACCTGCTGATATCCAATTCAGTTGAGGAACCACGTAGCAGCTCGTACATCGAAGATTTTTACAGCCCAGCCCTTATGAACTGGCACAGGGAATCTTGAAGTCGGTAAAGTATAGGAAATCAAGCATATGAGCAGAAAGTGAATGGTACGCAGGACTTGTATGAGACTTTTTTTTGGATGAAATATATCTGGGGCCTTTGGGTATGGATCTACGCCCTTCTCCTGTATTTTGCGTATTATACATGAATTCTAGGTATCAACAAATCTTGGAACTAAAGAACTTTCCCTCAGCCGGCGTCCTCAGGCAGAGTATGGTCCACCGCCCATGATGTGTTTTTGGAGATGCTTCTCTGTCTACTGTCATTGCTGTGTAGACTTTTGCTTTCCTTGTCAGAGCTAGTCACTTGGACGCTGTACTCAATGTTATCCCATCTCGTCTGTGGCACAGCCCATTTGCTCGTAGATCCTCGTTCCGTCCGGCTTGTTGAACTCACGGGGGATGCCATGGATACGGACTCCCCTGGCGTTTTACTCGGTTGATCCGCGCCACCAGATACAGTTGTTCGTATGTGATTGGGTCCTCCGTACTGAGTGTTCAAGGCTTTCATGAAGGTCCTTAGAATAGGCGAAGTGGTTGCAAAAATAGCGAACGAAAGTTGTATCTGGGTGAAGACCGAGGCCAATACGCCGTCCAGGGTCGGGTCGGGGCTTTCGTATTGGAATCCCAGCCAGTGGAGGCGAAGAATGGCTGGGATGATAATCCTAGAAACACTTTCAGTGATCTGGCGGCAATGTGTGTTGGAGAATGGCTGGCTGACGGTAAGCGAAGTGCGAAGGCTGTCAACACGATAAGTTTCTTCGCGATCTTCATCGTGACTCCGTGAAGCATGTACAGTGATATGCCGAATAATAGAAGCTCCGTGGTTACGTCAAAGGCCAGTATGGCTTGCCACCGTGGGAACTGAGACCAGGTTGGTGTTTGTTCCAAAGCCAGTAAGGACAACGGGTGAGCAACCTTACCAGGTCTTTGCATCTTGCTCCAACAACTATCCATGGTTTTGATCCATCACACCGAATTGCTATCAGTAATTCCGAAATGATCATCAAGACAGTTGACCCGCCCAGAACGATGTAGGATGCAGTGGCGTGCTCCGAGTCAGGGCTTAGGCGGATAAAAAGATATGCCACAGAACACTTGGTCAACCACAGGATGAAAATATATAAGATATCGCATGCGAAGGCAGTCTGAAACGACACAGTAAGTATGTTTTCTTAACTACCTTCACTTCATGTTCTGCGGGGCCAATGACTTCAAGAGAGCATCATACTTGCTGCCACAGAACCACATCTGCTGTGGACAGATGTCCAATTGTCTTTCCGAATCCGTTTCGAACCTGGACAAACATAAATGCGGATTGAATTATCAAGACGATCTTTCCCCTCGGGTTTGGTTAGTCTGGGGTTCCGATGTCGGTTAAACGAGGGCAACCGACCATTGAAGTGATGGACGCGGCATCATCCCATCCTAATTGAGCTCGACGGAAGTATTGTCTCACGAAAATCCTTATTGCCATGGAAAAAAGGCCGAATACAAGACATAGAGATGTAGCAATGACAACAATACTAGACTTGTCCGTGTTCGTTAGAGCTGCCAAGGGAGGGGATTGCCCTGGTAGTGTGTGAGTCGTTGATGACTCCGCAGTTGCCGTAGAGGGCGCCATGAGATTTGGCTCCGATGGCAAAAGCCTGCCAAGTCTCGAGAGCACTTCGTCGTCGAAGTTGACCGAACGTGTGGTGCAGCTTGTTTTGGCTGCCAAGACTTCGATGTGGGAATCCGAGGACACGTCCGACTATTTCTGTTGCGTCTTCACTCATTGTGGCTTGCATCAGCGCAGTCTCTTGAGGCAAACCGTACGCAGAAGCTGAAAAGCTTCCGGAGATCGGCGGAGAGCTGTCGTGAGACATTCGCAGCGTGCAGTTACGTGGTTTTACAAGCAGAAAAGCAGCCTCGTTGCACTGGAAATGTCTCGCTTTGCGTCACTCACCAACTTGAAAGGCCTTGCGGTGGCGAACAAAGCTTGAACTGTGCGCCGGTGCTGTTTCGTGTGTTACCCGGCCAAATGCATAGAGAGAAGCCACGATATCAACGATTTGAGGTGGAAGCGAGCCCGTTATGTAGGCGAGGAGGTAATTAGGACCTGGGTAAATAAGAGACTAGTGGATTAAGCAGTCCATGCCCAAGGGCAGCACCGAGCTTCCTCTGTGGCCAGCTGAAATTGGCACGAAGTTCCGTCTGTCTAAGCTCCAGCCAAGCGCTTCGAGGCTGCCAATAGAATATCAGTGGCGGTTCCACCGCATGAGACATTAGCGATGAAGGCCCCGACGAAGACCTTCATTTCTCAAGGTACCTAGACAGCTGGGCCTGGAAGCTATCCTTTTGGTTACTAGTCCGGCACATTCAACCTACCGCTGATGTCCGTGTCTCACCTGGTTTTGATTCTTGGGAGCGCAGCAGCCAACGCCAGTATTGGTCCCTGGAGATCCTGGGTGCTTTCCTAGCTCGAATTCTCACATGTCTGTAGTTAAGCATAGAAAAGTCTCGCCTGCAACGCATATTAAATTGCATCCACTTGCTTCACATTCGCTCATCTCGCCCTCCTTTACGTGCCATTCCAGCCTTGGTGTGTACTGAGGAGTCAAAAACAAAATGACCAGCAAACCTTTTGTGACAGAGCGTGCTTTCAAGCCTCTGACGGGTGTGGAATTGCATAGTCTCTCCCGTGAGGATAGGAATTCGCAAGATGAACACGACATGGCGGTGTTAGGACGTTCTCAGGAGCTAAACGTCAGTTAAAATTCCATATCTAGACCGAGTTACAAAGCTAACTCCGCTCACAACAGCGCAACTTTCGTTTCATTTCAACGTTGGGATTTGCGTGCACGTTGATGAGCACGTGGGAAATATCTCTGATGTCAGTATCGTATCCGGATGGCTGAGGAGATGTTTGATGATAACAGTTTCATAGGACAAGCTTTTATGGACTTTTCAATGGAGGACCTGCTGGCCTCGTATGGGGTTATCTAATAACGTGGCTAGGATATCTATTAGTATTTGCCTCGGTATCAGAGATGGCCTCGATCTCTCCGACATCAGGAGGTCAGGTATGTACGACGTCGCTGCGAATCACGATAGAGGATGATCTGGCTAACTGCAGTGTCAGTACCATTGGGTGTCTGAATTCGCACCTGCACGAACGCAGAAATTTCTGAGTTACACAGTTGGTATGTCATTTTGGGTAGCTCATATGAACTTTGTAGTAGCTGATCAAAGAACACCATTTGGATGGGTTGCAGTACTTGGCTGGCAAGTGGGCCTGACCTCTCTGGCATTCCTTGCTGGAACTATGATACAGGGTCTGCTCGTCCTCACCAACCCACAGTACCCGATTGAGCGGTGGCATGGTACCCTACTTGTCATTGCCATAACGGCATTCTGCATAATATTCAACACAGTACTAGCGAAAAGACTCCCAATGGTCGAAGGCATGGTCCTCTGCGTCCATGTTCTGGGATTTGCTGGCGTTCTGATACCACTCTGGGTCTTGGCACCACTCAACAGCCCAACCCAAGTCTTTACGGAATTCTTGAACCTCGGTGGATGGGACACAAAAGGCTTGAGCTTCTTCGTTGGTCTTCTCGCCCCAGTCTACACACTTATCGGAGCTGATTCGGCAGTGCACATGTCCGAGGAGATCAAAAATGCGTCCTTAGTACTCCCCAAGGCGATAATGTGGGCAGCAGGTGTGAATGGCAGCATGGGCTTCGTCATGATCATTACATTCTGTTTCACTATGGGTAGCGTTGAGGAAATCATATACTCCCCAACCGGGTTTCCTTTTATACAGGTCTTTTATGATGTGTAAGTACGAAGCCACCTATGCTCCGATCAACTGAACCTTGCCCTCAGGATCGTCTTGTAGAAACTTTTCTTGATTTGATCTTTGCGGTATAGAACTGACAGTCATTAGGACTCAGAGCTACTCCGGCACTTCCATCATGACGGCACTCCTTGTTGTCAATATCACCTCCGCATGTATCTCCACCGTCGCTACGGTGTCTCGTCAAACTTGGGCTTTTGCACGAGATAACGGCCTTCCCTTCTCTAATTTCATTGCCTACGTCAAACCCGGCTGGAATATACCTCTCAATGCCGTCCTGACTACCTTTGTGATCACAGCAATACTCTCGCTGATCAACATTGGCTCCACAGTCGCATTCAACGCCATCGGGTCACTTTCCGTCAGTGCATTATTAGGCACTTACATCATCTCATTCACCTGTCTGGTGATTCGTCGGTTCGAGGGGCCACTCCCGCATCGCCGGTGGTCCCTTGGCTCTTTTGGGCTATTCATCAACATTGGTGCGATTTTGTTCCTGCTTGTGGTCTGGTTCTTCGTTTTCTTCCCGATGTCCCCCCATGTTACACCTGAAACGATGAACTGGAACTCGGTCATATTTTGTGGAACCATGGCTTTTGCCATGCTGTACTACTTCCTACACGGACGCAAACATTACACGTCGCCTAGGAACTTGATAAAAAGAAACGGTGAATAGGGACTCATCGATAGAAATTGATCTCGAACTTTGATCTGCTGAATGGTGGGAACTGTGAACTTCCCGATATCGAAGACGCCTAAAATTCCCCTAATTAAGTCCCAGAACATCACGAAATTGGAAAGAAAACTGTCTACTGCACAAAGGGGATGCCTAAAGCCACACGCCGGGAAGAGCTCTCTGGGTCAAGGTAGGGTCTCCTATTTGCCGTTATGTCAGCATTCTCACGAGTGTTCATGAGGTATGTCTGTTGTTGTAACCATGGCTGACAGGTAATTGGGAATTTCAGGCCGCAGGGGGAACGTACTCTCCGAGCCCAACCGCTCGATTGCCAAATCGGTCACCGAGGCCATTGTAGTCGAATGTTGCAGTGTGGAAAACACTGCGGTTGTCCCAGATCGCTGCCATCAGGTCAGTCTAGAGTCGTTCGTTGGAATAGCAGTGGAGGGCAACGAACCGATGTCATTCTTGTTCTGCCACTTCAAGCGAGCCTGCAGGTCGTGGTTCTTGTAGACCAAGTCAAGGAACCACTGCAGGAGATGGTCGCTCTCCTCCTGCGTCACGCCGTTGATGTACCTCACATGGCCTCCGACGGGGAAGATACTCTTCCAACCCGTCACCGGGTTGGTGCGCACGATTGGGTGGATTGCCTTGAGGTCGAGTCCGACGTTCTCCGGCGCGCCACGTGGCTTGTCGTAGAGCTCGAACCCGTTCTTCTCAGCGACCTCCTTGAAGTATGGCTGGGCGAAGGTCCCGGTCAGCCCTTCCAGGAACTTCTGGTATGGCTCGCTGATGCGGTCGTAGATCTCATAGCCCGAGGCCCAGAGCGTGTCTGTTCTGGATCAGCCTCTTCAAGCCTGAAGGTAATGGATAGAAGCCACGGTCGGGAAAGACATGGTCGTACTTACCGCCACCTGTCTCGGGGAGCTCCACTAAGCGCAGTGAGGTGTAATCAGCCGGCACTGGCTCGAAGGCAATGTCGGAATGCCACTGGGCACTGTACTGCTTCTTGATGCTGAGCTGATCCGCTGTCTCCCGTTTGTACAGCTTGCCGTGCTGGACAGAGCTGATTGTGGAGATTTCCTTGTCGTTTCCACCCAGCTCCCGTGACTCGTTGAGGATAGGGTGTATGTGAAGCCCAGAGGTCTTCGGCCGTCCAGTCAGTTCTCCGAGCCGCAGGATAAGCTTTTTCTGGAGGTCATTGGTGAGCCCATCCTGAGCACGGAAAAATACCACCCCACGTTGCGAGACTAGGTGCTTGGTGTAAGCGCTCTGAAACTGTCCTACGGAAACATGTAGTTAACCTACTAGTGATGGCGAGGTCTCTGAGCAGCTCGTCGGAATTCTCTGCGTCCAGCCAGTCTACGAGATTGGCTTTTGGGAACTCCCGACCAATGACGGGCGTGACATCAAAGGACTCAAAGGGTTCCAGAGCTCCGGACAACTTCAACGGCTGCTTGTGCTCCGCTTTGGACCGAATAGGCGTGTCAACATCGATGGCGGATGGGGCCATATTGAACTGAGTATGAACGTCGACAAGGGTACAGTACAGTCTTGGAATCAGCAGTAGGCGTTTGAAATACTGCTTTGTCTACGCCGAAGTGTGTATGCAAGAACGATTCGGGCGAGACGTGTACTGGAGAATTTCAAAAGTTATAGGAAAAGCTACACGTTTTGGAATAGTTGACGGTGCCCGGATATCGCTAAAATCCGGCAGTCAATACACATGCCCAGGAGGACGAGCTCGAATCAGCTCAGGCTAGGTCTAACGAACATGCAATCAGCTTCCTGGCTCATAATGATGGAAGGCAGTCTAATAATTTCGTGCTTCGAGTTGGCTCGCGAATGACGGAAACTGTAACTCGTCTTGTTCATGCAGCCATCCCGGATCACCCTCCCAAATAGAAGTGGGCGCATCCCGCGCGCGGGGTCGATGCCGTGTGACGAGGAGAAAGCACGACGACCATTGCATCAATACCTAGACGAAGAAAACTGTGGCAGGAATACTGCGGGCAATCGCTGCTCCGGGCACAAAGATGAAAGTGGTTCACAGCTCGTGAAAATGAGCAAACTCTGCATAAACTGCCATCAAATTGCTCGCTGCTTCGGGGTATGTGGGTGAGAGTAGCAGCCATGTCGCCGTAATTACAGACTCGCAAGGCAGACAGATGCTTAGTCGCTGGGAATTCCTTCGTATCAGAGCCAGCAATATCTAGGATGGATATCTCGTGGCGTAGAATGCGGAGATAACGCACTGCTTCCCAAAATTCGGCAATATGCCAACGCCTCTATCATTTACCCGGGGATAATTGGCCATGTCCTCATGGAGGACGACTCGGTGGACGGGACCGGCGAGGTCGACATACACGGAGGCCATCGCGCCATCGCGCCATCGTGCCAAGCACCAATTCGTCATATTGGGTGAGATGGAGTACAACTGTCAGGAACTTGATCGCCAGATAAACTGCACAGTTACTCTTTGCTTATAACATGACGAACCTGGACGCAGTATCTCAGATGGATGCAAACAGATGGTATCGACAAGTGGAGTGACTCCACTGCTTCCTCGTCAGGCCGGGAACTTGTCCCAGCTTAATTAGATCAGAGGAAGGCAGACATATCTAATAGGCCCCGAGATTTGATATTATACAACCAAGTATTTCTTATCATGCCGATGTTTCTGCAGCCTTTCCTTGCGTTGTTGTACGGCCTGTGACTGTGATGATCCGCACTCGACAGCGATGATCCGGATGAGATTTGGCTCGTCAAGTTCGATGCAAAGCAATGCGGCCACATCACGCAACCTTTGATCACACCTCCCGGCAGCGATAGCCGAAAGACCAGATTCAGCCCTCGTTCCAGCCAGGATTACCATCCGGAGGCGACATCGGCCTATGGGGTAGGTGTGGCTGGCCTGGGCCAGTGTGCCCGCATTCTATTCTTCGTCGTGATTTTGCGGGCTTTCGTCGCCATCGATAAACTTCAGCTAACAGGCATCGGTCTAAGCTAACCACACTCCTGCGTGGGGGCCTTCTATTCTAGAACTTGTGCATTGGAAAGCTTGGTCCATCGCATGTTCGTTGTGCTGAGCATCTGCTTGGCATAAAGACCACGGCACAGCCGTGATATTCTATCTCTTGCCAGCCGGTGTATATGCTGACCGAGTACGATTATACCGACACCAAGAAAAATGGCTACGGTCCTCATAAAAAATCGTCAGACCCCTCAAAAGGGAGCTACCTCCGATGGGAGTGGAAAGTATGAACCTTTGACGTCGACTACATCTCTCCCCGCTGAGCTGGCCCTGGGAATGCCCGTTCAAACGAAGAGATTCTTTTGACAAACGTCGAGATCTTACGACCCTAATGCCATCGCGACACTTCCAAGTGTGTTTGACGATCCCGATACTGCAGAGAAATATCTTCCCAGGTCAGACTGGTTAGTGACACTCAAGCAAACCCCATCTCATCACTGGCGTGAAGCTGAGCCATGCTAGGAAAAATTTCCACTGTTTCGATCCTTCAGCCAGATGGACATGGGCCGAAGAGACTAGGCTCATCCGCAAGATCGATCTGAGGATTATGCTTTGGGCAATTGTCATGTTTATGGCATTGGAGATCGACCGAGCCAACCTTTCTCAAGCTTTGACGGACAATTTCCTCGGTGACTTGAACCTCACAACGAATGGTGCGTCATCAAGTCTACACAATGCGAACCAAAACTAGGTAGCTAATTCTCAGCCAGACTACAACCTTGGAAACACCGTATTCAAGCTCGCGTTTCTCTGCTCTGAGCTTCCCTCTCAGCTTGTTTCGAAGTGGATGGGACCAGATAGATGGATCCCGATGCAACTGACTCTGTGGAGTTTCGTAGCTGCGGCACAATTCTGGCTCAGCGGCCGAGAGTCATTCCTTGTCTGCAGGGCGCTGCTCGGTGTGCTGCAGGGTGGGTTTATCCCTGACGTGAGTGACCAAGGCCCATCATCATGAGATTCAGACCACGACTGACTTTATCCAAGGTCATCCTGTATCTATCTTATTTCTACAAACACCACGAGCTCTCAATCAGACTGGGGTGGTTCTGGACTGGAATGAGTATCGCGGATATTCTTTCTGCTCTTTTTGCCTATGGGCTCCTTCACATGAGAGGTGTCGCTGGTCAGGCTGGATGGAGATGGCTCTTTTTAATCGAGGTCAGTCCTGTTAGCCCAACACAACGCCCTCGGGGTTTAAACCACAACCCAGATCTGGTATGTCTGTGTGGCTGACATCACCTGGGTATGCAGGGTCTCTTCACGCTTCTAGTCGGTCTGCTGGCCTTCGGTCTCATGCCTGCAGGGCCATGTCAGACAGCCAGCTGGTTCCGGGGAAAGGCAGGTTGGTTCGATGAGAGGTTCGTACTTTCCTTGTGATTAAGCCATATCCACGACAAAACTAAACAATTTTACTCGCGCAGGGAGCAAACAATCATCGTCAACAGAGTTCTCCGAGAGGATCCATCGAAAAGCAATATGCACAACAGGCAACCGGTTACACCGAAACTACTGTGGCAGAATCTGAAAGACTTCGATCTCTGGTAAGATGCACCGATCTCCAACAGACTATTATGGCATTAGATTGACAAATTTTTCAGGCCCCTACACATTCTGGGTCTGGCTTTCCAAATTCCCATGACGCCCCAGACACAATACTTGACATTGACTCTCAAGGGGCTTGGTTTCGACACGTTCCAAACCAATTTGCTGACCATCCCGTACTATGCTGGGCACAGTAAGTTTATCTTCTGCTCTGAACGAGCTGTCCATTTCTAACACCGCGGCAGTCGTCTCGATGCTCATTTTGACATACCTGGGTGAAATATGGAACGAGCTTACTTTCACGGCTATGATCGGCCAGATTTGGGCGCTTCCACCGCTCGTCTGCCTTGTAGTCCTCAACTTGGCGACTATCAACAGATGGGCTGTGTACGCAGTACTGGTTCTGTTGCTCATCTATCCCAACGCACATCCAATTCAGGTTGGATGGAACTCTCGGAACTCCAATGCCGTTCGATCCAGAACCGTATCTGCTGCATGCTACAATATGTTTGTCCGGGCTGGTGGAATAATCAGTAGTAATATTTACCGTGCAGGTACGTGTTACAGTTGCAACGTGCATATCAAGAGGAATGAGTGCCAACCTTCATGGTAGACGACAAACCGTTGTATAAGCGAGGCAACAGGCAACTCTTGGCCGTGTGCTGTATGAATATTGTTTTGTATTTCCTGACCAAGGCGTACTACGTTTTCCGGAACAAACAAAGAGACAGGAAATGGAATGCTTTGACAGAAGACGAACGGCTGGATTACCTTGAAAACACCACGGACGAAGGTAACAAAAGGTTGGACTTCAGGTTCCAGCACTGATTGCTGATGTCTGTCACTTTTGGTCAAATGCCGTTGCGCAGACTTTCAGGCAGTCGAGGCAAATTACACTGGCGAAGTCTCTGGCGCAGAGCCAAGAGCAGATGAGACCTGGATGGCGGGGAGAGTGCAGGGATTTGGACCCTCACCAGAGATAAGCGAGCTTATCAATAAGCGACCTTATCGATAAGCATTTTCTCCTGGCCTAAAATCGCATTCTGACAGTAATCCTAGTCTTTTTGCGCTGCGCCAAACAAAGCCATCCCGAGTCCCCCTTTCAAACAGACGAGTCTCGTTCCTCTGCTCTCGCCATCCTCCTCGATGTCTCGAAGCCTTTTGTCTGCTTGCTATCTTCCTAGACTGCAATCCACAAGCATTTCTCCCTCCATTACTCGCCTTACTTGTACTTCTCAAGGACTGCGCTCGTTCTCGACAATCATGGCCTCCAACGGTGATCGCGGCCCGCGCACACAGCCAGGATCCTCGACGGGCAACAATGTGGCCAGGGGAGGTCGGAAGAGACAGAACAGAAGACACCCTTACCGCCCAAGCGACAATGCAACATTCGCCTCCACCCCAGGGTCGTCCTCCCAACAAGCATCGCAGGCAAAGCGCGCACCGGCGCAGCCAAAGAAGGTCGAGGCCGCGCCTGCTCCCCCTGCCCCCGCTGCCGACACGACAGGTCTCTCGAGATTTGGCGACCTTGCACAATACCAGATCCATCCCGACCTGCTCGAGACCATCGCCCAAGACCTCAAGTTCGAGTATATGACACCTGTCCAGGCAGCAACCCTGCCCCTGCTGCTCTCCGGTCGCGACGTCCTTGCGCAAGCCAAGACTGGAACAGGAAAGACGGTGGCATTCCTCTTGCCAGTCATTCAGAAGCTCGTCCATAACATCGACCCTATGAGGCTCCCATGCCTGCTCGTCATCTCCCCGACGCGGGAGCTTGCGATGCAAATAGCCGAGGAGGCGAAGCAGCTACTGCAGCGATTCCCCAAGTTCAGGGTGTGCACTGCGATCGGTGGCACCAACATGCGTTCCGAGGCGAACCGCATTCGTGCGGGCTGTGACATCCTCGTCGCGACTCCAGGGCGACTCCAAGATCACCTCACGCAGGAGGACGGTGTCATCCGAGACATGATGCAGTCGCTGCAGAGCTTGGTCCTGGACGAGTGCGATCGACTGCTGGACATGGGTTTTCTCAGGGATCTCAAGAAAATCATCGGCCTCCTCGCAGACAAGAATACCTCCCAACGCCAAGGCATGTTGTTCTCTGCCACTATCGCCCCTCATGTGCAACAGTTCGCCAGCCTGGTTCTCGCCGATGGGTATCAGTTCATCTCGACGATTCCAAAAGGCGAGGCACAGACCCACGACCGCGTTCCCCAACATGTGACCATCGTTCCCGAGTTCTCTGACGTGGCAGCTGGGACGGTCGGAGCCCTCCGACAGGAGATGGCAAGAGTCGGCAAGGCCAACTTCAAAGCCATTGTCTTCGCCCCAACAGCGGCGCTGGTCGACTTCTATGCCGATGTTCTGGAACAGTTCCAGGATCTGCCCCCTATCTGCGTCCTTCACTCGCGCATGGGGCAGGGTAAGCGAACCAAGGTCACCGACGCGTTCCGGACCGCCTCGAACGGAATCCTCTGTGCGACGGATGTGGTCGCCCGCGGAATAGATTTCCCTGCAATCTCGAATGTTTTCCAGGTGGGCCTGCCGATGGACCGAGAGTCATACATCCACCGACTGGGAAGGACTGCTCGAGCTGGCGCCGACGGCCACGGCACTCTGGTCCTCACTTCTCACGAAGCTTTCTTCCCAAGGAATGTTTTGAAGGGGTTGAAGCTGAACGACACGCCAGCAGATTTGAGCGCCCGCGGCGAGGTGTCTGCCTTTACTAAGAGGATGGAGTCTGAAAAGCAGACCAAGGTTTACCAAGCTTGGCTTGGATACTACAAGGATGCTAGGGTCAAGATGAACTGGACTGTCGACGAGTTGGTCCGACAGGCCAACGAATTTGCATTCCAGGGCCTTGGAGCGCCCGGTGTGCCTCAACTGCAGAAGAAGACCGTCGGCAAGATGGGACTAAAGAAAGTCCGGGGGCTCAACGTTGTTTAGATCGTAGATAGAGAGACGGTGTGCCATACTCACTTTCGAGTACATAAATGCGACGGAAATTGGCGGCCGAGGGTGACGGGGGCGTTTGCCTTTCTTTTTCACAACTCTACTAGATAGGTTTCCCTTGTTTGTTAAGGCTGTCTGGCAATCTGGCAAGTCCACTACACCCTTAGAACGGCTAGGTGGGCACAGGATACTAAAGAGCAATAGACATTGATACCCACCCAGCTGCATTGTTCTCTCACTCCTGTATTAATCACGAGAACATCCCGTGAGGCTGTCAATCGCCAGTCTATTAACTTACTAATTACGTTGGCACACAGCGCGAGTTACTGCCAGCGTGGTCGATCCGTCCTGGGCTGAGGGTAAGACATCGGCCGCCACGGCCGGGTCGCATTCGGCCCCAAAGGTCCCCCCGGGCTCACGCCCCGCTCCGGATCATTCCCGGCGTCGGACGAGTCCTCCGCTGTCGAGTCCCCAGCCGCCCCTTCAAAAACCCCAAGAGAGAACCCATCGGCGATAGACGAAGGCGTCGTGGCAACGGAGTAGGGCCGGGTGTCGCCTGGGCTCCGCGGCGTGCGAGGCGGTGGCGGCGCCGGCGGCAGCGCCTTCATTGTTATCGCGTCCTCGGTCGGTATCCTCTGCAGCGTCCTGTCTCTCGATATGTCCGTGGACTTGCCAGTGCTGGACTTGCCGAGCTCGCTGGTCTTGCCTGCCGACTTGGTCCCTCCCGACACGTACGACAGGGTGCTGGTGAGCCGGGAGGTGTACCGCGATATGATGTCTGGCAGGATCGGCACGTATTTGACCACGACCTGCCTTGTTGCTGGGAGGCACGCGACGGTTACGCCCGTGGTTAGTTCGAGGGCTGACCATAGTGCTACGCCAAAGAAGTCCACTGTTGAGGGCGTCTGTCAGTACTGAATGTGCGGGCGTGGTCGGTGGTGGACTGGGCTATGCTTACTTGTTGGGTTTTGTGGGTAGGCCTGCGCGAAGCCGATCAGGCTCCTAAGCCGGATGCTGCTCACCACTGTGATACTTTGGTGGGACAGCGTTAGCTTTGTTGCGTAAGGTGATTTGCGCACGACGCTGAAAGGCTCCAAACTTTGGAGTCGCGGCGACTTACAAGACACCCAGCCCGAACATGATCATCACACCAATTTTCCTCCTCAGTGGCATGTTCAGACCCCAGACCTGGCTGGCAGGGAGCGCCAGCATCCAGAGATCGAGGGCTATGTTGACGATAGCATGCGACCAGGCCATAGCGTAAATATTAATACAGCGACCAACATGTTCCCCACTGTCCAGTACTCATCGTCAGCGAATTCGGTGTCATCTCTGCTGATAGTTGCGTTTCGGGGAGAAAAGCTCGCAGCCGAGTGCCACGAGCCCCGGGCTTGAACAGATCGACATACTCCCACATGTCCCAGAAATAGCTCATTGGTTGACATTGCGCGAGGTCAACGATCACGTAGACCACGACCACGGTCACATTGAAGAGCTGGGTTGCCCAGAGGTAGCGCCGGATCCTTCTCTCTGGAAATAGTCGGAGGAACAGGAAGCAAATCGATATTTTGATAATCCCGATGGTGAGCGTGTATAACACCTCGAAGACGAAAAAGATCTGGAGAAAGTTTGTTATTTGGTTGAAAGGCACGAACCAAATATCTATACCGAGTCCATTCTGGTTGGCTGTGTGCGGTCTGTTAGAAGTCGTCGAGGGCGATGTTTAAGGCGAGGCCTTACCGATGATACCGCCTGCGAGAAATACATTTTGCAATACCTGCTTCGCAGTTAGCATTCGGGATAGCCAAGTACACACCGGGTGAAAAAGGCGGACTCACCCAAGCAATCACGATTGTTGTGTCATCTGGTCCCCATGGCGCCAGCTTTAGAATCCTGGACGCTATTCGTATGATGAAGAAAATGTCTTGAATGATTGTGACTACTATCTGGAGTATAGTAACGATTGGTCCGCGATCGATGATTGGAAGATTGCAGTTCGTCGCCGTGATCCGCTTGACAACTAGATGACTGTTAACAAGGCGCTGGATCAGAAGCAACCGCTTCTTGGTTTACGACATGGTTGTCCGAGAAGCGGTCATCGAAGAACGCACCTAACTGTTCTTTGACCGTACAGCCTAGGATAACGCAGTTCGTCACTGCGTTATTGTAGACTTGGTCAAGGCATAGGCAGGTGTAATCGGTCAGAGCACAACTAGACGTGGAAAGAGAGGAAACGAGGCAGGAGACCTGGTATCTGTGTCAGTGTCTATCCCATCGATGGAATTCAGAAAGGATTAAGCTGCACATACGCCACACTGTGGAACTCCAGTCAGATTAAACGACATCTGGGGTCGATGTCGGTGGGCCTGATCCAGAAAAGGAGAGGCATATGAAGAGAAAAAACTTTTCCGGGGTTCGGGCAGGCGCTGGAGAATATACTGGAGCTCATCGGACAAGATGTAGTCTGGAAATATTGGAAGACTGTCTTTTCTGCAATCTAGATCACTGGCTGTGGGGAAGCGACCAGGTTCTTGAACTGCCACAGAGATGACAAGCAGCTGTCCGAATCCAGCAATTGTCACGAAGGTTCGCAGGATATAAGCTGGGGTCGGTCCCGTTAAGAAAGGCAGGCATCCGATACGGTCGTGTTCTCCCACGCTTCCGCTTACCACGGCTAACAACAAGTGCAGATCACAGGATTAGTGAGACTAAGACTAAGGAATATTCTCCGAGTATCAGTTGCTTGTAAGACTCCTGACTGGACAAAAGTCCTGTCGCCCCCGCCACTTGACTTTCTGGGCAACCCCGGCGGCTTGATGCAGTCCCACGAGCCATGACCATCTGCCGTTATTTGAGACAGCTCAAGTAGAACATTGGAAATCCATGTTCCCCATGCTCCTAAGTGGAGGCAGGCAACATCAAGGTTCTCTATGTCCCCCCTCCCATGGCCGTCAATGCTGTCAAGTCGGAACATCGATTTGCCAGATTACCGGGGCCGCTTCCTTCAACAGCGAGCTACGGCAGGTTCCCCTAGTGACTTGAGTAAGGGGAAAGCTTCCAGGGACTGAGCTTACCGCCGGCCGAAACACCAGGTTCAAGCAGCTAGTGGCTGCCTGAGTAAGGCTCCCCTACTCGGGTGCTCTAGAAAGCAATTGAGTGGAGAAGGTCCTGCGGGAGTAGCCAGCGACAAAACTCATTGACACGCCGGAAACGAGAAAGAAGCTGGGGTGTAGGTACGGCGTCCTCGAAGCTGGGGTCCTGATGCCAGGGTGGCCAAGACGGAAAGCTACCTTGGGTGTCATGCTTGACAGCCGCAAAGTTCCCTGCTACCCAAGATTGACACATTCGGCCCTTCGGGCGCTCCAAGATGTCGTTTCAATGCTGCTCATGGAACTGTCAATCCATACATTCATTGCCTGTGCAATGGTCATTGTCCTCCATGGAAGGCATTATCCTCCCCACGTGTTCACTGCCGAAAGACGATCTCCGGCTCCCCCCTTCTGGCTCCGACACCGATGGTCATCCGGAAGGGGAGGCAGTCCGTGCGTACCACCTGCTCAAGTCTAGACACGATCTCTCGAGTCTGGAATAAACAAGCCGGTTGCGCCCATCTCCCTGCCGTCCAGGAACCCGTGGCCTCTGATCCCGCATCGCAATCCGCGTAAATGTTCGGGGCTGGAGCTACCGAATTTAGATAAGGTTTCTCCGTAAGATCTGACTTATGATACAACTTTGGCCATCCACACCGGGCCGATGTTGTTGGAAGGTGCGAGGGTCGTATGCCCATACGCTAGCGCTAGCCTATAAATAGGCTCCTTCTAAGCGTTTAATAGCGAGGAGATTTCTCTCCTTAACAACAATAATCAACTATCGTTTACTTAATTGCTTTATTAGGTTATAAGCTTAGCATTGCTTAAGATATCTTAAAATATTAGGAAATATTAATACCCCTATTTTTATAATTATTTTTATACTTAAATCATTAAGATTTTAATATTACTAGCCTTTACTTATATATTATTATTATATCCTATAATAATTATTATAGCTAATAATAACTTATAATAATTTAATACTCCTACCTTATTTAATATTTTAACTACTCGCTTCTTTTTATTTATTTATTTATATTAATTAATGCTAATTATTATAAATAAATAAAAATATATAAATATTATTTAAAATATACTTAAAAATATATAAATACTATTTAAAAGATATTAAATATACTTAACTTTAAGCTTAATTTATTATTTCTTTTAAAGTTAAACCTAAAAGGAAAGAACTTTTTAAATTAAAGAGCGATATAAAGTCATGGCTTTTAATTTATTAACCTTAATAAATACATTATAAGTATTAAGGAATAATTAAATAAGAATATAACCCTTATAAAATAAGAAAAGCTTAATAATTAAGCTTTTATTATGCTTTTAAGCTTAATATATTTAAGCCTTATAATATTTATTATATTATATAGAAAATATTTTAATATATAAAAAATACTAGCTAATTAATTTAATTATAATATTAATAATTTAATTATTTATTTCTTTTATTAATTAATAAACTTATAATATAAAAATAGCTTTAATTTATAAAGCTATTTAAATGCTTTTTAAAACCTTTAAATAAAACTTTATATTAAAATTTTAACATTAAAATAATTAATTAAAAAATTAATAAAGTTACTTTTTAAAAATAATAAGGTTAAAAGCTCTTTTTTCTTAATAATATTATTAAATATTATAAATAATATTATTAATAATTTAAATAGTTAAAACCTTATAATATTTTTTAAAATTAAACTTAAGATAATAAATATTATTTCCTATATAAAGGTTAAATAATTTAAAGCTTACTTTACCTTTATTTAAAAAAGGTTAGCATTAAAGAGTATAAAAAAGGCTGCAAAGTTTATATTAATAAATACTAACTTTATATTAAATAATAAAGAATGCACTTAATATTATATATAAAATTTTATATTTATTAGCCATTTATATATTAATTATGCAAAGCTTATTAAATATAAAGTTAATTAAAAATAAAAAAAAGGTAAGAAATAAGCTATTATAAATTAAGCTATAAATAAAGAAGTTATTAAAATTTTTAATAATAATAAAAAAAATATAATAGCATTATATATTAATATTTTAATATATATAATAAAGTTATTAATAATTATAAATACTTTAATATTATAAATTTTTAATTTTAATGCTTTAAAGCATATAATAAAATATATAAAAAACTTTAGCTTTTTATAATTATATTTAAATATAATTATTATTATAAGTAATAATTAACTTATTATAAAAGGTATTAGTTTTATAAAAATCTTTTTATAATTATTAAATAAATTAATTATTAAAAGCATTTTTATTAATATTTTATATAATTATATGCTAAAGAATACTTATTTATTTAGCTAAATTATAATTTAAAAAAGGTTTTAATTAAATGCATAAAGAAATAATATCTTTTTATTATTAAAAGATAATAAATTTTATAAAATATTATAAGTAAAGTTTTAATATAAAAATTTTAAAATTTAAATAATAAAAAATAACTTTGCAATATTTATAATATATAGCAAATTTTATAAAGCTTTTAGCTATAGCAATTTATTAAAATTAATTACTTAATGCTTATATAGAAATAAAGACGTTATATTAAATAAATTAATGGATTTTCATTGCAAACTATATTAACTTATAAAATTTATTAAGAAACGCTTGTAATTATTATTAAAATAATAATCTATATAGCCATTTAAGTATATTTAATTTAATTTATTAAGTAAATTCTTAATAGCATTATTAAAAGATTCTTAATACTTTATTTTATTTATTAATAACTATATTTAATTTTATTAAGTTTATTTTATTACTTAAAAAAATAATATTTTAAATATTATTAAGGAATTTTTAAATATAATTAAAACTTAATTTAATGTAAAAGTTAAAACATTTAATTTAAATAATAAGGGTAAATATATAAATAAGATAATTATTGCAATATTTTAAAAATGCAAAATTATTTATAAGAAATTACCCCTTTATTAATATAAGTTAAATAGCATGCTTAAAAGGTTTATATATACTATTATTATTAATACTTATATAATGATTTATAATAAAGACTACTTATTTTTATAGCTTAAAGTAATTTCCTATGCAATATATTTATGGAATTAAAAACTATACTTAGCCCTATTATGCTAAATAATGCTATTTAAGGCGCTTTATAAATAAAAGCTTAATATTAAATATTTCCAATTATACTTTTGCTTTATATACCTTTATATACTTATTAAGGCTTGTAAACTAGAAATGAAATTATTAAATAGGGCTGAAAAGGCATAGTTTATAAAATTTAAGGCTAAAAATAAAACTATCTTTTATTTATTTATATTACTTTAAAAAGTTATTATAATTGCGATATTAAGCTATATTACTTAGTTTAATTTAACGATAAAGATTGCATAAATAATTAATTAATTAAATAAAAATATACTACTTAAGATAAAGATATTATTAGCATTTTAGCTAATGAAATCTGCTAATAATACGAAACCTATAAATAAACCTGTAAATAAACCGCTTAAACCTATAAAACTTATTAATAAACCGCTTAAACCTGCAAAACCCATTAATAAACCACTTAAACCCATAAAACCCATATAATTATATAATTTTTAAGGATAATAAATTTAGCCTTTGCAAAAAGCAAAAAAAATATAAACATTATTATAAAATATTTTAAAGATTTTAATAACTTAATATTAATTAATATAAACCTTATATTAAATCTTGCTTAATTAATATTAATTAATGCTAACTACCCTAATTAAATCTTTACTTAAGCATTACTTATTAATATAATAAATATTAATAATATCCTTAATATATATATATAAGCTATGAAAAGCAATAAAAGGAATGCTTAGCGATAAGCTATTAAAAGGGAACTTAAATTACTCTTAAATATAAGTATATAAATTAAAGTATTTATTATTATAAATTAATATATTATTAATCCTTGCTAAGTATATATAAAGAAGTTTAATGCTTTTAATAAGCTTATTTATTATAAGGCTTAACTTATTACTTATAAATATATATAAATTTATAATATAAATTATAATAATACTTATAACTTTATAATGCGTTATAATAATTTAAAATTAATTATTATTATTACTACTATAATAAGTTAATAGCTTTAGCAATTTAATATTAAAATAGTATACTTATATAGCTATTTAAAATAGGATATTTATATATAATTATTGTAAGAATATTAAATATTATTTAATAATTAATAAGTTATTTTAAAACTTTTTAATGCCTTATATAAACTTAAATAATTAAGCTATAAATAGTTTAATACTCTTAAAAAGGAATTAATTAAATATTTAATAAAAATAATATTTAACTTTTATATTTTTATTAAAAATTAAATTATTATTGCTATTTATATTAATAATATTCTTATTATTAAAAGTTCCTTTTAAGTTAATGAATTTTATATTAAGCTTATGCAATATTTTAAGTATAAGGATCTTAATTTTTATAAATACTTATTTAAATTAAAAATTATATAAATTAATAATAAAATTTGCATTTTTTAAAAGGAATATGCTTAATAAATTTTAAAACGCTTTAATATATTTAATTATAATTAAAAATAAATTCTTATAAATTTAAATTTATTTTTATAATAAAAGGAACTTAATAATATTATAATAAATATAATAATATATTAATTACTTATTAAATTTATTAATTTTCTTATTATTAAAATAAAACTTAATTTTGCATTTCTATATATAATACTTTTAATATTTAATGCAAAGCCCGCAATTTATTATTTAAATATTATAAAAAAAATGCTTTAATATATTTAGTATATATTAAATTATACCTTATAATTTCCAAAATAAACATTATTATTTCAATTCGCTATACTTAATATATATATTAACGCTTCTTATAATACTAATTTAAATAATTTAAAAATATTTAATAAATATATGCAATTCCTTAATAATAGCTTAATTACTTAATTATTAAAGCATTAATTTATTATTATAAAATTTACTTATAAGGTAAAATATATAGCATATTTATTAGCATTATTATATCTTTATTAAATAATTTAAATATTAAAAGATTTAAATATTAATTATATTAAATATTTATTTATTTTATATATTAATAATTAGCTAACATTAAACCTTATTTAAAATTATAAAGTTAATGCTTAATTAAAATATATTACTATTTACTATTACTTTATTTATAAAGAAATTAAAAAGATATATAATATTTATTATATTATATTTAAAAATAATCTTGCTAATATTTATATAAAAGCATTGCCTTACCTTACCCTTAAAAAGGCTTATATAAGATTAAAACTAAAATAAGTATAAGGTTTATATTATTAAAAGGGTATTTAAATAATTAATTAAAAATAATGCAAGTAGAATATATAAATATTAAATAATGTTTATATAATAATCTTAATATAAATTATAGTAAAATATTTAAACTATATTTTTAGTTATTAAAATAGAATATTTCTTATTATTATTAAGATAATAATATTTATAATAAGGGGTATGTTAAAAGGTGCAAGGGTTATATGCCTATATATTAGCGCTAGCCTATAAATAGGCTCCTTTTAAGCGTTTAATAGCGGGGAGATTTCTCTCCTTAACAACAACAATCAACTATCGTTTGCTTAATTGCTTCATCAGATGTCACACATGACGAACTTCGTCTGTGCGTTTGCATGCTACTGTGGATCTTTCAGTATGAGACCACGTCTCGAGGCGGTGTAACCCATTGCATTATCAAATGATACCACATGGCCCAGGGAGTCGTACTCTCTATCGTTAACTGGGAAGCATTGCTCGTGTCCGAAAAATGGGTCTTTCTGTGTTTTACATATGCAGAAACTAAGTGATCGTCAGACAGGCTACGATGCTCTATAACCTAACGTGAAAGTTGTGGCCTTTTATCATACCATGCACATGATATGCATGCCTCGTCAAACCTTATCCATCTGCTGCAAAATACAACCTGGCACCCTAGAGATTTCACCGAAAATCTCTTAACTGTGTTAGAACGACCCGGCCTCTGTCTTCGGACGAATATTAAGGAGCGACGAATTTGTCAGACCTAGAACACGGCAGGGGAACCGAGATCTAGCCCTTGTGGGCACAACTCGCCTCCCAGGAAGCCTAGTGCAAGCGCGGCACGATGCCAGCGGCCAGTCGGACTAACTTTGACATCACCTAATCCTGCTCTCAATCGTGCTGCTGTCGCATCCGGGCTCGATTGGCGATCCGAGGTAGCATTCTCGAATCGACACGATTCCAGGTACAAAACGATATCAGACGATATCAGGGGATCTGAAACCTAACAGGGTAACATCGGCCAAACGGTCGAATCTGGTGCGGAATAACGTGCCCTGCTTACCGGGCTAGATCCATCTCTACAGGACTTGAAACATCTGCGCAAGTGGCATGTGGATCTAATATGCCTTCGGTCATCATGTGGCACCGCTCCTGGCGATCAGTAGTTTGCCAAGGGCGCGCGCGCGCGATGATCCTGCAGAGAAGGGAAGGGGACAGGGAACAAGTATTCTGCAGCAGTTATGTCTTGCAGGAACCAGGCAGCGCACTGACATTTTGTTCGTTCGGCGCGTCGTACCGGACCAGCCTAACCAAGGAGGCCACTGGCGCCAAAACGCCGCCCCTCGAGCGAAAGTGCACAACACGGACCCGGCCGTTACGTTGAGCGACATCACTGACCCGCGACCCCGGCTCAGTGTGGCGTTGAGCATCGTGCTGGAACCCATGCGTAACGCGTGGGAGGGACTCGTCCACGTGGTTATTCCCATCATACCTGGAATATGTCGCGCGCCTCGCCTTGTGCGGCTGGAGGGTGGCGTCAGCCAAATGCGACCGCTTATCTGGGCAAATATAATGGCTGGGATCAAGTCTTTTAAAGAGGAGAAAGATGCGGAGTTCATCATGGCAGCGTGGCGTGGTGATGATAGCCCGAGATCTTAGGCACCTCGATCCCGTTTTACGGGTGGGTCAGCTAGATCCGAGAAACATTGAACAATTTAACGGGTTTCACAATAGCTTTTCATAACGGTCATAATAGGGTGGCAGCGCAGCGTAGTTATTGAAATAAGCTTGATTGCTTTAGACTTCGCAGGCATCCCAGGGCGGGCTAACAGTCCGGAGGTCCCAGAAGCCCGCGCTTCGGAAAGGATATAATCATGCCTTCAGAGCGATTGCCCAAAGTTAAGAGCAGTGATTTATACCAGTGTTTGAATACAGCGAAAGCAGAGCCGCACATCTCTCAACCGCGCCCAATTGTGATAAAGACCCCACTCAGCACTAATCCCACCAAGAGCCGTTCTGACCATCCATTTAGCGAGCCTAGAAGACCAGCTGTGCAAGACGTCCAGTCAGGCCGGCCAGGACAGCCGAGCTCGTGAGGAAGATGGAGAAGCGGACCAGGACCCTTGTTCACCAGGGACTGGAACAGCGAATGGACGACCCTGGTGCCGACGTAGCCCCAGGCAGCCCACTTGGTGTACTTGTGGTTGTCGCCGACGATGGTCAGGGCGAGGGCCACCGCGAAGAAGGTCGTCGGCTGCTCGTGTAAGTGATTGTAGTTGTCTGCGATTTGTCGATACTTGATTGGGACCTTGGTGTTCAAGTCCTCTTTGCACTTGTCTGGGTCCGTCGAAACTCCGTATTTGTTCATTGCTGGGAGTCGCGTCGCGTACATCCAGGCCTCCATCACGAAGGTCCACCCGGCCAGGGCGGCGACGGGCTTGACGAGGGGGGTCGGGAGGCCTAGGTATGAAGACATTTTTCTGAACCTCTGGGGTGGTCAATTGGATGTTGTTGATGTTCAAGGTTTGATAGAAGATTGGTTGTTACTGCTTGTTGATGAAGAATGGCAACGGACATCCGATGAGAAGAGGAGGTCTAGGTGGAGTTCGGTGTCTCCACCTCGGCAATTTCGGGTCTCGGGATATGACGTCCTCTGTACTGTGGTAGCTAGTGTTTCCTCCCGTCCGTGCTTGGCACCAGCAGAGTCCAGAATCATGGCTCTGGACTCCAGGCGTGGCTACTCATTGAACGGATAGACAGCGGTCAAACATCGTCAGAGTCCTCCTACAGACTCGTTGGCTTTTTTGCTGCGCCTTGCTGACTCAGGCATAGAGTCGCGGATTCGACCTGATCCTGTGCCGTTGGGCCCTGCCGCTGCGCAGCTCGCACTCGGGTCGTCTCGCGGCATCAGGCCAAAAGCGTACAAGCGCGACTGCGGCTGACCACTCTCGCTGTAAGCCATCGGACAAACCACGCCCCGTGGACGCGCCGCAAAGCTGACGAAAAACGATCATGACCCACCGGCCGGCCACCTTCCTAGGAGGCCGCGCTTATCCCAAATGGGGTTTATACCACGAGAGGCTCCTCGCGATCCTGTGGCAGAGCTGTATCATTTGCTCCTTTGCGAACGCCGGCACTGAGCTGCGCCTTAGTCTACCAGCAAAGCAGAGACCCAGTCCAAGGCTGCCTCATCTCTCGCAATGATCACTATGGGGCTTGTAGGATCCTACATGAGTAGGAAATGTGATAGCTACTCCTTATATAAAGATGCCCGGTGTTGCTCCTCTTGTCTCAGAAACATGTGAGCCAAACATAAAAAGATCGAAAGCAGCCTTCTTTGTTCTCGATACCAGCAGTCAAACCGGATATTAAGCTCTTGGCGGCCGAGCGAGTCTATTCCCCGGCAGCTCGTGGTCTTCTTGAAGTGGTGGTCACATAAAGCCTCAGCAGTCACTATGATTCTTGCATATCGTTGGGCACGCAAGAAGAATCAGCAGCGCCAGCAAGCGAGTGATGATGAGCCTTCGCAGCCACCTCCAACCAATACGATAGAGATCCCTACACAGGCGCACCCAGAAGCCACAGCAAGAGACACTGCAACCAAGGAAATATCCCAGAGTTTGGATTCGCCATCAAATGCGGCCGCAAACGGCAGCCCGGCGACCGCCAAAGGCGCCAAGGCCGGAACCAAGACCGAGAAGACGGAGCCCACCCCGGAGGAGAAGGCGGAACAGCGCCGCAAGAGGGCGTATCGGTGGAAGATCGTGATCGGTCTCTTCGCCCCCTTCACCCTGCAGAGTCTTAATACCACCATCATCGCTTCCGCTCTACCATTCATAGCCTCTGACTTCAGTAAGTACATCTACCAGCCCGGGTAGGCCAGACCGCAGTGTCCGCCTCCCCCCATCATGACAGCAAACTGACACCAACTTCTCATTACCCAGACCAACTCTCCCAGCTGAACTGGATCATCTCCGTCTTCAACCTCACCTCCGCCGCCTTCCTCCCCTTCTGGGCCCAGATAGCCGACATCTTCGGCCGGCACGCCACAATCCACACAACTATTATTCTCATGATGATCGGGTCGGCCATCTGCACAGGCGCACCCACGGACGCCTTCCCCGTCCTCCTACTGGGGCGCGCCGTCCAGGGCGTCGGCGCCGCGGGCGTCAACATCAGCGTGCGGGTGATACTAGCAGACAAGGTGTCGCTGGCCGACTACGCCCTCAACTGGACGGTGTTCGCCCTCTTCTCCGGCGTGGGCTTCAGCGTCGGGCCCGTGATAGGCGGCTACCTCACGCAGGCGAGCTGGCGCTGGTGCTTCGCCATCAACCTGCCCGTCGGCGTCCTCGCCATCGTTCTCGTGGCGGTGGCCCTGCGCCGCGAGCTTCTGGGCCCGCAGCCCATCCCGGAGCTCGAGGGCGAGGGCGAGGGCGACGGGCACGGGCACGGGCACCGTGCCCTGGGCAGCAGCAGGCGCGCGAGGTTCGGCGCGAGGCTGATGACCATCGACCTTGTCGGCCAGCTGCTCTTCCTCTTCGGCCTGGGCCTGCTGATCCTGGCGTTCACGTGGGCCGGCGGCACGTACGGCTGGGGCTCGGCGGCTGTCATCGCGCCGCTTGTGGTTGGTGCTGCGCTCAGCGTCGCTTGGGTCTTCTACGAGCACTCGATGGCCCCGCCGCACCTCGTGTCGCGCGTGTTCCGCTCGCAGAGGGCCATGATGCCCTGGGAGCTGCTTGCCAAGCGGGATATCTCCCTGTTGTTCTTCGTCAACTTCGATCTCGGGGTCTGCATGTTTGCTGTGATGTACTTTATGGATCTGTACTTTGCACTCGTGGAAGGCCACAGCTCAAGTGAAGCCGGGCTGGCGTTGTTATACTTTCTTCCCGGGCTTGGAGGTGAGCAGTGTAATTCTTCGCCCCCTGACTTTGCCACATCGTCACTAATATCTCTCTTTTTTGCAGCTGGTGCGTACATGGCCATGTTTTGCGTAAATGTCTGGCCTCGTCAAACTCTTCACGCTCCTCCTCGGTGCCATCACGTCCTCTGTGGGCATTACAGTGCTGGCTTGGGCTATTTCGGCCCAGCAGACCAACACCATTTATGGTATGATGGCACTCACCGGCCATGGAGTGGGAATCCGTCTCAGCCCGGCCTCGATGCACGGGTTGGCTTACTTCCCAGCCAGCACGGCGGCCATCACCTCTTTGTTCTCTTTTGCTGTACCATTTGGTGGCATGATCGCCTTGACGTTGATGAGCACCGTACTCAACAACAGGGACGAGACGAACGCGAATAATGGTATTACCTGGGCTTTTGTTGCAATAATTCCGTTCGTGTGGCTCTGCGTGTTCCTGACGACGTTTCTTGGCAACGTCTGGGTGAGAAAAGAGGGGGACCACGAGGTGGTCAATGGAGCGTACTTTTGGAGCTTGTTTACTCGGAAAACGCTGCAGAAGGAGAGGAGGACGCGTGATGGGGCTGGCTGGGGTGGTGGAGCGATTGCTCGCACAGAAACTGAAACTGTTGTGGCTGGTGAAGAACGCAGGAACCTCGAGACGGCGTGAGATCTGGCAGCGATATTGTGTCAATCCTCTATTTCATGTCTATAAACTCCCATTATACCGAAAACGCATTTGTTCGTAAGCTGTTTGACTGCTTAGGTAGCCTTGGGCTGTCTGATCAAATATCTGAACGTGTAGGTCCCCCACTTGTCATCACCAGCTGGTGGCTTGATGTCCAGCTTCCGTGCCCAGTCGTCCAGGTCGACCTCCAACGTATCGACCTCCTCAAAGCCGCATTTCTTATACGTGTAGACCCCGGCCTCGCTGGAGTGAACCCAGCACAACGCACCCTCGGCGTCAGCAAGGTTTGTGCCCTGTTTGATAAGAGCTGGGCCAACGCCGCGGCCCTGGTACTTGGGATGTACGGTAAGCGTGATCACGTACATGCACCTCGTATTCTTGAAGCTCCCTTGGAAGGCGGCGAGATGAGCCGATGTCATCTCCTCTAGCTGATCGAGAGGATCGAGGGTAGGATCTTGAGGCGGATCTGTGTCTTCTCCCACGGTGGTGTCCGGCTTTTCGACACTGACGTCCGCGGCCTTTTCGATTTCCTCTGCCGGAGGGTCATCTCCTAAATTGCTTTGCTCTTTGTTTGTATCGGATTTATCCAGGCTCATGCCCCAGCACACGAAGCCCAGAATCTCTCCCGTTGCATCATCGACCGCCTTGGTCAACTCCAAGCTGCCAGCTGGGCGACTGGCCCAGTATTCGAAGGCGCCAGTCATTCCTGCAGCATGATTGTATGGCTTTGTTGGGTGGGCAGCCTTGAGCATCGTGTGCCTGTCGTCCTCGAAAGCGAGGCCGCACATTTCTGCCATGGCCGGGAAGTCGGACGGGGCCACCGGCTTGAGTGTAAACGACGAATTCTCAGTCGAGGGCGACATCATAGATTGTGGAAAGATGAGACAAGAGCGTTGGGATTTGGTTGCTCTATAGTTGTCAGGAGGACGAGATTGGGTGGAGTTTTATGGTGGTCAGACGGCAAAATGGCAGTCACTTTGTAGGTGCTCATTTAAGCTATCCCTATTCCGCTCGCCGAAGAAAAGGCGCGTCTCTGCAACCTTAGTGCGACAGCCTATCGCCAATCTGGCCCAACGGCGTTCACCCACCCGGCCTGTTCAGATCTTTCTTGTCTTTTCTAACAAGACATTCTCCTTCTGGTAATAGCTTTCCCAATATCACAACATCACTAAACATTGTAAAAAGTCGGTAAATTTGATACAAATATGCTTCCATGTCTACTTGATAAAGTACAGTGAACTCTGGAAGAAAACGACCATTTTCTCTCTATGCAAATCCTGCCCCGTTCACAAGCTGGGGAGGATATATGCATCAGTATAGTTGGTAGGCCAGGCGTTGTTGCGAAGTCCACCACCAGGGAAGTAAATGACGCCGTCGATCACCACCCCGTTGCAACCATGCCGGGGGACTTTCATGGGGGTGAGCGAGGTCCACTCGAGGGAAGTCGTGTTCAGGACCTCAACCTCATCCCAGACATTCAGGCCATTGCTGCTGTTGTATTTGACCTCGCCCCCGAAGGTCCAAAGCGTGTCGTCCTGGATGGCGAAGAATGACCCTGCCCGGGCGGTGGGCATGTGGGAGTCCGCGGTCACCCAGCCAGCCTCTAGGTCGTCAAGGTCCAAGTAGTAGGTTGTGTTCCTCATGTTTGGCTGGCCGTTGATGCGGCCACCTGCGTAGAACAACCTGTTCCCGACGATTCCACCGACACCATGGTCGCGGGCCTCGGGCAAGCTGGCAGCTGCTTCAGGAAGGTCCAAGAAGGCGCCAGACGTCACGTTGTAGGCCGTCACGTTATAAGTCGACACGTGGTAGCCACCCACTCCGGGCACAAGAAGCCTGACACCGCCAGCCATCCAGATGACATCGTCCTTGACGGCAGTTACGGAGGCACCCCGGAATGTGTTGTCCGGCAGCGTCGTGGTGAGATTGGTCCAGACATCCGTCTGCGGGTCGTAGACGAACATGTTCCCGATGCCGTGCCAGGCATCCGGCAGGACCTGGAGACCACCGAGGGAGTACATCTTGCCATTGACCACGGCGACGTTGAGATGGTTCAGGGAGATTGGAACACTGCTTCTGTTGGACCATGTGTCGCTAGGGATGTTGTACGACTGTACGATGTTGATGGTGGTTGTGACGTTGGGCTCAGCTGGGTCGGTGGGGATGATCCCGCCCATGATGTAGAATGTCTCATGGTCCAGAGCCACAACGAAGTGCTCCTGGCGTACATTATATGGGATCTCGGCTAGTGTCTTCCAAGTACCGTCGACGATCTGGGAAAGTCCACCGGCAACGAAACCCAACAAGGCAAACAGGCTGGCAGTGTGCATCTTTGAAAAGTTGGCTTGCACTTGCTTGGCTTCAGAAGTAATGTAAAGAGATCTTGAGAATGGGACAGTGATTAAGGAATGGTGGCTGCCAAGGCACACGTTGAGCCTTATATCCCCTTGGCAGGGACACATGTGCTAGGCACCGCTTCCTGATGGAACATTGGCTTCAATATGACTGAGCATAGATCCACTCATGCTGGAAGCCTGCAGTGACTGATGAGGCTCATTGCCCTGACTCCTTAGGTTGACGACTGACCTTATTTTCTCCACGGGCAAGGACGGCATTTCGGCTCGATCATCATCATCACGGCCTTGAGTGAGAGACACGATCGCTATGCCACGAGTCAACAATGGCTGTAACTCATGATGCATAGCCATTTCCTGATAGGCTCGGAGGCTGAAAAATATCACCACTGGCGTGTTGGGCCGAGATATGCCTCAGGGATACGTGCCGGATTTTCCGCAGGATGGCCAGAGTCAATGTCTGCTACCAGAGCCTGGTTCAGGTATGACAATTTTCCCAACGCGACAGAGTTTTGACTGACCGCGATGCGGAGACAGCACACACCGATTCAATATCTCGGGCGTCCTTTCATCAGTACGGGAGGCGATTAAGCTTTTTGGACTAGTCAAGCAAACGGCAGCCCGGCCACAAACTGACCCTTCCGAAGAGTGGAACAAACAGCAACGCCCTATCGCCCAAGTCCATCTCCATTCCGAGGAGTGAATAAATCTAATTTGACTTTACGTCCTGATGCTGCCGTACCTTGACTCTGCTCCCGCAATGCAAATTAACGTTCGATGATGCCGGCCCGCCGCACCAGTAGATTGGCTCGAATGACTAGCATACAACTCAGCGAGGATCGCGGAGGTAATGAGCGCAAAATGGAGAAAGCTGGTATCTAATGTATTCATATTTTCTTGCCATGTATCGAAAGGACACTTGATACGGTCAAATTAACACGGATAATATCCCATGAATTCAGCCGAGCCAAATGATCATATGGCTTGAGGCGGCACAACACCTTCAACAAGATCGTGCCAATTGATCTGGTGTGTAATTTGTAGTTCATGATGGTCAGGTAGCAAAGGCATCCCTGGTTGGTCGTGCAACCCATTGAACAAAAAAAGACTCATTTCGATCTTTATCTCGTCAAGTTTCAATAATCCCTCATAAGTTTCAAACGTCTGTGAGCATGGTACCATTGTAGTGGCTAGACAAACTACTAATAAAGTAATTGAAAGTGGACTAAACGAACAGCTGATGCAAACATCAACATGTTTCTCGATTCAAGAAGATAATGGAATACTCTGAAGAGTACAGAATGAATTATATGACATCTCTACTCCTCAAATTAGTGACTTGGCTCCACTCCATGAGGCTTGAAGACAACGAACCCAGTTTCGGGTCACAAGCTCCCGTTCAAATCTGCAGAATCCAAAGGTAGGTATGGGACATCTGTCACTGCGCATTGCCACTCCTATCTACATCAATCGTTTCCTGATCATTCCACCAGCGCGTTGAGAGGATTCCTGCCACAGCCACACCTAGGCCCTAGCCTTACACAATCAATAGTCGTAATCATAGCAAAGCAATCCACCCTGGGCATTCATGACGTCCCGGACCTGGAGGTCCGGGATGATGTTCTGCTGCTGGATCACGGTGTCCAGCGAGGTCTTGACGCCGGCCTGCTGGGGGAACTGGGTCTCGTTGACGGTGTTGCCGCTCACGTCCCACAGCCGCGCCTCGCCGTCCGCGGCCTGCCACTTCCACCAGAGGCGGTCGATGTAGTTGTGGTGCAGGTAGAAGACCGGGTCGCCGGGCGAGGCGTCCTTGTCGGCCATGAGACCTCCCGTTGCCGTGTGGGCTCCGTGGTGTGGCCAGTATGACTGGTTGACAATACCGTTAGCAAAGGGCCACAGGCAGCAGGATGAGAGGGTGGATCCACGCACAATGCAGTACCAGAAATCGCCATATGTCTCGTAGCTGTTGCAGAGGTCGATGAGGGTGCTGTTGCCGGTGGTGACGCCGTACTCGTTGTCCCAGATGCGCTTCTGGCAGTACGTCGTGTACTCGAGCATGGGGCCAATGTGCTCGGTCGTGTTGGCGAAGGGGCCCTCGGTCAGGCAGCCCTCGGCCCCGGTGCCGTTGCCGCCGAAGCCAGTCTCGGCATCCCACATATTGGAGCCGAAGAAGTTGCCGGAATCGGCGTCCTTTTGCTCATCCCACCATGGCATCGTGCCTGTGTAGTTGCACTCGTTGCGCATCAGGGTCTCGAAGGCGTGCATCATCATGCGGTGCCATGGGAGGAACTGGCCGACGTAGTGGATGATGTCGCCGTAGATGGTGTCGGTGTAAGACTTGTGCGATCCCTGGAGGTCGCTGAAGCGCGAGGTCTTTTGGAACTCAACATCAGCCACGTCGTGCTCATATTCCCGGGGCAACAACACTACATACAACTGCTTGAAGGCCGGACTTGGCAGGGAGCCTAATGAGACACTGTTGAGCGTCTATGTACGCGGCCTTCTCCTCTGCGCTTAGAGTGCGCCACTCTCTCCGGATGGTTATGGTGTCCGCAGTGCATGAACCATTGTAGAACCTGGGGCCGGTACTGTTGGCCTGCTCGGTGATGAGTGGAGCTGCTATTACAGACTCAATGATAGTGAGAGCTGCCAAGACAAGGGAACTAGTGGGCTTCATGACGGGCAGGAAGTTGTCAACTGTGGAGGAGGGGAAAGAGGTGTGCGGTGAGGGCATCGGCCTGAGTAGTGACGCTTCGCGAGCCGGCAGCTTTATAAGTGCGCCTTTCCAATCCGCATCAAAGCGATTTGGTCGGGCTCTGATGCAACCATTCTCACAGCACCTGTCCCCCCTTTCAGTCGATAGACATAAGTCAGTGAGCACACCCTGGAAGGAGCCTCGAACCGGGTGCGAGGCCCCACAAATTGCAAGACCATCATGGGGTACTGCTGCGCAGTCAGATATTCGCTATGATCCAAATGTCAGCTTCCTCATATATATTGAAAGAAGGGTGATTTACCCATGAAAGAGCCCTGGTAGGTAGTGCCGCAACGTGCAATTTTGTGTTCGTGTGATTCCCTTCTGCGTAAACTTGCTCATCGTAATGAGGCTATAATCTTGGCATCATTGACATATCATCGCATCTAGAGCCCAGTAGAAACCTTCATAGAATTGGCGCCGATGTGGCTACGCTTCCGTTCCTGGTGTGTGGTATCTGCATTTAGCTCTACCGAGCGTGTGACGAGCCTGGAGGAACCAGCGGGGCTTCGGTACGCAGAAGGAAAGCGTCCTTAGTAAGGTTACGTTCTGTCCTGAATTGTCTGCGAGTGTGCGTGTGTGTGCGTTTCTGACTCGATGCGGGAGTCGTACTCTAGATTGGACGAGATGGATACGATAGCAAATCTGGAGTGCATCCGTCATGTTTCTCTTCTCCGCAAGTGACTCGGACATCAGAAATAAGCTTCGGGACGAATCAGTGAACAGAATGAGTCGATAAGGTTCGTCCAGAGATCGGAGCTATTGTCTGGCTCCAGACAAGCTTTTTGAGGCTCGAACAGACGAACCCAGGTAAGCGGGTCCGGGACGTAGTCAATCAGCAAATGTTCCTTCTGATATAGTTTGGTCCCTGAATAAGTTCGCATTGGCTTCAAGTGAACACCATCGATGTCTCTCAACCGCACGATGCTCTGTTGAACTAGCGGTAAACCCATCCTACTGGGCTTGAGTAATGTGTGAGTAGTGGAGATCTGCACGTCTAGGTATATATGGATTATGTTCGTGAAGGGTCCGAAATCTAACATTAGAGTTTCGGGCAAACCAGCCTTTCCTTTAACGTGGGTTATGGTCGAGTAAGGACGAAGTCGTCTCATCAGACGGATAGAACAGCCAAAGTTGCTGTTACTGTATTTGTTATCCTTCACGACATTGACACGGAACTGCTGGTCGTCACAGTCATGAAAACTATAGCTGAATGCCAGATAGGCCGCACGACCCGTGAGATTGGCTCTCCCAAACTGATTGGAAACCGAGATTAGGGCATGGCATCAGAGGGAAAGAGATACTAGCCCGGCAATTCATTATGCTTGGATATGAACGGCTTGGAAGTGTTGCTATTGACCGACTGATACTGTACTTCGGTCTACAGATGTGCGGGCGACACCTGTCAGCCTTGCCCTCAGTTCCGAGTATTCCTGCGTCAAAAAGAGCGCCGGTCATGCTCTCCACATGTAGTCAATACTCCGTCTATCCCTATTCACAACACCGAGTCATTATTGTATGGGTGATAACGAGCAGGCACACCGAGAACGAGTCGACAGAACTCGGGCCTGGTGGATGGAAAGAGTATTTACTCTCTGTCACTACCACAAATGTCAGAAGAATTGGCTTCGATCTTCACTAAACTACATGCAAGATGTCTTTTATTCGAAGCTTAATCCCATCGGTTCGACTCATTGTTCAGAGCCTTGAGCCTTCGGTTCGACTCATCGTCCGTAGCCTCGAGCCTCTCCGACGACATCAGCGCTCGGCTGCACACTCGTTGCTCACGAAGGTTCACTTCACACGATCGCTTTAAATTCATCTACATTCTCTGTTTCCCTGTGACTTTGAGGCCTAGCAGCAACCATTCACAATGAGGGCTTCCGTATTCCTCGAAGCCGTCTCCGTGCTCGCCGGCTTTGCCTCGGCCGACAGCATCCTGCGCCGCGACAATGGAACGTATGGGCCAGAGATCGAGGAATTCCACTACTACTTTGGCCAGTGGCCTACCGGCCATGCAGTATCATCGACTGGGCGCCTCTTCGTCTGCTACACCCGAGGCGGCGGAGCTTCTCCCTTCACGCTTGGCGTGGCCGTCAACAAGACTGCCGAAGTGGCATATCCATCAGCGGATTTCTCTGTCCCCACCGCGGAAGTCAACACCACAATCAACGGGATGCAGTTCGGCTCCTCCAACTCCACCGGTCTGATCAGCGTCCAGGCGCTGTACATCACCTCCGAGACCGGCGACCGGCCCGAGACCCTCTGGGTCCTCGACACGGGGCGGCCCACCGTCACCAACTCGAACGGCGGGCTGACAATGGTCTACGGCCAGCCGGGCGGCCCCAAGCTCGTGGCGATAAGCCTGACCAACGACACCGCCTACGCGACCTACACCTTCCCGGCCTCGGTCGTCTACCCGGACAGCTACCTGAACGACGTCCGCCTCGACCTGCGGCGGTCCGCCGTGCCCGGCGGCAAGGGCGTGGCCTACCTCGTCGACTCGAGCGGCGAGGGCCGGCCCGGGTTCGTCATGCTGGACCTGGGCACGGGGGAGTCGTGGCGGCGGCTCGACGGCGACAGGCACGTGATGCGGGAGGACGGGGACGTCGCGTCGTACAGCGGGCAGGCCTTCTACCAGGTCCCGCAGGGCGGCGGGCCGTTCAACCACAACAAGGAGGGCAACAACGGGGTGTCGCTGTCGCCGGACCTCGAGACCATGTTCTTCACGACGCTGACGGGCAACACGCTGTACGCCGTGCCGACTGCCAACCTCCGAACCCGGGACGACGTCCCCTGGGCCGAGCAGGCCGCCAAGAACAACGTCACGAGCGTGGGGCAGAAGGGCGGCAACTCGAACGGGTCCGAGGGCGACTCGAACGGGCTGATCTACATGATCATGCCCGAGCACAACGCGGTCTACTACTACGACCCGAGAGACCTCAAGGTGCACACCTTCATCCGGGACCCCCGCATGCTGTGGCCTGACCCGCTGTACATTGCCGAGGACGGATACATGTATATAAATATCGTGCAGAGCTACTGGAGCCCGAGGTGGAACGGGGGCAAGGATCTGAGGCAGCTCCCGGGCGCTGTGTTGCGGGCCAAGCTGCCCAATAATGGTACGAAGATGAGGCTCGACTACGTGTAATATTTTTTGAGTTTCTCGGATAGAGACACAGATCAGACATCTGAAAGCCTTGCACTTGGCAGCCATCTTAGCAAAAATCTGGGAAGACATGAAAGTCAATTGCGATCGACTTAGTGCTTGAACCTAAGCAGAGGCCAATCAAGTTGCAACTGGAGAACATCCGGGTATGCTCTGACTTCAGGAGTTCGTCGTTTTCCTCACCGCAGTGTCTTTGTTTGCTAGCCAAAGTCGGATTGGCAAGGAGCCGACGAGTTGAGTGACCAACACGATGCCTAGCAGGTGACAAGGCAACCGAACCACGAGTAAAGTTGGCGAGAGACCGAAGGTTGCGAGACTTTCCAACCTGTCAAGAAGCAGACTTCAGAGGCGTTGTCTCGACCTGGGATTGTTGTGAGGTCCTGTCATCTCAGTGCATGTGAATCTAATTAAGTTTACATTACGCATCTGCGCCGTTGTTGGGGAAGATCGCACCTCCCGCGCATATAGTTACCGCCCGTGTAAGCTTTATGTTGGCTCGTCACTACTCGCGTGTGACCCACACCAGAGATATATATCACGGAAGAGCCATCTGCGACTAGTCAGTGGTGCGTGTTTCTCTGATCGAGAATAGGCAACGCAGACTCAGGGGGGAAGTTATATTCGAGTCAGAGCAGGCCGCTGTAGCCGAAGCCAGCGTGCAACGCGTTGTGCGGGTTATTCACGCATACAGACGTGTCTCTCTCTGAGCTTGGCAATATAATAGTACCGAGCCAAGAACCTGTAAGGCCTACTACACCTTATAGCGCTGCATGGGAGCATTTGTGACTTGGTGAACCGAGTGTTGTGCTTCTCTAGGACCATCGTCTCCATCCCGACAGCTTCCGTTCTGACTCCGTTCTTTCTCGGACACACGCTTAGCACAATGTATTACTCACATTTCCTGGCCTTGCTGGGCCTGTTATCAGCAGCCTCGGCCATCATCACGGACGGCACGTGGGAAGAGCTGGCCGAGATCCCGCTGTACCCACGCCAGGAGGACACCGGGGTGGTGCTCAACGAGACGACCTTTGCCATCCTCGGCGGGGTGATCCCGTACTCGCCGCAGAACCTGACGGTGGGCAACACGACGAGCATCATGCAGTTCTACGACGTGCCGTCCAACACGTGGACGCGGGGCCCGGACATCCCGCTGCCGCGGAACCACGTCAACGCGGTGGGGTACAAGAACCGGGCATACATCGTCGGGGCGCTGCAGGCGCTCAACAGCAGCTACTGGGCGGGCGACGGGGCCTCGTACGAGTGGGACCCGGACACCAACTCGTGGTCGAACCTGACCAGCCTGCCCGCGGGCACGGAGCGCGGGGCGGCGCTGACGGTGGCGTACGAGGATGTCATCTACATCGTGGGTGGCGTGGTGTCGCTGATCCCGGGCCCGGGCAACCCGCACCACACGGTGGCCAACGTGTCGGCGTTCAACCTGACGACGCGTTCGTGGGTCGACCTCCCCGCGGCGGCGGCGAACCTGCCGGAGCCGCGGGACCACGCGACGGGCGGGATCGCGGGCGGGCGGCTATGGCTGGCGGGCGGGCGCATCAACGGGCAGGTCAACATGCGCGGGACGGTGTACTCGCTGGACCTGGCGGACCTCGAGGCCGGGTGGACGACGCACCCGAGCGACATGCCGACGCCGCGGGGCGGGGCCATGTTCGCCATGGTCGACGGGCTGCTGTGGACGCTGGGCGGCGAGAGGAACGTCAGCAGCGCGACGGGCATCTTCGACCAGGTCGAGGTGTTCAACACCACCGACGAGACGTGGACCAGGCTGTCGCCCATGAAGGTGCCGCGCCACGGCTTCATCCCCGCCTACATCAACGGCTCCCTCTACCTGCCCGGCGGTGCCACCCACCAGGGCGAGTACCCGACCACCTACCACGACAAGTACATCCTGCCATCCCTGTAGGCATATGCATACTTTCGACGAAGAATATGTGTTGAGCTTGGTCTGGAGGGAGATCGAGGCTTCTGAGGGTAGAAGGAGCTGTCATGCCAGCCGCATTTTGTTTGTGGAAGATCATAGTCTACGTAATACAAGGGGTACCCAGGTGCCTGAGTGTGCACCTCTTTGGAGCTCCCCACACCGTACCTCATTGGACTGGGGTCAGTGCCCCTCCTCCATGCAAAGCAGCAGTTGCGAGCCCCACCTCGTTTGGTCACAGCTCGCCCGTCCCACTCGCCCTGCCCCAGCTTCTGGACCACCGTCACTGCCTTCGGCTCGCCAGCATCATTGCTGCCTTCCCTCTCAGCCTGAATCACCTCGCAGCAATTCCAACCAACTCCCCGTTTTCTTATTTAATCCCCGTGGTCTGTCACATACCACAACCATTCATCCAACCTCCTGCACTGCTCTATTTGTCCCCAGCCCCGTAATCGACAAACAGACCCACGACGACTTCGCGAGACGGTCCCAGAAGCAACCATTTCTCAATACTGATACGCACACTCAACTCTCGACCTTTCGATCACACATCACGCCCACCATAACCATGTCTCAAAAACGCATCGCCAAGGTCCGTGTTCCTCTCCCACAGCTACACCCTACACCATCCCAAACACACACACAGTGCCCAGACATCAGGCTAACCACCGCCCCTTCCCCCAGGAGCTCTCCGAGTGCACCCAGAACCCCCCCTCCGGCATGACCATCACCCTCCCCTCCGAGTCCAACCTCCACCGGTGGCACGTAACCCTCCAGGGCCCGCCCGGCACAGTCTACAGCTCCGGGCAGTTCGGCCTCCTCGTGCAGCTGCCGCAAGAGTACCCCTTCAAGGCGCCCCTCGTGACCTTCACCACGCGCATCTACCACCCCAACGTCACCAACGACGACGCGGGCAACATCTGCATCCCCCTCCTCAAGCCCGAGAACTGGAAGCCCGCGTCCAAGCTCGCGGCGGTCCTCGAGTCCGTCCGCCAGCTGCTCGTCGAGCCCAACCCGGACGACCCCCTCGAGCCCCGCGTCGCCGAGGAGTTCCGCGCCTCGCGCGCACAGTTCGACAAGACCGCCCGCGAGTACGTCGCCCGCTACGCAAAGGGCGCGCCCCGGTTCGACGGCGCCGGCTCGGCGGCCGCCGGTAAGGCCGACACGCCCATGTCTTAGGAGGCCTTCCAGTAGGAACTCCGCGTCGAAGGGGTGGGGGGGATCTGGCTGAGGTGGTCCAAGTACTGGTGAGAAGGGGCGGGTGTCACCGCGCGTGCGTACCCTCACCGCCAGGGTCGGATTTCCCTCAGCGATGGAACAGCACTACACAGACACTGGGCCTGATACATTGGTAGTCTCCAGGATGGCGTCACAGCGACGTGCCAGGCGACTTGTCTAGAGGGGTTCGGTCAAGTGAGGAGCGGCACTGCTCCCATCTATGACGGTCAACCGCAATGGCTGTTGTCTGGAGATCAGGTCAGTGACATGGACATGAGGACAAGCCAGGGCAAGGCTGATAGCCCACATTTTCGCGCTCGTTTGCATTGCAGAGGATTAAGGGTGGTCAATGGCGTTCTGGTTGTGGTTTATGGCATGGCCGTGGAGTCCTTGACATCTCTATTAAGATACCATAGGCCCCATCTTTGTAATGAAGTAATGACAAACTACACTACACTACACCTCAGCTACATTACCTGCTACGTGACTTGCGCCAGTGAATCGCACGAAACCTACGGGACGGTGGTATTCAGAATGTACGCTCATCACTGGAGGAGAGGAAAATCATGGCTGAGATGGCAAGGGACAGACTCGCTTCCGGTAGGCGCGCGCAGGCGCATGTCTTTTGATTCTTTTCTTCGACAAGTTACTACCAGATGCGGGTAACCGCTCCCATGTTCTTCTGGGAATTCTTCTTCTTTTCCCTGACCAACCTCCAAGAACCCAGGGGATCTTCTTCTCCCCCTTATGCCGATCAATGCAAACGAAAGAAAACACATCTTCGAGAAATTTATCTGTACAACATCAAACAACAAAGCACAGGATTGCTGAGAAACAGAAGAAAACAAATATAATAATGTCGTTAAAAAACCAGTGTGATTGTCCAGTTCAGCCAGGAAAAAGCCAGAAAAGCGAAGGAGGAATGGAAAAGAATTAACGCCGATGCTTTACCGTCCAGCCCAATGCGTTGCCAGAAATTTTTGTTCGCCGCCTGCTGATGCGTGCTTGACCGCCGACAAAGTGGCTGGGCAAGAGTTACTGTTTCCTTCATTTCCCTTCTGCAGATGTTTCCTCCAACGCTATCGTTCATGATCACCGCCAGGTGAAGTTCGTCGTTCCCTAACCGTGCCGACAGGTTCCCCTCCCCCTTCGTATCCAGGAGGGTAGATCTCAACCCGGAGATCAGTCGACACCATTAAAATTAATACAATGAATCGAAGAGGGTGCCCTTGCGCCCACTAAGTCATAGTGACACCACCACCGTCGGGTGGATCTCGGAGCGAAGGCGTCGAAGGACGTCGCCAGAATCCGGGCTCCTAGACCTCGAGACTGCGCTCCTGGTGCCGACGCCCGAAGAGGGTGTGTTTCCTCCGCACACTGCTGCTATCGCCCGACGTGACGCTCAGCATGTCTGCGTTGCGTGTCCTTGACACCGCTATCGTCGCGGCCGTCGCGATACCAGGGGCCGCCTCCGCTGCAGCCACGGCCTCCTTGCGCTGGATCTGCAGCTTCTCCTTGCGTTCTGTCCTCTGCTGGTCGATGGCATCGCTGGTCAGGTGGTTCAGCCCGGACCGCTTCTTAAAGCAGATGTCCATGAAGTGGTTTGCGTCCACCATCTTGCGTGGGAGACTCTGTACAACGGCGAAGACCTCCATAGGGTCGTTGATGGACTTGATCTCACTCTCCCCGGCCTTAAAAATGGCGAGTGCAACCCGGAAAAGGGTCTTGGATCCCTCGTAGAAGAACACGTCCCACACGCGCAGCGTCGTCTCGATGGGGAGGGTGCCAATGAAGCACGACATGAACCATGCTGTCAGCGCGAGGGTGACGGGTGGAAGGTTTTCGCCACTGACCGACACGGCATGCCTGTGGTATCGAGCGCGTCTAGACTTCTTCTTGGTGGTTCCAGAACCGTCGTCGGAGATCTTGGACCACACGTTGGGCAGTACAGCTTCCAGCTCATTCATGAGCACGCTCAAGTCGACCTTGGACCCTTCAAGGTTCATCTCGTGAGTGCCTGGGAGGTACACCCTCGTGATGATGTTGAGCAGCCAGAAGGCTTGTTCCTCTGACTCCACAAATAGTAGGAGCATACCACCGAGGAAGTTCAAGGACTGGCAGTATCCGATGCTAGGGTTGAAGATGGCAAAGGCGGATAACACTCGGCGGAGGCTTTCGATGATCGCAGGCTCGGAACCTGGGGCTTTGGGCGTGGGATTCGCAGACTGGGTAGAATTGTTGCGGCTGTGTACTGGAGTGCTGCCCGGCGACGGTGATTGTGACGCAGCCTGCCCCGGGGTCAGGCCCGTTGGCGGTGCTGCACGTCGAAACCGCACGTTGTCTGGAAATGTCCGGTACAGGTCTCGCTCGATATCGTCCCGGCACACGTCTTTCAATTCGCCGTTCTGTGCACTCTTGACCAGGTTGTCGTAAACGCCTCGGTTGTTTGCCAGAATTTTGGGGCCACCAGCATAGTAGAACCATGCTGCACCCCTCCATTCTGGCGGTATGCCCTTCCTGATGAACCTCTTTGCTTTGGCGGAGTGCTGGGGGAAGCGGTTGGGCTGATCGGTCATCAACCCATTCTCCTTGAGAAAAGCCTCCCACTTCTTCCTCCTCCTTGCAAGATATTCGGAATATTGTCCGTTCCAGTCGTCGTACTGCTGGCGCGTGACATACTGGTTTGATTTCCGGAATCCGTAGCGATCATTAGCATCGGGGTCCAGATCTTCGGGCTGCGTTGCTCCCTGCACTGGCTGCGACGGAGCAGACATAACAATCTTTGGCTCGGTCGAAGTTGGCGACAGAGGGGAGAGTGTGTCCTTGTCAGGAAGCGTCGGCGTGCTTTCTGTGGTCGGGATGGTTGATTCCACTTTCTTGAGAGCGTCAATTGATGAGTGCTCATCATGGGGGCCGATCTCTTTTCCTGAATCATGTCTGCTATGCCGTACACTGTCCGCTTCGAATGCTTCGTCGTCGTCGTCTTGCTTCTCGAAGTCCACAATGCCGGTTTCCTTCTGCTCCGCGTTGATGTAACTCAGCCTCATGTCTTTAGGTAAGGACGAGGCCAAGCTCTTCCGGAAGAAGGCGTTTGTGTCCCGGATACGAACAGCACCATCAGCATTCAGAGGGAAGGTTCGGCCAGGGATAGCGATCGCATTAGGCTGGTTCATGGCCTCGATCAGGCGGCTCGCGGCCTCGCTGTTATGAGAGACTGCCGATCCTGGCCTCGATTCGTCGTGGTCGTCCATCCCTCCCGGGGCGAGCCGCACCACTGGTACATCGGGATCGACGCTCGACTTTCGCTGAAAAAGGTCCATATCGCTGTCGTTGAAGCCTTGTTCGTACATTCCCATCACATCGTCCACGCTGAGGCTTTCCCGAATTTCGATGCTTGGTGAATGGGGACCGAAGAAGGGAGAGTTCCTATTTCTGTTGCCAGTGCTGAAGATGGAACTTGTTTTGGTCATAACACTGGACCTCTCGGGTTCCGTGAACAGGGTATCCTGGGCTGTCGACGTCGTAAGCTGACTCCGCATGCTGGAACGCATCTCATCCTCGTCTAGATACGGGTGCTGGGCCCAGGGGGCTGAACGGTTTCGTGGTGGAGACGGCGGCCGGACCGCGTGGGGGAGGCCCATATAATTACCTGTGGCGGAATTCTGAGACACGTTGCGAGGTGCAGCACCAAGGCGGTCATGGGAAGGTTTATTGTAAAGGCTTGGCGCACCCGAGGCAAAGGTACTCGAGGACATGTTGGAAGCGATTGAGGGTTGTCGAGCAGGCCTTGGCCCTGCACTGTAGGGTATGTAGTTCGAGGCCATGGTCCTTGACTCGAGACGGACGGAGTCCGAGTTTGAGGTATTGGCTGTTCCAGGTCGGAGGTACAGGGGTGCAGAAAAGTCGGGACGATTCAAGCTCCTCAGACTAGGCTTTCTCGGGCGAGAGAAGTTATAACTGTCAGTTGCAACACTGTATGCCGTCTCCCCAGACTGCCGGCTGTCCGGCCGGTACATTTTGGAAGGTGAGCCGGGCGTCACCGCGGCTGCGTGCTCATGTCGATTTGTCTCGGGGCCGTCCAAATTCAAGTCCACGGCTTGGTCCTCGGGAATCTGAGGATGCGAGTACAGACTCGCCGGAAAAGTTGCCGACTGGGGTGAGCGAATTGGAGGAGGTAGCCCAGAGTCCGAGGCTACAGGCGCGTTTGCGATGCTCGCAAGACCTGCACTCACAGGCTGCCCGAGGCTATTCTGACGCCTCGTGGGCAAGGAATCCCATCGAGGGCCTGGATAGCCTGGAGAATTTGGGGTGATGGGAGTGTTTGGAAGCGACCGTTGCCGGCGGGTGGTGACCACGCTGGGGGGTGTCTGTTCCGACGGTTGGCTTGGGATGCACGGAGCCTCGACGATGTCTCGATTCGAGGGCGTGCCGTCTGGTTCGATGCGACCGTAGATGGGATGGCCTCGGATGGGGGTGAAAGGCGCGTGGGAGTCGGGGGGGTATCGTGTTTGTAAGTGCGGAAGCTGAGCCCTCGTGGGAGAGAATGACGAGAAGGACAGGTCGGGCTGCGATTGTGCTGGCGTCGCCGTGTGTTTTGGGTCGTGGGAAATAAAATGAGGGTCCGTGTGAGGGAGGACCCGGCGCTGCCGTGGTGAAGCTGGGACCCAATGCTGGTGTGGGTGCGGTTGCGGGTGCGGGTGCGGGTGCGGGTGTGGTTGGCGGCGACGAAGTGAATGAATCTTGCCGCGGGGACAGTGCGGGCAGAGATTGGGGTTGGGAGCGACTCGGCCGATGTTCAAGGTGAGCCTGATGCTGGTGGTGATGCAAAGGTGAGTACTGCGAAACTGAGGGAAGAGAACCCTGTCGCAGTCGCTGCTGCAGCCGAGGCTGTTGGTGTGGCAGGTGTGGTAGCACGTCGAGACGCAGGTCCTCCCGTGATGGCATCTGCGTGTGATAATCTGGCAGTTCTGGGCGGCCTTGGTCCGATCGCGCGTGGTGGTGATCGGCCAGGGCAGGAGTCTTCTGGAAGGCTTCGAAATGCCCACCGGGAGTGGTTTGGGCCCGCCCGACGACCTCAGCCGGATCGTGGGTTTCGGCGCCCCTGTCTCGTGGCGAGTTGAGGTGAAAATCTGCTGGCGGTACTGCGATTTCCGCAGCACTCTCGCGTGGTCGGGACCAGGTGCTCGTCTTCTCTCGGTTGAGACTGCCGAGATCCACAGCCATCTTGTTAATCAGAGACCCTGTCCCCGCGGCTCCAGCACCTCCTTGGCCGGCCATGGTTGGCTGCCGTTGCCCGTTCTCCTCTCAGTCGTCCCGCGTGGTTTGGCCTCCAGTGTTGAGATTTCGGCGAGGTCTGGGCATGGCGGACAAGGACGAGAGTCAAGAGACGCGAGACGAAGTCGAGGCGAGGCGATGCGAGGACCGAGACTAAGAACGTCTATCACTCTTGTGTCGGGGCGCCTCGCACTTGGCGGGGGAGGTGGTTTTAATTAGACCGCTCCTCCTTCGATATTGGGCGAAGGCCCGGGTACATCTACGGGGTACCTGCGAGACAGAACAAAAAAACAACCAACGAGGGAGTGAAAAAGCCGTGCTGATCTAATGATACATCAACATCAGCACGGATTACTGCCGCGGTCGCTGTGATAGTACTGTGCTGCGACTGTGCTGCGTAGGTACTCCAGGCCTGCAGCTGCACAGGAAGGCGCCACTGCAGGGTCAACAGGAACAGGATCACTGGATCAGGAACAGAGTGGGGATGTGCAGCAAGCGGCGTGCTATGATTGATGTCAATGCCAATGCAACGGGGCACGCTTGGATGCACATGTGCGTTCTCGTTGACATCTGACAACAATTGGGAGTCTGACTGGCATCGATCAAATTGGCATTGGCAAATGGCAATTGCAGGTTTTGTTTTAGCAGCATGTACCACAGCCAAGCAGCCAGCTATGCACAGTTCCCCCATGTCCCACGGTTCCAAGGTTCTAACTTGAGCAGCCATCAGCCCGCAGCATGCACCGTAGAGGAGGGAAGGAGCGACGGGGGGCAAGGAGCTTTGTCACTGTCACATTTCAATTCATTATGCTCAATACCGGACTGTGTGTGTGTGCGGTACATTTGACCATTTCGCGGCCGGCCCCCAGGCACACCCCCCAGGCTAGCTGACCATCGCTCGGCCGTTGGACGAGGGACCCCCTGGTTCCACCTTAAGCTCTTTTCATCCACCGCTAGCAGAAAAGCAAATTGGCGTCTGCTTCCGTCTCCTCCTCGCCGCGTCCGTCGCTCAGGTACGGTCGTAATGGCACACCTCGCTCAGACCTTGCCGGAAGCCAAAACGCGCCGGCCAGAGTGCCAGCCTTGAATTGGCTTCGGAATCATGATCCTGAATTGATGATACACGCCAATGCACGCTCGCACTGGACGAGAGGCCCGTTTGTCCGTGGTGCGCGCCTCGTGGCTCAAGGCTGGCTGACGGCAAATGAGTGATAGCTTGGGCGTGGTGAAGGGGACCCAGAGATTGCGATTTTCGACCCGACGGAATCCTACAAGGCTGCGATTCACACACGTCCTAACGTCGCGTCCAGTACACACCCGGGACGCATGGATGCTAGGATGCTTGGAAAGGCCTGAGCATTCATTTGATCTGAGGACTGAATGACGGACATGACATGCCTGAGATGCCTGCGACGCCTGCGACGCTGTTGTGCTGTTATGACCTCACTCCCGCGGTGCCCACTTCACCCTAGCAAGTCTCCACATCATCAGCGACGTTTCAATTTGAGAGTGCGAAGACTCTGAAGCCTGAGCTCGAGTCCCGCCCAGCCCGCAGGTGTCTCTGTGCACATGTCATGCATGTAATGCATTCTTCATGAGCAAAGACCGCGAATTCAATGTGCCTGATGAGCCATCGAAGGACGTGGACCGTGGTGTCGAGAGGGAGCGAGGGAGCCGAGCAACAAACACGCAGACGGGCAGACGGGCAGACAGTCCAGACAGGACAACCCTGGCCACTCACTTCCCCCCCTTTCAGCACAAATTTCAGGCTGCTCTACTGTAGACATCATCACTTCTCCTATATCTGTTCTCATATTTGTTGTCTGCCAATACTATAATCCACATGTCATCATCGCACTCACCGGATCGGCTGCTAAGTCCTCGCGACCAGGCCTTTCAGCAAACGGTCGGCACCCGTCTGCAAGGGGCCCCCCATGCGGCCTCCCACGCCGCCATGCCTGTTCAGGCAAGTCAGCATCTTCTGTGCCTGAACCATTCCTCATCCAGCCAAGCCGCCCCTCACCCTCAGCTGCGCCCAGCATTCGGATCCGAACCCGGCCCCCTTAACTTTTGGTCTGGCGCTGCCCAGGGAAGGCTTCCATCCTTCCATTCTTGTTCTGATTCGACTCGGCAATTTCAGGGCTAGAATTGGTTTGAAATGGGATTGCATTTCTGGAAGACATTTCTGCGGGCTGCGGGTCGAGGTGTCTTCAGCCAGCCTAGCAACACAGCATCTGACTTGATTCACCCGACACCATCATCCTGCTCTCACAATCGGCCCATGTACCGATCACAAGCCCGAAGCATACGAGACAGGGCTAATAGCACTACGGCGAACTTGGACCGGACCAGACCTTCAGAACGGCCATAAAATTGGTCGCTACCTTGGTGGTCCTGAAGCTTGCCCGTACTTTCTGTCCACCGCCCTGCCGAACACCCTTGGGAGGTCCTCACGCCCAGCCTGCCAGCATCATCAGCTCGCCTCAACACAGCCGTGGCGTGCGGGCCCGTCCACTCTTGTCGGCGCCGTCCGTGCTGATCGCAGGATTTACTGCTTCTTCCTGGCCCCTGCGCACGGGGGCAGGTTCCCAGGCTGTGCAACCAGCGGGCAGTGAGTGACACAGACACGGGAGGCTGCCGCGAGCGTGCCGCCTCGAAGTCGAAGCGACCCCCGGCCGACCGTGCTATGAAGTGCTCCTGCGCAGGTCGGCAAAGCATAGGTTTGGTTCTTTCGATCGTCGCACCTCATCTTCTACGGTATATCACGTTCCCATCTTCCCAGAGCGCGGCAGATGCTGGCTCTGCTCTGAACCGCCTGATCTACAGGTTCGGCCCGTTTCATTCTTCTTCCCGGATGCTACCTCTCGCGCTGGTCCTGGGCCCAAGTTGGGTGCCAGTGTCTCGTCCCTGGACACCTTTATTTGTTTTCAGGAAGCGCGGCCATCCTCGCCGTTCTCACGAAGGAAACCCGCTGGAGGAGACTGTGGCCGTCTCATGTTTCCAAGCGTTTAAGATCCCCCGCCTTGCAAGTGCAGGCCGTCCGTTCCCTTAGGATTGTTGGGGGCCGAATGGCTCGCTGACGGCTCACCACCCAAAGACCTTCTTACTGCTTTCCACCCCCTATTTGCCAGCCACGATGGCCTCGGAGGATTTCAAGCAACTCTAGGGGGGAAGATACATTTACCTTCTTGCCAGGGGTGCTTTGAGTCAGCCAAGCTCCGTCGAAGCAGACGCTTGCATCTCCAGAACCACCGCCAGCCAACCTTGGGCCCTGAGGGCCTTCAAAGCTGGGGAAGCTGGGAAGCTGCGAGGGCTGGGGGTGGGGAGGTCCGAGCTCCAAGCAACACACGATGGCCTGGCACGCAGTGTGGGTGCATTTCTACTGTCAGACTGGACTGACTCTGCGTTGAAGGTGCAGCAGCAGGTGGTGGGGGGCACGCCCGGTGCCTGCTTCATCGATCGCTCAAGCCTTTATCGCTTATCGCACTGTCCCAACGCACCAGCCACCAAACGGCACCGGCGATCGCTGCTTCCTCGTGACAGCCACCACCGTCACCCGCCAGCCCGCCCCAACCAACGGCAGCCGTGGACTGCTGCTCCCCTTGCAGCAGCCCTCCTCAAAGGTCGCAGGTTCGAGCGGCTAGGCTGCGACGACCACCTTGGGGGAAGTACACTATACTTCCCACCGCCACCCAATCCCTTCCTCGAGTCGCATCATACCCGGTGCTGTACTGTGCATCATTTCGAGGTAGGCAGGTGGTTGAGGCAGGGAGGGAGTAGCCAGAGCAAACAAGCAAGTGCTGCTGCACCACATCGCCTGCATCTTGGTGAAGCAGCGAGCTGAACCTTGGAACCTCGGAGAAGCTGCCACTCTCACACACACACCCCTCTCCTCCCACCTTACGCCTCCCTCCTCACCCAAGCTCCCCCGCTCCCATCCCAGTTCCCAGCCGGCCCTGTCCAGCCGTCCCGGCCAAGCTCTGGCTCGCCTCCTGCTTCCATGCCCGCCTGCTGCCCATCCCCCTTCCAAGGTTCCCTCGAGGTCCCTCCGCGCACTCCCCCCTCCCCTTCAGCCCAGAGCTCCGTTGCGCCCGCGCCTGGCTGGCCGCCCACTCCCACACCAAGACTCCAACATACCCAGGCATTACTAGCACCTGCCTTACTCTCCTCACGCATAGCTCTTGTCCTGGCCGCTTGCGCGGGCAGCACAGTAGCTCCCAGCTCTCCACACCAACCGACCGCGACCACCCCCCGAGCTGCCCCCTTCCTCTCAGCCGTCCGTCCCCTTTCCTTTCCTCCTTTTCTCTTTCCACCACTGTCCCATCTTCCTAGCACCAAATCCGACGCTTTGCGACCTCCTGATACCCTCATTTTATCCAATTGGAACATTTTATACCCAACCTTTGATAATGTCGAAGAGAAAGGCTCGAGGAGAGGAGGAGGAACTGGTCTCGCTTCCATCTGAATCGGAAGAGGAAGAAGAGTAAGTCAGTGTCCATCAACAAAGCTCGTGCACACTTTGCGCCTCCATCTCAGCCAGCGCGCAAGGAGCGCCACTGCGGTCAAGCTGTCGACGAGACATGCGCTTGTGTGGCGCAAAGCTCGAAGCAATGCGCCGCCGTCCCGCCTCCTGGGACCCATCAACCTGGTAATGCACGGAAGCCTTGCGGGAAACCGCGCAATGACCTGCACCACAGGGTCCCTGCCACTTGGGAGTTGTTGCTCGGCACATCGACCGGCGAGACAGCGTGAACGGAAATCACAATGTCGCTCGAGTTTTGATCCCAGGCTCCTTCATCCTGCGCTGGTCGGCCTCGTGGGCGCGTTGTGTTCTCCAGGCGTGCGTCATATGCCGCATCACTTTGCGCGTGTTGAAGCTTCGCAGATATACCTCAGGAGAGTCTCGCGCTGACGCCCACCACTATTGCAGATATGTAAGCGACGAGGAGGACGAGGATGACTACGAAGATGATGAAGAGCAGGAAGAGGATGACGAGGCTCCAACTGAAGGTAGATTGTCTCCAGCCCTTCCCCTACAGACCGATGTCCTCCAGACTGCTTATACGGCATCTTCCCATCAGACAAAGCCCCTCCCGCGAAGAAAGCCAAGACGGCCCCCGCCCAGGAGGACCCCGAAGAAGAGGTCGAAGGTGAAAATGAAGGTGATGAAGACAATGAAGAACCCGAAGAGGAGTTCGACGAGGACGCAGGTGGTGCCGAAGACGCCGATGACGCCGAAGTCGTGGGCAACGGGACCGAAACCGAAAAGACGAAGGCCAAAGTTGCAGACGCTCCCGAGGTCGCTGGGGACGAAGAGGCGGAGGCAGTTGCAGGCGAAGGGGACGAAGAGTGAAGGTCGATCTTGACAGCAGCCCTTGCTTCCCACGATATATTGCTCTTTCTATTTGCCTTTGCTCATCGTTGGATCGCTTGCGAAAACGTAGAGTCGGGTGGAGACGGGTATCTGTTCAGGGAAACATTTCTCTCGTGCCATTCACCTAGAGTGGTCCTGTCTTGTAGCTTCCTCGGCCACAAATACAAAGTGCCTCTAATTTGTTGTTTAAATTACCTGATTCAGTCTAGCTCAAGCATGTTTATTACCTTTTTATAAAACAGATCCTGTCTTCAGTCCTTTCAACTGGTTGAAATATCTCAAAGGATATTCAATGTTACCACAACGGAGGCAATTTTAGAGCGGAGACTCATACTCATCACCCTGCAGTGCCACGTCAACTGGCTCCCCCCTCTTGTGACAGAAGTTGCATCGGCCAGCACCTGGGGACCACTCGACGCCGAGATCTCAAGAGGTCAGGTAGCTATTGCAGGTACATCGTGACCGGGCCGCCCCGGGATTGGCTGTCCTCTCCCGTGGTTCCTTCACCGGCGCCGGCTTGCACGGATCCACAGGCTCGATCCATTCGAAAGTTCAGGGTCATGCACGCCTTCAATATTGTCCCGGTGGGCTTGTGACCTTGCCCAGAAGTTCACCGAGTGCATGTTCAAGGTTTGCATGAGGGCGCAGAGGAGGATTTGCTCACCTAGTTTATCTTAGCGTCAAGCACATGGTCATAGTTGCACCTGCCTACACCTACCATCCTCTGTCCCCGCCCTCGCGTCTTAATCGGTGGATGCTCTGAAGTGGAGCAGCATAGTCTTCTGCAGCCATCGTCCCAGACGATTGTGCTGTGTATCTTTATGTCCGGCACAGAAGCTGGTATTCTGTCCATGTGTTTATTCCGAAGTCGGAAACCATGGCATTGTAAACTCTTCTCTGGCACGTCTCTGAGATGACTTTATTGCCCACGAAAGCGCTACACGGATTGCCCCTGAACTCAACGACACCAAAAGCTCTCACGGCTTCATTGATAATAGCAACGCGAGTACTTGCGTCCGAATCAACGCATAGAGGCCAGGACACTTGTTCCCGAACGGGAGCGCAGGTAACAATTGGTGGGAATCCTGGCGCTTTACCCCAAAGGAAATGTGAAGGAAAAGCTGGCCACATAGAGGTATCTTTCCGGATGGAAAGTTTCTCCTACACGAACGGGACTTCCTGAACAAACATCGTGGGGCCGAGTTCTGCTTGCCGGTTTTCAAAGGAAGTCTTGAGTCTTCGACTAGTTACATGTTGCGCCACACCGTATTTGCAGATTTGTTTTACTTTTATTTTTCAAGCCCACCATGACATACATATATATACCCTAGTTTCTCATCACCACTAGTGTGCGTGCATCGGCTTGTGGTGTACACATGCTTTTTTTGAGACAGTCGTTCATAATGCTACTACCATCGAAAAAAGTGGAATAGAGGGGGCTAGCTGTGTTCATAGCATTCCAGCCACATGACCAGAAACGGGGAGACTATGACTGCTCTCAGGGTCTAGTTGGGTTAATTACCATTCGTTTTCGGTCACCGAGAAACCTACGAGTAGCAACTCGAGGCGAAGAACTGACCATCGTGGAAATTGTGTGTCCCTCTGATCTGGATGCAAGCCACAATCAGTCACTAGGTTTGGCTTCTCCGGCTCCTCAGTCCTGCACTGTCTCACCTGGCCAGAGCCTCTGGACTCCGACCGTGGCAGACACAACAACACATGTAGAGCGCGGTTGTGGCCAGTAACAATTTGGTAGCCTCTGTACTGTGATCAGCTCTAAGTCGGTGCATTTATACCCTGGACCGGGGGGGGGGTGGCAAAGTTGAGAAGAGTCTTACATGAGGATGTGTGAGAAATCCCCCTGACGCCAGGAGAAACTCATTCAATATCAGTTATTCGTCGATGGGAGCAATTGAGCTGTTGAATCCCGTGCTGGCCCTGGGAGAAGCATTTGAGGGCCCAGATGTGGGACTTGTGCCCGCCCCAAGCCCGAGGCTGCTGATAACCTTGTTGAAGACGCCTTTCGCGGTCGCCACAGCCCAGTCTTCGTCTGAATGTCGATTCGGTTCTGTGGAAATGGGCAAGTCCAGCTGCTTTCCTGGCCGACAGGTCTTTTGCGTGCTTGCTGGTTGTGTACGTGGACGCTCTGGAGAGGTCCGTGAAATATTTGTCCTTTATCTCGTCCATTTTCCGTAGCACTATCTTTGATATATTGTCGTTGTAGGACTTTGGGTCCAGCGGCTTCTGGCTGTATAAGGTCACGGCAAGCTTGCGGTCGTCGATCAGCATCGCGGCCAGACTCGCCCAGTCGCATTCATCGATCAGGCGGAAAATCTCGCCGGTGGGGTATGGCTGTGCTGCAGCAATCCTGAGTCTTCTCTCAACGTGATCCTGGTCTAGCATCATTTCCTTTTTGGGACTCGCAAACGTTTTTTGGTACAGCTTGATATCCTTATCACTTTTCTCTCCCGTGCTGTGGTGCTTGTTGAGCGTCTCAAGGTGCTTGGACACCCAAGAGCCAAGGCCTGCCTCGCGCGGTGAGTGTCCCGCATAGTCCAGTAGTATTGATGTTGCAAAGAATCCTTGATAACCCATAATGTTGGCCAGCAGGGCTGTCCGGGAGATGAGGCTTGTATGGAGGTCCTTCCAGTGTTCCACAAGCTGCGCATCTATGCTGTCGAGGTGGGCGAGCTCACTGAGCGTACGCTGCTGTTCTGAGATTGTGGGATCCGGTCGCTGAAGCATCTCCTCGTGCAACTTAGTTGCATCTAGTAACTCTCTGTGGAAGAGAGGCGTCAAATTGTCTAATAGGAGTATTTGATAACCCGCAACACGTTGACTCAGTATCGAACGTACTTCCTGAGCAGTAGACCACATCTTCTCCAGCAGAGACGTCTCTTTTGTGGACGGAATCAAGGCCCGTACGTCTGGGGCGGGAGTAGATGTTGTTCTCAACTCGCTGGCGGGACCGCTCCTGCAGGCAGACTTTGACTGCATGGCGGAATTCGGCAGGTTTGTCGAGATCGGAAAGAGGGATCTCGAGCAAAATAGCCGTCTGGATATGCTGGCCTTCACCCGGAACCTGTCCTTTTCATCCATTGACATGATTGCCTGGGAGAGGGGTAAACGAGAGCAAATCTCCCGGGCCCTGAAGCATGTCATGAGCCTTCTCGAGACAAATGCCATACGTCTGATCGGGCCCATATCGACGTATCCTATGCCAGACATCGAACGGGCATTTCGTGTCATGCAGAGCGGCCAGCATGTGGGCAAGATAGTTGCTACTGTCGCCGGGGAAGACTTGGTTCCAGTCCGCGGTAGGACTCGCTCACTGAGATTGCAACCTAACACTTCCTATCTCGTGGTTGGCGGACTCTGGGGTCTCGGACGACGGATCTGCGAGTGGTTGGTCGATCGTGGCGCGAGGCACTTGATCATCCTTTCCACGAGTGCAGACACGAAGGCCGAGCGGGATCCCTTTGTGGCCAGCCTGGAGCATCGCGGCTGTGTGGTGTACTTGCATGCGTGCGACGTGTCGGACGAGAACCAGCTCGCTGCGGTGCTGCGGGCGTGCAAGGAGGGAGGCGTGCCGCCTATTCGGGGCGTCATACAAGGAGCCATGGTCGTCCAGGATGCATTAGACGATTTCCACGCAACAACAAACCTCAAGGTCCAAGGCAGTTGGAATCTGCACACGGTCGCAGACAACGTCGACTTTTTCATCATGCTCTCTTCCCTCGTGGGAGTCAGTGGTGGCGCAGGCCAGGCTAACTACGCCGCTGCTAGCACTTTTCAGGATGCACTCGCACATCATCGAAGAGCCCTGGGCAAGCCAGCTGTCGCTATAGACCTAGGCACGGTCAGCTCGGTTAACTGCGAAGCCGAAAGCTTCCATGACAACGCCAACCGTTCTCAAATATCAGGCTGCAAAGCTATGCACGAAGAGGACCTCATGTCGGTGCTGGAGATGGCCTGTTCTGGTTCGTGCCCCGCCGTCGTCGTCACGGGGATCAACACATCTCCGGGTCCTCGTTGGGAAGAGGATTGGATTCAGGAGAAGCGCTTCGCAGGATTGAAATACCGAAAATCTCGATTGGCAGGCTCCGGCCAGGCCCTCGAGTCCTCGCCGGATAGCCTGCAAGCACAACTCCAATGTGCAGCGTCGCACGACGAGGCGGTGGTCATTGTTGTCAAGCAGATGACGCAGAAGCTGATGAGGATGTTTGGCCTGACAGATAATGACATTTCTTCGACTGGTAACTCTAGTCTGGCCGGCTTGGGCATAGACTCGCTCGTGTCCATCGAATTACGAAACCGGATCGCCCCACAGCTCAAGGTAGACATTGCAACATCCGAGCTGACTGACAATCGTCGTACGATAGTGGAACTTGCGGACTTGGTAGTCAAGAGACGCAGTCCCATTCTCGTCAATGGTGTGTAGCCTCGGGTGACAACTAAGTAGATCGTTATTCCTTTTACGGAGAAGAGAGGCCGGCAGTTCGAGCTTCAGCAGGGGGTCAGGACAACTTGATGTCGATATCAACGAGTATACTGAGTAGATCCAGAGCAGTCTTTTCGAAAGCCTCGTCGGTGGGAGCCTCCCACCACGGTGGTGCTTGTTCAAGGCACTTGGGTAGAATTCAATATCATGAAACTGCTTTTGAGTCTGAACCTGAGCCCGTTCACCATTGGCAAGCCTTATTACGGCAATGGGCGAGTGATCCGGATGCCATATGGAGCCAGGAGACCTGCTTGCCGCCCATACACACCATGGGGCAGCCTCCTAATCTCTCCCTCCCATTTCCCCCCTCTCTCTCATAGTCACTGTGCGTGGAACCAAATTCTCGAGTGGGTGAAAGATGAACATTGCTTGTTGCATTGAGCATTAGGTCACATCGCATGAATAGAGGTACTCGTCAAAGTCACTTCGCTGAAGACGCCTGCGCGGTGAAGCCATCCATAAACTGAGGAAAACCCAAACCCCTGTCGAGCCAACGAGGTAAGCAGCCAGTGCCTGTTATATCCGTCAACCTGCCACAGCATTTGATCGGTTTCCATGACCACGTCGGAACTCCATTGTCTCTGCCTTCCACGTTCCACAGGAACATCTCTCCAGCCGATAGTGTGGCCCAAAGCCCCCTGGACGTTACTCCATGGGGTCTGTCTCGAGGTGCCCGTCGTCGTTGTCGCCGGTATCTATAAGCTGACTGTCTGCCACGGCCTGCAGATAAAGGTCAGTTAAGTTGCCCGCTCATTTGAAAATCGGAACATTCCTGGGTGTCACTTACAGTGCTGGTCCTACTAAGATGAGACGTCGACTTCTCGCCATTCCCACCGCCAGACCCGCCAGCTCCCTTGGCCATGGACTTTGTCAGCTGGAGGACGAGGTCCTGCAGCTTCTCGACCTCGGACCGCAGCTTCTGCACCTCGACGACGGTGGCGTCGACCTCGAGGTTCGTCCTGGCCTGGTTGACCGTCTTGTTCCAGCCGTCGCTCTCGAAGTCGACCTCGCCGGCCATCTGCTCCCACTCCTCGATGGTGTCGTCGTCGTCCTCGCCGCGGGCGCGGTTGGCGCGGATCTCGCGCGCGCTCTTGGTCTCGAAGTACGCGGCCACGACCAGCAGCGGCGAGTAGATGACGCCCATCACTATGTCGTTGAGCCGCTCGTATTGTTTCTTGGGCATCCACCACTCGAGCGGGAGCGCCAGGAAGAACACCTCGATGAGGTTGAACGGGGCGATGAAGACGTTCTCGTCCGGCGCGCGCACGAACTGCATCGTCTTCTGGGCGAACAGGGCGAGGTACTCGTCGTTTGCGTTGGTGTAGATGTCCTCGTACGCGGAGTTGTACAGCGCAATCAGGATGTTCAGGAGGACAACCATGACGACGAAGGTGAATAGGTAATATAGTATCAAACCAAAGGGTGCTCCAAACCTGTCGAAACCGTCAAAGTCGGGCGACTGCATCAGAGCATTGGCCATGGCCTGCGAGATGAACTTCAAGTCCGTGATGTTATCATCTGCCTTGTCCAATCCAATGAAGGCCTGCATGAAGCCGACGACGATGACGGCCAGGAGTGCAAAGAAGATGATAGATTCCTTCATCATGACCTTGAGGACGACCAGCATCGCGCCGAAGAAGCGGAAGCTGTCGAGGTACAGCAAAAGGCGCATCCAGAACATCGGCGCACAGCAGGCGAGGAAGTTGTAGGATATCACGTTCAACTTTTCGCGGGGGCCAGGTTCAGCACCCGGAGGTGACAGGTCGTGGCTGAGGGCGGCGAAGCGGAAGCCGAGACTGGTCGTAAGCAGGGCGTATAGTACGGCGTTGAAGGCGGTCCAGAAGCCCCAGATGTGGTAGCCGGCTTTCCAGAATTTGGTGAACTCATCAAACACAAAGCCCAAGGTGAAAACATAGAGCAGGATCTCGACGAAATCGACGTCCGCGTCCCTGTTGATGGAGTTGATAGCACCGGTGTACAGACCCAGGTAGATGAGCGAGATGAGCAGCTGGGCGGCGTTCTGGTACATTGGGGCGCGCATGCGATCCGGGTCGAGGTGGATGTGGAACCTGGTATCGTCCTTGTCCTTGAAGTCGACAAAGCTGGCCGGATCGTTCTCGTCCTGGCAAAGCCAGCCCTTCCAGAGGTAGCTCACGCACTTCTGGTAGCCCGAGGACCCGATGACGCGCAGGGCGTGCAGGTCGACGGCCTTCTCGATGACATTGCTCGGCGGCGTGGACTCGTTGTCGATAACGATCGAGTACCGCTTGAGCAGCACCGAGTGCATCAGGTACTCCTGGTCCTCCTCGGTCTCGATGAGTTGCTTAGAGATCACCTCGCAGGCCACGGCCCTCAGCGCGTGAAGTTCGCAGTCCCAGAGCTCGGCCAGCGACTGCTGCTTGAACCAGCGCTTGCACACGAGCAGGCCGTAGACGACACATGCACCGTTCTGCGAGCCACCGGCCTCTCTGGCAGCCTGGACGACCTTCTTGCTGATGACCTTGGAGTGGGGGCGGGTGATCTGCTCCTCGTCTAGCTCGACGGGCACGGCCTCCTCGACGAGATGGCGCAGGCGCAGGGCAACCTTGGTGACTTCGGGAGCGGGGATGGCGGACTGTAGGGCCTCGTCCACATAGCTGGGGAGGAGACGCTGGTGCGACTCGTGCCACCAGTTACTATGGGAGCGCGGGTTCTCGAACCCCAGCAGGACGCGAAGATTGAACCATCTTCTGGGAGCCATGGTGGAGGACAAACAAGATTGAAGGGTCGATCTCCTGTGCTCTCCGCTGGGCGATGGGCAGGACGGTCGTATGAAGCTGCCACTGGCTTAGTACGAGCTCAACGCGAGGGGAACACGGGCCGCGTCACGATGATGAGTGATGGACGATGAGGGCAACGAGATCTAGGAGCTGATGAGGGCGATGTGGACAAGCAAGTTGGGGCAGATTGCCGTTTCCAAGATGCCAATTGAGTCCTGAAGAGCCGTCTTCCTGAGCCCACCCTCTCTGGTCTGGCAGTCTCTTGTTTTTTGACAACGAGACGAGGTCCAGAGGAAGCAAGCTTCTTCCCAAAGGGCCTCGTTTTTGGTCAGTGGAATGACGTGGGCCCGGCAGGGGAGCTGCTAACAGGTAAGCACCCCTGGCCTGCGGTTGGCCTGTTAAGCGCGGCCCTCCAGCCAAGCGATTCTATGCTAAAATCAGGGAACCCGCCTCTGGCGCTGCAACCTCAAGAAATCCCCGTCTGATACTGTATCAGATGCACGCTTATGGCGGTCCCAAGCTAGCCACTTCAACTCAAGCTTTAGCTGCCGGCTACACTGCAGCTTCGCGGACCCCACAACCCCCCCAAGCTCGACTCGACCACACCTTGAGGCCACCTCCCAGCCGGCACACGTGAGATGCGGCCGTAGTGCCGACCTGCATTTGTTTCAATGGTTATATACAGCACAAGATCAACGGCACAGTAGCGAGAGCTTACCCTTATGTGCTCCAATACTTATGCCTAAAATAACCCTGCCCGCACTGCTGGGCGGCAATTATGACCGATTTTACGACGACGACGACGACAGGACAGCTATCCGGTGCGTTTATCGCTGGGAAGCAAAACGTCGCTGTCGTTCAAGATTGCACTTTGCGGCGGGGGAAATTAATGCAGAGAAGATGCTTATTGTCATAACGCTTCAATTTGCAGAGAAGAAGTTTGCGGTGCGAACGACGGCATTTTCAGAGTTGGTCGTGGAGGAAATCGGAGAGACGCAACGATTTGTGAGCTTGGGAGGCTGGAACTACTTGCGGCTGCCAAGGCGAGCAAAATCTGAGACCAGAAAAACGCACAATTAGTAGAGTCTCCTCGGCATCACTCGGAGAGGAAAGGACAGGACATGTGTTCTCGTGTCAGATTTCCTTTTTTTCTTCTCACCTACTTGCCACGGCTTGAAGCCTGGGAATTTGTGTTTTGTCTCCAATGTTCAGTGTTCAATGATTCTCTGTTGTATTGTGACCACACATCAACCTTTTCCAAGGTAGGCTAACTGCTACCGAAGAAGACTTTTATTTCAAGATCTAGTAATGAGTGCCACACTTTCTTGGCCATTTCAATGCCATCTACAGTGTTCAGACCTCATGGGCAACATTGAATTCACTTCTTACCCATACTATCGTTCCGAGCGCTTGACGTGACTCATGGATGGAATTAATGCAAGGTATATCAGGGAACTTGCCACATGAAAGACTCTGCTCTGGTAACTTCTTATAGAAAAAGCAATCTGCTCCTTCGCCCTAGAAACCCTTCTTCATTTTTCTGCCGCCCGGAGTCCAGCGAAAATGATTGGCATTAATGGCAGGACCACGGGCGCCACAAGCCCCGAAGCCTCACGCGAAAAATAAGGTAAAAAGAACCTGGACACAATGCCAACGATTTCCAATGATCATCATGCGCTTGAAAGATCAACCCACCCAGACCAAAATCATCTACCCCAATGATCTCGATGAGCATTAAGTCATAGTCATCGCAAGCCTCAGATAATCAATAAGTGACAATAAAAGGCGAGGCCAATGATTCGTCTCCACCCACTCCACGCTGAGATTCCCCAACTGTATAAAGGTAAGTAGAAACAGCCTAACCCGATATGGGCATTATTTTGAGAAGACTAAAGCAACACGACCCTTGTGCATTTGACCACTCCCAAATGCAGCCTTTACTTACCAATCGAGGAACACGTCGTGAGTTGGGAGGAGTTTGTGGGACAGCGATTGACAGACACGCCCTTTGGCGGATCTAACCGGAAGAAGCTGTCATCTTGAGAAGATCTGGCTGATAAGGGGTTTACCAGTGATGGATGTTATAAATGACCCCTGCCTGATCACCAAAGCAGTGTTGTCTCCGATATCCAAATTTCAACATCACAACCATGGCATCCGCGGAGACCCCAAGACCGCATCCATCCCTTGCTCGCTGCGACGCCACAGACCCCTCGACCACCCCAGAGAAGTTGGTTGACATCATCAATCGCGATGGTGGTGTCATAGTAGAGAAGCTCGTCACCCGTGATCTTGCGGAGGCGATCAAGAGGGATTTGAAACCGTACTTCGATGGAGACATCCCGGACAAATCAGGCTTTTTCCCAGTGACGACTCAGAGAGCCTCCGGCTTACTGGGCATCTCAGACAACTGCGTCGAGCTTGCGTGCAACAAGCTCTATACTGACGTTGCCAACATACTCGTCTCTTCGTCACACACCTTCTGGAGGGGCGACCACCAGAAGACCGTCAGCGGGAAGCCCATCATCTCCTCGACGGTCGGCTTCCGCGTCAACCCGGGCGGCAGGCGGCAGGTCTTGCACCGCGATGACAAGTGGGTCCTCGCCATAGAACGCGCGGCAATCTTCAAATATGCTAACCCGGATGCAGTGACTATCATCCTCATGATAAGCAGCTGCCGGTGATGATCGGCTGCGTGACCGCGTTGACCAAGACCACGGCGGCCAACGGGGCCACGGTTGTTATCCCGGGGTCGCACCTCTGGGGCCCAGAGAGACGGCCGCTGGACGAGGAAACCGTTCCCGCTGAGCTTGAGCCCGGTGACGCGTGTGTCTTCCTCGGAAACACTTATCACGCGGGTGGAGGAAATGTCACCAAGTGCGTACCTTGAAGGCACGGTTTCCTGAAGGCAGCTATGGGATGTTTGCTAATCGCGACTCATAGGGACGAGTATCGGGAGACGGTTGGGATATTTCTCTGTCAGCCAACTCTGCGTCCAGCGGAAAACCAGTTTCTCATGGTTCCCCTGGAGAAGGCAATGAAGATGAAGCCACAGGCCCAGAGGCTCCTAGGTTATGGTATATGTGAGCCGGGCGTAGGTTTCATGAAGTACCAGGACCCCATGAGAGTGTTGTTTGGGGTTGAGGATGAGGAGACTGTCAATTTCTGATCGAGCCAATGTGATGTGTTTGTGTGTATCTCCAGTTCGGGCGATGGACACGCCGGAAATTTCAGACGACGAGAATGCGTTTCCCGGATACTTCTCTCGCCCGGATGAGTGACCTCCAGTCAGCATTCGCGCCGGCCCAAAGGTCTTTCAGGAAGTCGACGGCATCCATGTAATAAGCGAATTTCGTAGCTTTATGAATGACAGCAAAGATCGAAAGGATTATTCTTTGATGCCCTCTATTCCCATGGCAAGTGGTTCCCGCAATGAAAGTCGGCCACGCAAGATTTTGTACGAAGGTATTCAGATCTTCGAACCCCGACAGCTGATCAAACAACTTGGTGGATGTCGTCGTCCAGTCAGGGCTTTCCTCGTGTGCACATTTGAGACATTGAAATGCGTAAAGCAGTCCTGCGTTGTGGTATGTCTCTACCAGGCGTACAAAATCGCGAGATATCATCGATCCGGCCAGGCCAAGACGACCTGCTGCGATCAATGTGGCCCCTCTAGCTTGCTCGAATTCCGAGTGGACCATGATGATAGTGAAGGGCCCTTCTGAAGTCTCTGTCGAGTGTGGTTCTTCGGTGAGCTTAATTGACTGAAGCGTGATTTGGTGTAGGAGTGCAAGATACTTCGAGAATAGCAGACACTCTGACCCTGGAACCGGGGTGAGTGCATTCTTGATATGATATTCATCGAATGTTGTAGTGGCCGCCATCACATCCTCAATGGCCAGCTGGTTTCGGAGAAAAGCAAAGAGCTCGCGGCCTTCGGCCGAGACCGAGTGAGTGAATAGATTGACAATCGTACGGGCCGCTCGCCGGTGGCCCTCAGCCGCCTTTGGGCGGCACCGCGCATTTTCGTAGTTGTTGATAATCAGAATAGATGCAAGCATCCACTCGGCGTCGGCTATATCGGATTGGCTGTTCAGCTCGAAACCTTCGGCGACCTTTTCGGTCATCTCTTGCGCCCGGGTCTGGACCAGATGAAGGCACTTGTCGCGGGCAGTTTCGGCTATCGTGGCTATGTTTTCGTGAGGGTGGGCTATCGCACCGTGTTCAGCCGCAAATGCCATGATGGCGAATCCAATGGCTGGTCGGTATTCAGCTAGGGGGACCACGCGCTTTCGATAGTCGTTCTCCTCGGAATCTAACCAGACCATGAGGCCTGCGAGGTTCCGCCGATAGTAGTCCATGAAGCGGGTATACGACGGCAGACTGTCCACGATAGGAGACGCAGCAAGATCAACCTTCTTCGGCTCCAATCCAAGTATCGATTCCTGATGATCTGAGCACCCGGGTGTCGCTTCCGCTCCGAGCTGGGCAGTTCCCGGACATACCGGGGCAGCTTGTGGGGAATCGGGAGGAGATGCCCTGGTTGGGACGGTCCGGCCCCGGAGATACCCCCTTGCTGCCACTCCGTTGATCCATCGTAGCTGGCGATTGTATCCGGGGCATTCCAAGCCTTTCTTGGAACATTTGTTGCAAGTTGGCCGCTGGAAGTCGCACCGGATCCGTCGCCGCTCACAGTTCGCACAGCCTTCGATGAGCTCAGTAATTACTCAGCGAGCAAGGCAACTGGCGATAGCGCTCCTACCTTTCTCCCCGTCCAAATTCACAGCTTTGCTTTTCCTCGTAATTGTTCGACCTGCTCTTGGCATCGCGGACAGTGCTACTGGCAGTTGGTGATTGCTGACAAAGTGGACTAGGCACTCTTTGGGATTTGTATGTATGGAGAAACTAACTTTCTTCGAAGCGCGGGGCCGTCCAAACTGGCCCGTCAAATCGTCCGGTCTCCACCCGGCCGGCTTCCGCTCCGATCGGCTTCTCCTGGCTGTGGACGAAAAGCCCCTCAGTGCCGGACAACTTTAGGAGCTCAGTCAGGGAGAGGCAAACGAACAGCGGACATTTTCAGATCATGTCTGGAAATTGGTCAACGAGGAGATGCATGAGGCCAAAGCAATATACGTTGCTCCAGGCGAAAGCGAAGATTACATTGTTATCGGCGAGAGCACCATGGCAGAGGCAATATGCAAGGGTGGCCGCTAATGTAATGGCTATATGTAGCACAACTTGAAGATGCACGGAATGGCACCGACAGATCACCTCTGTGTGTTCTGGCATTCACGCCTCAAATGACCCTGCCTAAATGTCTCAGATTGTGGAAGTGTTTTACAGCTACTAGGCGGTTTGTGCATTGTATGCCGAGGTCTCGAACGAAGACTGGTCACTCCAGCCTAATTTTCCGCTTTGGGATAAGTACACGCAGTGGAGCTGTCCGCTGCCTAACGAGTCGCGCTTGGCAATCAGCATGTCTCTTTGGACACCCACAATGCCCGGTACGCCAGCAAGGCAACGCGCGGAAGCCTGACGCTATTTCATATTGGGAAGTCTCGTCAGGTTTCGTCTCCTGTCCTCATCGAATATAAGAATGCTAGCCTCGTGCAAGCACAGCACGCTCGCCGCTTTCCAAATAATATCTCGACCATTTTTGCAATCTTGCTCAGCACTCAGCCGAACTACTTTGTGTCCTCTGACCATTAACAGGCCTCCCCATCCCAACATGGCGCGGTTGGAGCTGGGCCTCGACGAGGACTTTGACAACACAGGAGACGGGCAACTCAAAGTCCCCGGGTTCTGCTACTATCATCAGTTCGAGCTGGACACCGAGGAAAGATTCCGTCATGGAGCCAATGATTTCCAACAGTCACCTCGCTTGACCGCCAGAGAGGTGGCCATGTTGGGAGTCATGAACGCCTTGACCGACAAGCCAGACTGGCATAAGAAAGTCTTCGACGATGAGATCGTTGCGAAGTGGAAGCAGGAGGCTTGTGCTATCCCTCTCATCAGCGATATGGCGTGGGATTGGTGCCTGGCTGAGCTGCGGGACAAGGCCAAGCGATTTGAGAGGATCGGTCGGGTCCTTGTCCTCGATGCCGGATCGAGGCTTTCCAAGTCTGATCAGCGAGTACCAGAGTCCCTCAGACAAGAACTGAAGGATGCTGTCAGACCATTACTCAACCGACCCGATGATGAGCGGGACTGGCACCCTGGCTCGGACGACAAGGTGCTCAACCTCGTGCATCCGTCTCTTTTCCCCTTAGTATACGGGAGAACAAAAGTTCTGGTCAACGGAGGCAAAGTGCCTCTCGACTTTGCCAATGTTGAAGGACTTGAAGGTGCAGAAATCGCGCCGCATCTTACAGCTACATCTCAGCCCTCACGTCCCCTCCATGGCGACGGTACCCACGGGGGCATGTGGTCCAAGGAATTCCAATGGCTTCCCTGCGAGGTTGAGTTTACTGAAGATACTGGCACCAACGTTCATATCTCTTCCTATGTTAACAATCTTCATCCCGCACATCATGCCGAAGTATACACGGCAATCGAGAAAGTCATTGCGCTTGCAAGTAAGTTGGTTCCAAAGAATGTGGCTCTTCTATTGCGGTCACGCCCAGGCCCCCTGGAACTTAACGAGCACTCTGTTACCGCCTTTTCACATCTTTCCCCTCGTCGCCCTCGTTTTCCAAGCCGAAGTACTCTGCTGACCCAGCCACAGTTGCACCTTGGAACGAAGTCCTCGTTCACGGGTATCACGGGCGGGCGCCACCACGCATACGGACATACGGAGCCGAATTCGGACCGGGGCTACCGGAATGGTGTGAGGGGCTTGATGAAATTACAAGAAACTGGGAAACCAACCCGGAGGCCTATGAGGCGGCTAAAAAGCGGGTACTGGATTACATGGGCAAGCCGGACACCGCCACTGATGACACCGCGGATGAAGAAGATCTGATGCAAGAAGAGTCCGATGACGAGTCCGAGATCGATGTGGAAGAATACGGACTCTCGGGGGCCGCGGATGAGTTCTACCGGCGGAACATCCGAAAGGTCATCCACCCTGAGCCAGGGGTCTCGTTTTCCTATGCGCAGTGGAAAGCCGGGCTGACTGGCAATGCGGTCGTGCCGAAGTACCGATCCTTCAGTTTCCCCGATGCGCTTGAAGATAGCAGTGGGGACGATCATGATTACTACTCGCTTCGCATCCAGGACGACTTTCGCGATGAAGGGCTGCAGGTGATCATCAAGCTCTCCAGCATCGAGCTGACGCCAGGAAAGCCGAAATATGAGGGAGGCAACTGGCACATCGAAGGCATGTTGAATGAGCATATCGCAGCCACAGCTCTCTACTACTACGACGTTGATAACGTGACGGATGCGAAGATTTCGTTCCGCACTGAAGCGGAGCTGGATGGCATGGAAATGAGATATGAGCAGGGTAAGTCGTCAGGGCCAACAGCACCAACCAAGCCCCCAGGAGTAGGGAGCGAAAAAGGACTAACAGCATGCCTTTAAAAGATGATCACGCCCCTCTGGCTGAAATATTCGGCATCGCCTCCCGATATCTCCGAGATGAGCGACCTTTCCAAAACATCGGTTCCGTCACCACGCCCCAGGGCCGCCTTCTCGCCTTCCCCAACACGCTCCAGCACAAGGTCGAGCCATTCGAGCTGGTCGACAAGACGAGGCCGGGTCACCGGCGGTTCCTCGTTCTCTGGTTGGTGGACCCGCATTACCGCATCTGTTCGACACGCAACGTGCCGCCGCAACAGGAGTCGTGGTGGGACGGGAATGAGACCAAGCCAGAATCTGGCACTGATGCTTTGGGCGCTGCGACTTCGGACAGTGAGGTGGCCAATGGTCGGATGTCGGTCGAGGAGGCGAAGGAGTTGAGGCTGAAGCTGATGGCTGAGCGGACAAAAAAACAGAAGCACATGGAGAGCTGGTCAGAGCAGTATAACTTCTGTGAGCACTGAGCAGTGAGGTTGGAGGTTTTTAATGACGAGTGCGTTGAAGTATTTGTCGTATGTCTGACGTGAACATGGTAATACCATACTACTAAAATGAACTTGAAGGCTGATAAACTCTGACTCTAATTACATAGCGACTAAGCATAGTTCTCACGCTTTTCGAACCCCAGAAGATCTATGAGTAGCCCGCGACTGCGACGACTGAATGAGTTCCGCGTATGAACTGACAAAGTAAAGATATGCGGCAAGAGTCAGCCGCGTGACCGAGTATATGTGGATTAGCTGTGCAGTAGCATGGTTCTGGGTATGACTTTAAACGTCGAAGACGTCGATCGTGGCTGCAAATCTATCTGGAGGTGGGTACAGCTCTGGAACCGCAAAGAAGCCCGCCCCGGGAACAGCGTGATCACTATACCAGTGCATTGGCCGATGATGACTTGGCTAAATCCACCCGGCCTGAGGGGGGTTCCTGGATGTAGAATGGATGACTTCTGTTAGTGTTAGATTACAGGGTGCGTTGACGACTCAGCAGTGTCCACGATTACGAACCCGCACACAGCGGCGTAGGCTGAGAGAGTGATCCTCACCGAGAGCAAATCCTGAGATCGGTCGCCGGACGCGCAGTCTACTTGGTAACGTGGATCTGGCGGTATTCGTGGAACGCCTTTTCTCAACCCTTCTGGTAGTCTTGGCCCGATTTATAGTTTCTCTCGGCGTTGGATCCGCAAGCCACATGGGCATACCGATATGGCAATCCCGGGCCAACTTTAGCACATCACCACAGGCTGGACGCGCCGAAAATGTCCGTGGTTCCCTGACAGCGTTCCTAAGCTCAGCAACTTACTGTTGTCTGGATCGAAAGAATGGTAGCGTGCGAGGCCGCAGTCTGCCCATCAGCAGTCGGGAACAGAATGTGTGGGCCTTGGCCCGTCAGTTGACGAGTGGTCAGCCAGCTGTGTGCCTGGAGTGGTCTCAAAGTTGATATGCAAGCATCAGCTGCACCTGAAGATTCACTCGGAAGGCCAAGGCCCCTGGTTGCGTAGCTTGCACCACATGGACTTATAGCACCCTGGTGGTTTAACGTAGCCAAAGCTTATTGACGATCAAGGCAATAAACAAATAGTCCTGCCCAGAACGTCGGTAATAGCCGCCGTGATCGAAGACGACCTGACGTGCTCTTCAAGAGTGCATCTCCATAAAGGCGAAACCTGAGGATTTGCACCATGAGAAACTACAGTATCATTGGGGCCGGTGCTGCAAAATTGGCAGGCAGTCTTGGCTGCAAACCTTATTACCCACCTTCATTTGCACTGGCTGGATCTGTCCGGTAGCGAGGGTTCGCCTGACAAACCGTCATGAAACAAATCTTGACACGCCACCATTCGTTCACCGTTCGATTGTAAAATTCTACACGACGGCTTGCAACCTTTCGGCTGCATTGGGATCCCCTAAAATGCTTGATTAGTAGGTGCATAGCCTTCAGCTAACTCCTATTCAATCCCCATTGCGAAGACTCCGTGGAAAGAGTCGGGCATAGGCTTAGGGCCTTAGGGGCCCCGAACGGAGAGTGCAGGAATTGACTCGTCCGCGATACCAGATGCGGCCTGCTGAGACACTAGAAGCGCATGTTGGGCACATGGGCTACCGTGGTCCGCCGTCGATCAGGGTGCATCAGACGGACACATGATTCGTGCGTGAAATAAGCCACTCTGCTCACAAGTGTCTGCAATGTCTCCCTGCTAACAAATGCGGTGACCCGGGACATTGGGCGTGCCTGGTCCCGGCGGCACATCTACCGATCTCAACCAGGGACTCTTGTCGAACCCATCCATGGGGGAGATCTTTCGTGACTTTCCGCTGCCCAGAGCCGCATCAAGGGGCAGCCTCAACTTCAAACATGGCTGCAATAAGGTTATTCGGGGGGTCCAGCACTCCGTCGAAAGCGCGCGCCCGACATCCCAGGGATTCCCTATAACAAGCCCGCTGGCCCTGCCACCCGGGACAAGGCGTGGGATCGTCTCATCCCTTCTTGACAGCGCTACTTTGTATTCTAAACCAACAGTCATTCGTTGCCTTGCTAGTACTAGGCCCCACGTTCCTTTCGCTCGCTAGAAGAAAAATAACTTCAAGATGTTCTCTCAACGACTTCTCACCCAGACCACCCTGGTCTCCCTCGCGTCGCTGGCGGCCTCGCAGTCTGCTATCCAGTTCGACGGGCGTGTTCCCGCTGGCACCCAGCTCTCTGCTTTCGATTCAGACAATGGCCTGTTCAACCCGAGCAATGTTTTCGGCAAGAACTTGACCTTTAGCCAGCTCTTGAAGTTTCCCGATGTCCCCCCATCTCTCTTTGACGTGGGCACTGTTCCCCTGGAGGTCACCATCAGGTATACTCGGGTCACCATAGGCCCACACATTATGCCAAAAATTTCAGGAATGATTCACTAATACTCTCCATAGCGACCAATCCATTTTCGCCCCCAGCGCAGACAATGTTCAACTGGGTTTCCGCCGTGCCGAGCTTCTGCCTGCCAGCAACAACGGTACCGACCCGTCTACCCAGGGCGTGAAGAGCCTTCACTTCAGTCTCATGAAGGACACTGCTCGCCCCCTCAACCTCTCACACGAGTACCAGCTTGCATTCGTGGAGAGCAACGACTTCAGCACCAACCAGTTCGTCCTCAAGACTGGCACCCTCCTGGACACCGCCACCCAGGGAGGTGTCGACCCGGACAGCCTGATCCTGTTCGGCAACGTCAAGCAGAGCCAGATCCTCTTCAACACCGCCTTCACCGAGGGCGTCTTCCACAACTTCGGCCTGACCCTGGACTTCAATGCCAAGTGAGTTCAAACACCACACCCCAGACAAGTACAACATATACTAATCCCCTCGCAGCACCACCCAGGTCTTCTACTCCACCGGCAACGACCCCCTCGCCCAGGTCACCGAGCCCCTGACCAACGACATCAGCGGCCAGGGCCAGTACCACTTCGGCGTGCTCAAGAAGGGCGTCAACGGCGGCGCCGACATCACCAAGGACGCCCAGCAGCCCACGGGGATCGACGAGGGCATCATCTTCGGCGGCATCCTGCAGGAGGACAACTCCGCGGGCCCCATCACCCTGTCTCCCTCGGGTGCCACCAACGCCACTGCCGCTGCCACCAACGCCTCGGCGCCTTGCACCAAGAAGAGGTCTGTCGGGAGCATTGCGGGTCGCCTGCAGTACGTGCGCCAGGCTTAAGTGTGGGCCTTGATGGCATCCTCGGTTAACTTGGGAAGAGTTGGCTGTGTCTTGTAATATACCATCTAGCCTTCATGCAAGCTCGAGCAGTAATCACATAGAAATATACTGTCGAGATTTACTACAAAGCCTTTTCGCAGAAGAATTCCAGACTGTGTGCTGGGTCGTGCTTTTCGTGGATGTATCGATGGGTGGCCTCGAACGGTCACAGCTGACGGATCATACGACGCTGAGCCACGGCAAGTTGATGGTGACTCGATTCTGGAACACACGAACATCCAAGGTACTTATTTGCTATCATGGTCCCGATGACGAGTTTCTTTGAAGGTCTAGCTCGCTGCGCCCATTTGTGCAGTTCTGATTTTGATGTACAACTGTATGCTTTGACAACCAAATTGCGACACGTTCCCACGCATACCAAGAACTGCTGGTTTGACGTTTTACATGCCGAGGTGGTGGTTAGTTAGCTGTTGCTACTGCTGTGAGAAACGCCTGCTTTACGGCGTACAAGAAGTAGAACATGCGTCTCATCGTCCATCGCGACAGATGGGGAACTGCCTCATCATACGGACAGTTGTTGACTTGGAACGAATTAGACAATTGGACAACTCGGTAGATCAATCAAAACGTGCGAGTGCTCTATCACGATCTTTACTGGTTATCATTTCACTGCGATATGTGGATCTGGAGCGGATCAATAGTGAAACGTTACGGCGGCCATCGTCTTGCCAATTCCATGAGTTGGGGCAAGATGGGATCAAGGGGTTGTTGCTTTTATATCGAGCCCATCTACTCGCACATCAAATGTCATAGAATACTGATCCTCGCCTATGGACCGGCAGTGTCGCAGCGGCATGGTGCCTGGTGGTGTTCACCAAGTTACAGCCGGCCTGTGAACAAAATTAAAGAAACAGCCTGGGATACTATTCATAAACTGTCAGTAGTTCAACGTCTCCGATTCATTTCCGAGGCCTGAATGACCATCTTAATGGATCAATTCGCTATCCTTCCCAGGTATGCCAGCTCCTTTCCCTTGGCTCGCTATTCTCATTGAGACTGAAAGCGGGAGAAAATCGGACGGCCAGCTACAAACCTTTCGTATCCAGACGAGCCTCCTTCCAGAAATTAACGGCTGAAGAAGATGGAGTGTGGTTGTGTATCATGAGCAAAAAGTCCCCCGCCTCATTTCGTGCGACCACAAATGATTGATGGAGGAAAAGATCACCATCTGATCATCTTCCGAGCCAGCCCGGCGGAGGTTCAAGTTTAACGAGTAGACTTAAAGCTAAGAGAATCCTAGTATGCAACCGCCTGGGGACCATTCTGTCACTTTCAATGCTGCTGCTTGTCTCAAGTTCTACCGCTCGGAGGAGCCCAATTATCCTGCCGTACTGATGGGAGGGGCCTGATACCTAGGTAGATTTACCCTGGTCCAGAAACGCAAGAAGGAAGAGGCTTACCCCGACAGTTTTATCCTGTGGTCAAAATGATTCTGAGCAGCCCTTGCTTACAGTAGGACACAAGCAACGTCACGGCAGTGTGGGTATCCAGACATTCTAGTTAGGGGATCCGCAGACTGCGAGCACGCGCTACATCCTCCGTCAACGTCATCTCTTATCCCAGAGCACGATCCAGTCGCAGGGTCTAGCGTTGATCGAAGGATCCATGAGCGGGGCCCAGAGGACGCATTTTATGGTCTCTGTGAACTATGCTGCCTGGTCATGTCTAGGAGCGGTAATCTCCGAATGTTCCAATCTCTCGTTGCGGGACCATCTAGTCGCTAGACGCATGTCATACGAGAGGAGCATCATTGCCGGACTTAAGCATATAGGCGTGGCAGAGACGCCCAGCATATCACTCTTTCAGGCCCTTGTAGCGGGGGTAAGTTGAGCCCCAGACTTCACGGAATCCACAGAAATGACTAAATGAGACGAAAGGCAATGTTTGCCTACAGCGTGGGCTGTTTTGAACGATGTTGGCTATTCAACTCTGCCGCCGCGCGCACTTTCATCGCTGTGAGAGAACAATCGTCTATGCACATCACACCCGGAGAAGGGAACGACGGATCTCCCGAGACCCAGAGAGTCTTTAATGTCTGCTATATGCTCGATAAAGCGTTGTATCAATCATTTAATCGCACTCCTAGCCTGCCTGACGTAGAGTGGATTGCCCCTCTCCTCGGACCATATACTAGTATGGAGAAGGCACCAGATGACTACGTGCTGGGAATTTGGTTGGAGCTTGGAGAGGCACAAGACCGGATCAGTCGCACCACGCAGACCTCACAAAGCTCCATAGAACGGATTCTGAATGCCCAGGCCCTCCAGCGATCAATGCAGCGAACGCAAGCAAGGATTGAAAAGGTTATTTCAAGATTCACAAATCTGTTCTTGTAGTCAATGCTAACAGGGACCCATCTTCAGTTTCATGAGATCCATTCCCTAGATGCTTTCTGGGATTGCGAAATACAGGGAGTCAAGTTTGCCTATTATGCAATCATGGTCTCAATTGTGCGGTTGCATCCCAACTTGTCCGCCCATCCGATTCTTCAGCGGCAAGAAGTGGAATACGCCAAGCAATCGTTGACTTTCCTGAGTCACATGTTCTCTAGGACGATGCTGGAACCTGACGCTTCTGCGATCAGAGCATCGGCTGCTTGGTATGACGAAGCTTAGGGAAACTGCTACGCATTAGCTTTGCTAACACGTGCGCAGGAAGATGTTCTTCTACCCTCTCTCGCCCTTCTTCACGTTGTTTATACACATTGTGAAAGAGCGCGATTGGAACTTATACTGCTTTCTCTCAAATGTTATAAGTATACTTTCCAAGGTAGCCTGGACTAATCAACCTGTTTTGGAAGTATTAGCGTTGCTGCGTTAATTCTCCACCTCATTTTATCGATACTTCCTGCAGGTTCTGATGAGACAAACACCAGAAGCGAGAGCAACAGTACTGGCGTGGCTTTGTCAGGACATCTAACCAAAGACTACAGCTCTGGGCGAATCAACCAAATCGCATCAGGGTCTCAAAGAGTGTCCATGGATTCGTCCAATGGCAGCTCTCTGATGGAAGACAATTTGGTTGATTGGACTGAAGGCTACATGTATCCCTTTCAAGCTTATTTTACGGATACGCATAATGGTGATGCTGAGGAACATGCACTTTTATCATTCGTCAATTTTGAAAAACAGTGAATATAATTTTTAAACAAGTTACATTCATATCACCGAAGTATTATAAAAGTATGTTGTCGAGATTTGCTACAAAACAATATGCAGTAGGGAATTGTAGACTGCGTGCTGGATCATGCTTCCCATGAATGTCTCGATGAATAGGAGATTTCATCATGGCTTTGGCATGACCAGTGCTGGGCTTTGCATTTCCAAATCAAAATCAGCAGCATAACGGAGTTCATCAAAGCCGTGCCAGATTGCTTCGAGATGAGCCAATAATTCCAACTGGGTCTATGCTCCGATCTGATGGAGGTTCTATGTAGCCACAGCCGCATAGTATGTGCTGGTACCTTCCCATGCACGGCTTGCGTCTTCCACGGTAAAATCGGTTGCCCCTGAAGTGCTACCGAAATCGCCTGAATCTGCTTCCTAGCATGTGCAGACTCCCGAATTACCCATAGAGCTGTTGATCGGTATTTGCAGACGGACAAATATCCTCCTCCAGGCCAGTGTACCAGTTGGCGCATGTCCAGTGTTCATCAACCAACGGCCGGCTTTCAAATGAGGTTGGTGAGATGTGAAGGTCTGCTGTTGATATCCCTCATATTTTCCTGAATGCCAAATATTTGCGATGCGTTTCTGAGCGCTAAAACTCATCTCTCGTTCATTATGTTTCCCAGTCATGCCATCCATGATATCTCAGCTCGCCATTCTCATCGAGACTGGGAGCGGGTGTGAAGTCGATGGCCAGCTTCGAACGTTTCGTATGCAGAAGAGATTCCTCCCAGATACTGACAGCTGAAGAAGATGGGGTGTGAAACCACAATGAAAGTCGGAACCCTTCGTAGCCCGTGTACTTGTCGTGGAATGATTGTTTCCAAAACTCGATCCTCATCCGACCGAAATCTAGCTCAGAACTTCTCTGTGACTCAATTTCAATGATCGCACTGTGCAATTTTAGCATGTGTCTTGCGGCACGCCCCACAACTTTCAAAAACCAATCCCTACTCGGCGGATGCATGGGATCGCCTGCCTTCACGATTGATCCTTGGAGCTCCAGGAACTCGAGGTGTGGCCAAGAGGGACATGCCGCGAGTTCAGCATCTTCGATTTTGTTGCGGAAATGCTCAAAAAAGAGGGACAAGTCCATAGAGCTCCTAAGTTTTAGGGATCGGAGACGATAGCTGACTTCACGGATAGATGGAACAGAAAGCCCACTTAGGATGTCACTGGGTCCCCCGCGCTGTTCTGGTTGACCTGGACTTTGGTCAGCCAAGTTTCATTGATCAAGCTTTCGGGGGCATGGATGGCCAAAAAGGGCTGTGGGTGCCTCCTCTTGTCTCTGTCGGTGGTCAAGGGGACGAGATCACTCACGATAGGTGAACGGTAGCGTGAGTTCCAGTTGCGTAAGGTCCGGTGTTAAGGAGCGGAGGCCATCAGTGAGTACTAAGAATAATCTCATTAAGTCATGGCTCAAATATGTAGCTTCGTAAGAGGTGGAGATGCTCACAAAGAACATTCGAGTCCTTTTCAGTCTCGTTTGAGTAGCACCAACGGCTGAGATGCAAATTGGCAGTAGTCAACCGCAAACCCGCTGGAGGAGTTGGGATCCATGTTGACATGCAAAGCTCCAATGACTGGAACAACCGGTAGATCGGGAAGGCCTGTCTTCCATATGGACCGTCTAAACCCTTGAGGGCCGATGTTGAGCTTGACGGTGAGCAGAACATCTGGGGTCCATGTGCTCAAAGTTTCGGGGAATTTCGCAACAGACTTGTAACCACTGCCAGTGCATTGAGTACCATCAACAACTGAGAACGAATCTTCTCCGTAAACGTTGAGCTCTACTTGACGCAAGTATCGGCGTCTTGGTCCAGTGACGATTTTTGAGAGTGTGACGATGTCGTGATCTTCATCAGTGAGGTTGAGGTTCTTGAAGAATCGCTTCTCAATTTCTTCCCGCCATTCCATGTTGACGCACGCAAGCTGGGCCAGACACGGTGGCTGTTTGTGCTGTCTTTGCTGCACAAACAAGATACCACGACGGGACTGCGGCATCACAGGGCTGCTTTGTGTCATCACCAGGTTGCTTTGAGTCAACGAAGGGCTTCTTTGTGTTCGGCGCCATTGCCTCAGAGTTGCAGGGGCATCATCGACCGCAATTCTGGTGATTTCTTTACGCAGTTCAATAGGGAGCTTGATGAAGTATCTGAAAAACGGGGTCGGAGCGAGTGTCGAGCGAGTGACAAGGCAGGAAGGGGTTGAGAGCGAGTGACTTGCTCATGTGCAGGTTTGACGAAGCAAAACGGCACCCCGATATCGATATCAGCCATGATGGATTAGGGAGACCGAAACCATCGAAGAAATTGTTGTCAGTATCTGTGATGACAGTATCTGGTCGACTCGTCGTGGATTCAACTTTCGATTGTCGCCAAGGAGTTGTCATGAGAGAGGAGGAAGGAAGTCGTGGCGGATACAGAAGGAGGTGGATGGGAAGCTGGACTCTCTGACCGCAAACCAAAGTCACGTGCTCGCGCTTCTCGAGATCAGTGCCGTTTGCTATTGGACAGATGCTCCCCAGCGGAGGGCGGTGCTTCAGAAGCTAGAGGGCAAACAGGTTGTCGTCAGGTAAGGTGGCCAATGCTTGCTCGTTGAATGAACTTGCTTCTTTGGTCCTTGGAACACCTCAGTCGCTTCGAACAAGAAGCTGAGCGGTGGCTCATCGATGACACCATGCCATAGGTATCGCGAGTCGGTGTGGATGATTCGGCAAAAGGCAGGAATGGGTTCAAAGTAGGTGTTGCTCTGTGATTTCGTCCGATATCAGCTGTAGCGTTTGCACCTAGAGGCCTAACACATGTTGCTTAGCAGTTGATCGTGATCAGCCCTCGACGTCTTTCAGATGAAAGCGTTTGCCGGACGGGCTGAATCGAAATATCACCTTGAATTTTCAACCGTTTGTCCAAGGGCCGTTTTCCACTTCCTAGGCCAGATAAAGTGCTGTCACAGAGAAACATGCTCGACCCTGGGCCGTAGAACCAAGACAAACCCAAGAAATACGAGAACAATCGTGGAAGAGTTGTACCCATGTCCGACCTCTGGTACTTAGCATCCAATGCAATGTGGCTCTATCTGGGAAACGTGTGAGCAGGTAGACCGCAGTCCGGCTTTCGTCCCTTTAACAGACTCAACCGCAACTCACCATAATTCAGTTCCCAAGACAGATGAAAAATTGCTGCAACGCCTTTTTGACTACGCATGACAACTTTGTACAAGGTGGCAGAGCGAGCTGTATCTCCACGGGTGAATTTTAATCTTCTACTTTAGTAGCCTCAGTAGCCCTTGAATTGTGCTTATTGCCCTCTGAGCTCCCCCAAACCTTGCAGGCGCAGCACAGAACCATCCAATGCCGGCCCCAGGAGTTTGTAAACCACTCACCTCCATCACCGTACGCAGACACTCAATGTAGCCAAGACGTTTCAAATAGCTCTACACTCTCAGAAGTGAGGCGCAAGGCGATTTCCGGCAAATACTTATGGGAAAACGCTGCCGTATCTTTAGATAAATCAAATTCACCCATGCATTCAGAAACAACTTGCATTAGTATTAATCGCAGTCTAATACACACAACTCTTTCCTGCTCATATGACTTCTCTCTTCTCCAAGTGCTCACGAACGCTCTCATCTCGGCTCCAGCCCGTGGACTCCAATGGGCATCTTTTCCCCTCCGGATTAAGTCTACACTTCCACTTAGGTAGACAGACGTCAGGTTGGAGAGCTCTAAGCGCCGCAGGTCAGATCGCCGGTACCCTGGTCAAATGTACAGCGGCTGCTGTAAGTGTAGCTCAACTACAGGCCGACATGATTAGTTCTCAGAAGTCTTTACAGGCACGGCACCTGAGATAGGTAGATGGGAAATTTCACTCACGTTGATGAAGCCACCGTCACCCTGGGTGTAGAACTGGTTGTTCGCAGTCATGTACATGCAGTCGTAGCTGCACAGACAACATTAGCCTCGCCCGACATTTCATCGATGCCTTGGGCAAAGAGATCACTCACTCAGTGTTGAGCTGACCCAGCTCCAGCTTCGCCGACACCAGCCCGTCCATGCCGGCGGGGTTCTGCAGCTTGTAGCCCTTGTTGTAGCAGATGGCGGCGGGGAACTTCTGGTAGTCCGGGTTCCGGGCCCACATCTCGGCCGTCGTCTTCTTGGAGAAGTCCTCGCGGGCCTGGTTCCACTTGCCGAGGTTCTTGATGGTGTCGGCGCCGATCTCGACGGCGATCTTGGTCAGGATGGCGGCGCCCTTGACGGCGGCGATGCCGGCGACGACCACGACCGGGGCCACGCGCTTCTGGAGGGCCTCGGAGGTTTGGTCCTCTGGGGCGGGCGCGACGGTGAACTTTCCATCGGTTCCCTGAAGGCGCATCATTGTCAGCGGGAATGGCAGTGAAGTGGGTGTGCTGATGACAGGGTATTACCTTCTGACCGGTCAGATCAACGGTCGTGGAGGGAGGAACGTTGGCATTGGGAGGAGCAGTGGCTTGAGGAGCTGGAGCAGCCAGGGCAGAGGCGCAGAGAGCCAGCTGGACAATGGTTGAGAGAGTGAACTGCATGGTGGATGGTTTTGGTGGATATGAATCTGAAAAGATGGGAAGACGAGTGCCGAAGAAGCTCGAGAAGCTGGAGGGTTGGAATAGTGTTACGAATGAGGCTTGATGTGATGATGCCGACTAAACGAACAACGAGAGGAAGACATGGTCTTCTTGTAGACTTCATCATGGCCTCATCAGAGCCGGGCGACGACGTCTACTTCTGTGAGTCCTCGGCAGTATAAGCGGAGGCCTTGCAGCTCTCGCTACAATTTACCGGTTTGTCTTCCGCCATTTCGCCGGTGCCAGAAGCAATTGCAGGCTGTATGAACGTGGGATGAAGCACATGTTGCCAGAACTGGTGGTTCACAGCATCTCCTCCCAAGACGAGCCGAAGTCTAGCCCAATTCGCATAAAAGGATATTCTACGATCTTCCGTACTTCACATCATGCGCATGGGTGCCTCGCAAAGCTTACTTTGATGACAAGGCGTCAAGTCAGCTGCGCTTTGGGCACCTGGGAGGGACGCCATAGCCCTGTAAGCCGTTTGTGCACCAGATCGGACGAACACCAAGACACCTCCTGACAGGAGAGGCGGCGCTGCGCCTCGTCCTCACGAACCACTGTGGACGACCTCCCCTGCCGAGCCGTTCTAGCCCGTGCCTCTTCCCAGGACTGGGCTAGCCCGTCCCGGACGGCAACCAGCTGGCTCAAAGCTTATTCTCGTTTCGCTTCACCGTTGCCAATCGGATTCGCGAGCCAGAGGAACACACCCCCACCGACAAGGAACCAGCCGTTGAGGCTGCAGCCATGCGGCTGAAATGCACGTACGCCTGCTTCGCGATATATCTGGGGTGGCCAATCGGGCTGTCCCGTCAGATCTGGGTTATACCGGCCTACCGGGGAAACATCTGCCGGGCCTGTTCCTTTGCGCGATCCATCCGATTGCTGAGGTTTCATTGACAGGTCGCCTTACGATCCACGACTCGTGGCCACAGCGGCAGAGCGCGCGCGACGGTCGCGAGACCTCCAGATGTCATCCGAAGTCTTTCGAAGAAGAAGCCTTTGGTCAACCCTCTTCTAAGTTAGCCGAGGGACGGCCTATTGCTGCCACAGAAGGCTGCAACCACCATCGCGGGACAAATAAAGCCCCAATCAAGGTTTCACAGTATGCGAGCCAAGCAATGAGAGGAAGCCAAATCCACACTTTCAGAGCCCGAGCTCGGGATTATTGTAAGTCCCTCTTCACAACACCATATGGTGCGATGGTCTACATTCCCGAAAACATTCCAACAGCAAAGACCCTGCGTAGCAAATCCCGTCTTACTGGCGCAATTTAAGGTAATTTGTACCAATTTGCACTACATCGGCCCGTAACTCTAAAGCTCAGGATGTGTGGCTGGAACCCTGATTGTCCTGTCCCAGACATAGTGGCTGTGGAATTGCATTATATGCCGGCAATCGACCTGCAGAAAGCATCCTTCTTTGCAGTGATCTAAAATTAGAGAAACAGATTGAATACTTACAGATTGTAAGAATCAAATTGCCGCGATGTGCTGAGGTGGCAGAATGGAGGATCCTACATCATCTGATTGCCCTGAATTGTTTGAATCAGGCCTGTGATGCTCGCTAACACACAAAACGGCTCACAAACGAAGTGGGCCACGCCTCCTGAGGATTTGGTGAATTCTACCGGGACAAATCCGCTCCATAGCTGAACTCGCTTCGAGGTAATAGAAACGGATAGTTTGCCAAGGGATAATGTGGCCGTGTTCTACGCAAGGGCACGAAGACTTGCAAGCGAAAACGTGCACCCGAAAGAGAGGCCTCATGACTCCTTATTAAGCGCTAGATACACTGGCTTTGAGCGAGCCAATCGCGTCTCACGAGTGGCCAAGACATCGTTTTCCAACCGACAACTTCCGTCGGAAGTACAGCATCCAGCCCTTTTCGCCCTCGATTCTAAACGTAGACCACGGCAGTCCAAATAACTATCTCGGCTTGACAATTCGGCCGTATGCTGCAAAACTTTACAGACTGCTTTGCAGCAGCCCCTGAATCCATCTCCGAAGCGTGAGGCGCTTCGGACGCTCCAGTCAAAGGCGCGGCAGTATCACTGATACTGCAACATGAATCCCTACCATTTGCTGATGTGCAGCTGGCCTAGCCAAATAGTGTGTGTGTTTACGGCAAGCAGTAGCCTCCGTCCACTATGATGTCTGTTCCGGTGGTGTAAGAAGCCGCATCTGAGGCAAGGAACAAGTAGGCCCCCTTAAGCTCGTGGACTTCGCCCTCACGCCTAGAAATAAGGTGTTAGCAAATCGCTGCACACAGAACCTGAAAAAATCCGACAAACTCACCCCATGGGAATCTTGTCTTTCCAAATCTTCTTGGTGTCTTCGGAGACGAACGTTGAAATCTCCGTGGCGATGTATCCCGGCGAGACCGCATTAGCACGAGCGAAACCCACCCACTCAACGGCGAACGACTTGCCTAAGGACGTGGATGCTCGTCAGAGAACGCACATTCCCTCCATGATCAAAGGATGTTCGGGGAAACATGACTTACACATGTGGCTCACACCAGCCTTGGCCGCATTGTAAGCCGCCTGCAGCTGTGGAACATTGACGATATGCCCAGACATGGACGCGGTGGCGACAAAGCTCGCCGCCGTAGCCCTCGAGCTTGTTGCCCGCGAGGTCGAGGCCCGTCTCCCTCTGCCGCCTCCATATCCTGCCGCACGTGCGCGCGCAGTAGAAGACGCTGTCGAGGTCGTTGGCCACGACCTTGCGGTAGTGCTCGAGCTCCCCGTCGATGGCGGGGCCCTGGGTCCAGGGGATGCCCGCGTTGGCCACGAAGACGTCGAGGCGGTTGTTGAACTCCTTGATCTGGGAGTTGACGGCCGCCTCGACCGCCTCGGCTGACGTTACGTCCACTTGGAATGCGCGGCCTGTGGTACTGTCAGCGATTTATTGTCGATGAGCAGAACAAAAGCTGATCTCGGAAGGGCTTATCCGTCTGTGGAACGAAAGGTCACCAACATTTCACGCCGTATTCGGCTTCGATTTCCTTCGCGCGCTCTATCGCCTTGGCATTGCTGTTGTACCATATGATCACGTTCGCACCCGCCTCGGCGTACGCATGGGCGACGCCCAAGCCGATACCAGCAACCCGCACCCGAGACGATGGCGGTCCGCCCCTTCAGAGAGAAGAGGTCGAACACCTTCGTCTTTGAAGACGCCGCTGATCGTGGTCGAATATGTCAGTCAATCGCCAGAATGGAAACGATGATGGCGATTCCTTACCGGTGACATCGTGATCGAACTTGCCGTCCTTCATTGTGAATCTATGCTATGGATGATGTCCCTCTACGGCGTCAATCTTGAATACACCCTCATGTCGAAAGTGCTGGGACCCGTGAGGTGTTTATACACCAGATGCTGACTCGCGTCGGCTACCAACCGCTGCCGGTTTGCTTGGCCGAGCTCCTGGTCACGATGCCGCTCCGCTATATAGGCGGTGAGGTCCACTTCGAAGCGGCTAAGAAACAGGAAATCCCCAGATCTCTGGGGTTGAAGGCCCATATCGGACCCGGGGCCCCACGGGCGCTCGGCCCGACTTTGGACACTATGCATGGTGTAATGCCAGAAGAGGCAGTTCCGTCAAGTCCCAAGGTGTTTTCGCCAGGCTGTCCATCTCTTTAGCCCATTCCTTATCCCACGGCAGAATACCGCTTGGCAAGATGCAAGAACCACGGGTAATTAATCGCTAAAATTCGACGACTGCAAGGCCAGCAATGTCACCCAGGTTGCTCGAGCTCTCGTCAATATCAGCCAGCTTGGTGTCGTCGTTTTCGTGCAAGGTTGCGCCATTTCTGTAGCCTGCTGTGTCTGGCCCGTAGTTTGACCAAAACCCTGAGCGCTGACACATCCACCAGACACTTGTTAGTCTGTGATGTCCATTTTCCTGACCACACGGATGTTCGTTCGAAGGAGGGAAAGGCGCTGTTTGGTTTGCTGTAAATAAAGGTATTAAGCTCGCCAGTGCGATGTTTCACGCGGCACGGAATATAGGTGAAACGGGCGAGCATTCGCTCCTCGGACAGCGCGAAGTCAGTAGCGCCAAGTTCTCATTACTGTCCCTCTGTCAAAGCCCTGGTCCAGTCGAACTTCCTCCACCTCTTCTTGAAGGCCTCAGCACGCGGATCGCCCCGGCTCCATCTTCCCTGTTTCTTGATGTTGTCGGGCTCGCAGTCCATCATACCGCCAATAATTTCCCTGGCAAATAGATCACCCTTCGGCCACCTCGCAGAGTCCTCCACAATGTGTCCCAACCCACCGTCGATTGTGAACCACACGTGGAAGTACGGCATCTCCTTGGCTATGCTCCTCCGGAAAGCGAGCTTGCCAGCCCCCTCCCTTGCCTTCTTGCCGGTGTCTATGAGTTTCTTGTGCTGGCTCCACTCCTCCTCGGTCGAGAGAACAGCCTCACGGAAGAAAGCAGGCGCCGTGTCGCCAAGGTCCCACGGGATCGGAACCGCAACCAATGCGGCGTGCAACCGGCGATGAGGGGCGGCCGCGTTTTCGTAGAAGAGCACTTCGCGGCCTTGTTCGTGGTACAGCCTCGTGAGGCTCTTCATGAAATTGCGAATCTCCTCCCACTCATCGTCGTCGCACTCGAGCAGGTTCGTCCGGTGGCCGATGGGCACGACGACGGCCCCGCCTTCGGCGCCCTTGAGCTCTGGCTCGGTGGCCAGCGTCAGGTACACTCGCGTTCCAAGTGCAAGAATTGGCGCAATGGGCTGGTCTTGTGGTGGCTGTCGGTCCTCGTGGTGGCACAGCGGGCAGCTGTCGAGAACCTTGTTCATCTTCTGATACTCGTTCACGGCCATATTCTTCAGGTTGATCTCGGATTTGTGCACTCGCTTGGCCAGCTTCTCGGCATTCTCATCAAGATACTCCAGGTCGTCGTCGAATTTGGCATCCTTGGCAATGCGCTCCGCAAGTCGAACGCCCTCGCCGCCTGCTTGGCCCCTGGTGCGCCGCTCCTCGCGGACCATGTCATCGATGGTCATGTCCTCGTTCGCCTCGACCGTGCCACGCTCCCGGCCGCGTTTGTTATCGATGGCCTTCACCTCGTTCCTTGTTCCTGCGAGCATTCGGCTGTGCGTGGCGTCCAGAACCACGGCCTTGTCTCCGCTCGCTGTACCGTTGAAACGTGTCAAGGCCGTATTATATTCTGCTTCGAGTTTTGCAGCACCTGGGGTCTTTCGTAGTTTTGCCTTCATTACTTGTGCGCGCATGCGGTTGAGGGTAGTCTGATCGACAGGTGGAACGGCATCCTCCATGACGGCTCCTTGCTCTGGCTCATCATCTTGGTCGTAGAGCTCTTCTTTTGGTGGAGGACGGGTCTTGGCCATGCGTTCTTGGTACAGCTCCCCAGTAGGCTTCTCTGCACCCTTGTAGCCCTCTCCATAGACCTTGCGCCTATCCATTACGATCTTCTCCTCCCGCGCATTATCAAAATCCCTCAAACTTCCGAAACGCTCCTCGCCCACTTCGTCCGCGGAACGGCCAGTCTGTTCTGCTGTTCGGTAGACTGCGTTGAGCTTCGTCATCCGCCATTGAGAGCCTTCGTCGCCGAATGTGTAGTCGACTTCATTCGTCAGCTCATCGAGATCGTTGGCCGAGGCACCACTGGCACCCCCCAAGCCTGTATTTAGTTCCCTGTGGTGAATGACCCGTTCTGGGACCTGCTTCGGAGGTGGCGTCTTCTCCTTCTTGCCACGATGGATGTAGTCGATGTCTATTGCGCCGGTCATCCAGGAATCTCTCTCCAGGGGGGCGGCCTCGTCCCGAGGTAGCTCTTCGTCTGGTACAGGGAGCTTCTCCTTCGGATCCGTAGACGCAAGGAAGCCTGGCTCTTCATCTCCGGCCTGGTCTCTGTCCCTATGCCTGTGTCGACGCCTCCTGGAATCATCTTCGCCGTCTCCTTTCGAGTGTCGAGACCGCTTGTGTCGGTGGCCATCCTCGTCAGAATCGTGCTCCCGGGAGCGATCGTGCCTGCTTCTGTGGCCGTCTCTATCCCTGCTCCTTTCCCTGTGGTGTTTATCATCGCGATTGCGATCACGCCTGTCTGGCGACCTCGAGTTTCGATGATGGTGGCGATGCCTGTGCTTCTTCTCGCGTTTCTCTGAGCGTTCTTGCGCTCGTTCTCTTTCGGCCTTTTCAGCAGCAAGCTGCTTCTCGAAATCGTCAAGCCCGTCCATTGTAGACGGGATACATGAATTGAAGCAGGCCAAGGGTCCGGTGACGCTCGGAATAATCTGAGCTGAAAGGTCGACAGTTTCAGAGGGGCATTGACAAGGAGAGCATTTCAGGAATTGAAGCTGTGACGTGATGCTCCCAAATCCTCGCCATGCGGTAGCTCCAGAAATACTGCAAAGCTGCTGCAGGGTTGTTCTGTCAGCGGCAGGCAACTGGAGCCAGGCTCCCCACAGTGACATCGATGGTGCCCCGCAGACACCAGGGAAACTTTTCATGTGAGCTTGCTTCCCTCTGTTCAAACAAGGACCCAACCACGTGCCAAAACTTGGAGCACCGCCCTCGACGAGGCAAGCAACGACAATGGCATCTGCTTCGACAGCATCAACCAGCCAGCCTGTTGCCGAAAATGGCCAGCAGCCTGTCGCCGTTGTATGCGTCGGCATGGCCGGGTCGGGCAAGACGACCTTCATGCAACGCATCAACGCTCACCTCCACGGGAAAAAAGACCCGCCCTACGTGATCAACCTCGACCCAGCGGTGCTGAACGTCCCCTTCGACAGCAACATCGACATCCGAGACAGCGTCAACTACAAGGAGGTGATGAAGCAGTACAACCTGGGCCCGAACGGTGGCATCCTCACGTCCCTCAACCTCTTCGCGACAAAGGTCGACCAGATCCTCGGCCTCCTCGAGAAGCGCACACAGCCCGACCCGGCCAACCCGAACAGGAAGCCGATCAACAACATCCTGGTGGACACTCCCGGCCAGATCGAGGTGTTCGTGTGGTCCGCATCGGGGACGATCCTGCTCGAGAGCCTGGCCTCGAGCTTCCCGACGGTCATCGCGTACATCATCGACACGCCGCGGACGAGCTCGACGTCGACGTTCATGAGCAACATGCTCTACGCCTGCAGCATTCTCTACAAGACCAAGCTGCCCATGATCCTCGTGTTCAACAAGACCGACGTCAAGGACGCAAGCTTCGCCAAGGAGTGGATGACGGACTTCGAGGCCTTCCAGGCCGCGCTCCAGGACGACGAGAACAGCAACGCTTTTGGCGGGACGGAAGGCGGCGAGGGCGGGGGCAGCGGGTACATGGGGAGTCTACTGAACAGCATGAGCCTGATGCTGGAGGAGTTCTACGCGCACCTGAGTGTCGTCGGCGTGAGCAGCATGACGGGCGCGGGTGTCGACGACTTCTTCGAGGCGGTCGCCGTGAAGGCGGAGGAGTTCAAGAGGGACTACCAGCCAGAGCTGGAGAAGAAGAGGAAGGAGAGGGACGATGCGAAGCGGGCGACGAGAGAGAAGGAGCTGGACAAGATGATGAAGGGCATGTCCATGGCTGGCCTCGCTACAGACGAGAAGAAGGACGGCGACGGCGACATCGATGCCATCAGCGACCAGGACTCAGACGAGTACGATGACGACGAGACGGACCGCCATGGCCTGCAAGCGAGATATGAGGCGGCGATGGAGGGTGGCGAGGAGACTCTCAGCCAGGAGGCCAGCTTTGCAAAGTTTCTACACCAGCAGCAGAAGAATCAAGGCTAGACGTGGGGAGATTTTGAGGTTCTTTTGGGATTTGTCCCCATTCGGGCGAGTATGGTCGTCAAAATTGCATATCAGGGCGGAGTCTACGCAAGGGGACAGGGTGCGCATCTGTGTGGCGTTCGGTTTAGGGTCTTGATACCATCAGACATTGTCTAGAAAATTCATTTGGAAGTCATTTACTCCTCAACTCCAGATGATCAAGTGCTCCGCCCGTTCAGTATCGTTGAGGGCTGTCTCTTTTTGTCCTCATGCTCCATATAGTTCAGCGCCGCGGTATTCTGCAGCCAGCCCTTATCCCTTCCATCGGTAACTTGATGCTTTTCAGTCCTCCCCCGGCCGGGAACTGTGACTCGTCCGTATGTCATGCCGCTCTGACCAATCGTCTCGCCTCAGATGTGCCCTCATCGCCCATGATAACTCAGGGTTGCCTCTATCGGGCTTCGAATTGGATCATTCTGTGTTTTGAAAACATCAGCCCAACTGTCTCTCTTGCTATTCAGGCATAGTCGGCCTGACTCACCTCTTTGTCCGCTCCTTGTAGAGCACACGACACCCGCAGTCCTTACACCGGATGGGGTCGGCCTTCTTGAGGTGGGTCGAGGAGCCGCAGTCGCCGCACAGGTACTTCATCTGGACGTTGTCGTCGCGGAATTCCGGGTTGAAGGCGCTGGGCTTGGCCGCCAGGGCAGCGCCGCCGAAGCTACCGCCTGGGGAGCCGGTCGGGACGGTGTAGCCTTCGCGGGACATGGTCAAGGTGATGCGAGTGGTGCGATCGGATGGTAGAAATTCGGTGTGGCTGGTAGCATGGGAGGAGATACGGGGGCCTCTGGGTGATGAGAGGTAGTGCCTGACGAGTAGATGTCACCGAGAGCAAGCGAAGCTGTCAGTCAAATGTTGGAGTTGAGGCCTAGATGAAAATTGGGCGGTCGAGATCGACACCGGCAGAACCCGAGCTTGCCTGCCGCGCGTTTGACCGTTGCAACAGGGGCCTAGGCGCGAGCCGAGGCTTAAATGCAGGAAGACCCAAGGTCCATGTTCATGACGTGCTGCGATTGTGAGTCTGCTTGGCCAGCCACAGGCCACTTGTACATATACCACCTGACTTGGGCCATAGGAGCTTGTACTGCAAATATTTCTTCATGAAAAGAGCTCGATCAAGCTGCGTCGAAGCTGCCCGATCGCGCCGATCTACACCACACCCGGGCACACGGCCGGCAAGATGGCGCCTCATGTGCCAGACGCGACCTTCGACCGCCCCGAGCCTTCAAACCCAGCCTCAACCCCAGAGCTGGAAGACGACAATGCCGCCAACTGCCCCTTCTGCCGGATAGCAGCCCTCTACAAGCCCTACGACCCAGTTGTTCCCCCAGCAGCCGACTCGCCCGCCATCTCCACCACCAAGGCCGACCCCAACCCCGAGACCTACGTCCTCCTCTCCACGCCGGACGTGATCGCCTTCCTCGACATCATGCCCCTCTCGCGGGGCCACCTGCTCCTCTGCCCGCGAAGGCACTCCCCGAAGCTCACGGGGACCACGGCCCACGAGGCCCGCGAGCTGGGCTACTACCTGCGCGTGCTGTCGGCAGCGCTGAGCACGGCGACGGGCGTCGAGGACTGGAACGTGGTTCAGAACAACGGCGCCGCCGCCGCGCAGGTCGTGCCCCACATGCATTATCATATCATCCCGCGGCCAGAGATCAGGGCGCAGGGCCGCTGGAGCGAGAAGTTCACCATGTTCGGCCGCGGCCAGAGGAGCGATCTTGATGCTGAGGACGGGGAGCAGCTTGCGAGCAGCGTCAGGGCGGAGATCGCGAGGGTGCTTGGGGAGGAGGCGGCGACGGCGGTTAAGGGGAAGCTGTGAGCTGCTACGGCGGGCCCATGCAGTTCTTAACCCTTCCGGATGGCTATTGACGAGGAGAGAGGCTCTGTAGAGCCCTTGTGCTGGGCGAGCTGCGATACGACGGTGAGGTGAGCGCACTGTGCGATACTCTACTTAATTATCTTGGTGTTTTCTTAGCGCTGACTTCACCAAGGCACCTTACCAAACATCGGAAGCTCAGCTCGGGTCAATACCATCGTGACAAAGATGGGGACACGGGATGACTGGGTTTTTCAGTGTGAAGGCCCGACGAACACACAGCAGCGATTGTGCGAGCCTAACGAAATCATGACCTTGTGTTTCGTGCGCATGGTCAGGCCATCCATAGTGACCGTGGACGCCCAGATTCGAGCTGTGGATCTCTCGCACAGTACTCCTCTCGGCCCGGCTCGTCAAGCTCTACTGGCGGGCGAAAGCCCGCTCCCAGATAGTTGGCCGGAACCCTACGGTAACGAGGAGCGTGCGCACAATATGGCGCAATTGTGAAAAGTCGGGAAAGGGGCACATGTGAAAAGATCCACGCTGTCTCCGCAACAGCGCACTTCCCTCATGCTGGAAGATCCTCTAAGCTTCTTCCAGGAATCAACTTAGTACCAAAGACGGACACCGTCTCATGCGCGACAGTCACGATAGGTGCCATAGCTCGTCAGGCTCGTCATGGAAGACCTGAATATGCCGGGAGGCAGGGCGAGAGACAAGACACGTAGCTACCGAGCATTTTGCCGCATCTGAAATAATACCACAATTCACTGCTGCAGTCACGGGGGCTTAGGACTTTTGAGCAAAGTTGCTGGGTATCGATCATCTGTTTTATTCTAGTAGACCTTTCCCACCGATCTTTGCAGATGCTTCATTATCTATCCGGTATGTCATCCCCCGGTTCCACCTACTCGTCATCCCCGTGGAACACCCTGATCGGCAGCCAGGCGTCGCCGCAGACCTTGAACCTATCCTGGATGCCGTCCAGGGCAGAGACCTCCTCATCAGTCAGGCTCCAGCCGTCCAGCTCCCTGTTGGCAACGATGCGCGACTCGGTGACGCTCTTGGGCAGGACGGAGAAGCCCTTCTGCAGGCCCCAGACGAGCAGGACCTGCTGGGGCGACTTGCCCTTGGCCTTGGCGATGGACAGCAGGGCCTCGTTCTTGCCGAGCGGGGAGTCGGTGCTGCCGAGGGGCGAGTAGGCCGAGGGGTGGATGTTCTTGCCCTGCAGGTACTTGATGAGCTTGGGCGAGGGGTTGCAGGGGTGCAGCTCGATCTGGTTGACTGCGGGCGTGACCTTTGTGGTCTCGGCGGCTAGCAGCTTCTCCATGTTGGTGATGTCGAAGTTGGACACGCCGATGTTCTTGACCTTGCCCGTATCGAGGAGCTTCTGCAGCTCGCGCCACGTGTCGACGAAGTTCCAGTCAGGGTAGTGCTTCTTGAGGTCATCCGGGTCGGTCGAGCTGGGCCAGTGCATCAGATACAAGTCGAGGTAGTCGGTCTGCAGGTTCTCGAGGGACTTGTTGAAGCCCTCGGTGACGCGCTTGTGCCAGGGGTTGTCCAGCTTCGTGGTCAACCAGATCTCGGACCGGGGGACGCCCGAGGCCTTGATGCCGTCGCCGACTTCCTTCTCGTTGCCGTAAGCGAAGGCGGTATCGATGTGTCGGTAGCCTGCCTTGAGGGCTGCCTCAACGGCGTTCTTCACCTCGTTAGGCTTGGATTGCCATGTTCCAAGGCCCAGGGCAGGGATCTTGGCACCCGTGTTCAAGGTGTAGGTCTTACTGGGGATTTCTCAGCAAACAGAAGTGGGAAAGGAGGAGTAGGGGCAGAAATAGGGATTGAAGGGTGGATATGTACTCACGTGGTGTTCTTGACGGCAGCCATGATTCTTGACATTCAGTGGGCGTGTCTGTTTTCGGGTGTAGCGAGAGAAAGATGAGGAAGTCTACAAGAACAAGAGCAAGACAGGGTGAGTGCCAGCGCAGGTATTTATGATGAGGTGGGTGTAGGACAACCCGCCACCAGGGCTAGATTGTACAAGACGATAAGAACAGCAAACATGATGAATCCGCCGCGGATATCGGACCGAACCATAGTAAAGACAGAATTAGGTAAGAATCCGTCGATTTCAAAGCTGGGAGGCCTTTCAAGCGATCGGTGATCTGCAAAGCCGGGCGAGCTCTCACGGTGAGAGAGAGAACGCCCTAGCAACTGGCCGGCAGTCCCAGTCGTCAAGCGTGCCGTGCCTGGCAACCAGGCAACTTGGAAGGTCGACGCGCGGGAGATACCCCGCCGTGGGGCATCCATCCTCTGCGACCCGCCAGGACGTCATGAGGGATCTGCCCCTCCGTCATTGGTGCGGATGGACGGTGGGGCATTATTTTCTCCCTGCGAGCTACTAACATCAAATCTCCATTCAGCCGCCTCGGTGAGTTTTTATTTTAACCATGTTCGTCCAGCCCGAGCTAGGTCTGAGAGTAGGCACTGTAAACCGCGGTTGACACGGATAATTTCCTGAACCAGGTCGGCTGATGTTTCGCACACTGTGACCTCATGGTACGAGGCCACTTCCAGCCTCGCGATGCCCTGGGCGAGCATGAAGCAGACCAGCGCTCCGTCCTCTCTGAGCTGTGCACTGGGGCAGCCCAATTCGACCTGTCCATGTCAATGCAATGCCCAGCCCTGTCGATGGCCCCCCTCTAAGACCACAGCTCGCCTTGCCCTGCCAGCCCTCTCTGCCTCGTCTCGTCCTTCGCAGCCTGCCTCATGATCTCGTTCATCGTGTGCCGTCTCTGCCGTCGTAGCAGTCTGCCCAGGGCACCTGAAGCCCGCCCTTCCGAGCTTCTGGCTCTTGCCTAGCAAATGTCAGACCGAACCAGCGCGGTGTAGTCCTCCGGGACATCTCCCGCTCAGCCCGTACCTCTGCAGCCTCGCCTGCTTTACGTCTGGCTTCACTCCGCTCTGACACGGAAGAGCCGTCGAATCCGCCGTGGGAAAAGGCATCTCCCGTATTTTCACCGAGCTTCTGACCAGGCTTTCTGCCGTCATCCGACGGCGCAGGTTGTGCATGCTCAGACACAACCTTTCGGATCAGGACACCTGAAAGGAGAAGGGCGGCGAGCGTCGCGCCGAATCGCAGGACGGGTGACAGAGAAGGCATTTTTGCATTATTTGCAACAGCAGAGGTATCTCGCATATCCACAATTGAAAGTCATTGAGGAATGGCTGGATGGACACCTTTAACGTCCACGAAATGTCCCCCTGGACAGAGGCCAGCCATCTCGGCAGGGCAGAAGCAACACATGTCTCAGCCTCACGCACAGAAAGGCGCCTCGAGGTCACATTTAGGATACATTCCATCACCAATCATGTCTTGTGAATTCCACGGATCTTTTCTCGTATTCTCCGGTGTCAAGACGCAGTATTTGTGCAACGTGGGCTTAGTCGCCCCTGTCCCATGTACATAGCTCCTGGCCAAAACGCAGTGCAGATTGCCTTTGGAAAGCCGTGCGGCTCCAGTATAATGTCAAGACGCTCTGTGACCCAAACTTGGACAGATTATAGAAAACTGATAGAGCGGTAGGAAAAGTCGGGACCCAGCTTCAGATGACCGAGTGTTAGGATTAAAGGACAGGGGCACAGCTGGACGGAGATCTTCTTCCCTGCTAAGGGCGATACTGAAGTTTAGAAAACAATACATAACGGTAGATTAGTGCCAGGAAGGAGCGGCCTCAATTCACACACAAATTAATACTAATGATCGCACCGCACAGGAACTTCCAAGGCCGGTATATTTCTGAAATCTGTGGAGCAAGTCACTTGCAAATGCTCAGCCACTCGAACCGGACTTTGATGAGCTGTTTATGTACCCAGTTAAGTTAGTTTTAAGACGGTTATCTCCAATCACAGTAACTCAAGAACTACACCAGGCCATGGGCCGTATTTGTGCAAGGTTGAGGCTCGACCGGACCACCAGGTCGATAGGCCTGATTCATCTGAAAACACCCTTTTTCCATGATTTCATGATGTGTGACTGCAGTCAGTCTGATAAACCGCTGCCTTTCCCTGGTTGGAGTCAAGAGCACTGCGTCACTTCCGGATCAGTGTACAAACAACAAGACTCCACGTTTGCACATACCAATATCGAAACAACACTGGAAGACGTAAGGACCCACATGAAAAACGTCGCTTTTAAGTTGTTGCTGCGTCTATCCTCGCCTGGGACTGCTTGGATTCAGTGACGATCCTTTGATATGTATCCGAAGCACAAATTCTGGGTCGTCTACCCACAGCTCTTGTTTCCCGACGCTGGGGTAGTTATGAAGCTAGCTTTCTCGGGAATGTTATTCACAGATTATTTTTGTTTGCAATGATGGAGAAAATGATGCCTGCTTTGATAGATACGGAAACATTTGATCCCAACACCGTAAGATTCCCCCAAGCTACCAAAAGCCCGAGCCAACACGTCATGAACTGGTGTGACTGTCTCGTTGCGTTTGTTCCGCCTTGCCATATTGAATTTGCTCAGTAATGGATCCACATTCACCAGATACAGAGCTCTTGTAATCAGCTGTCGTTTGATCTTTGATGAATAACATAGCCATCATATACCTCCCTCTCTTCCACCACAGTGGCAAATCTCTATTTGAGCAAGGAGAACGTCTTGTACTTCCAATTAAATTTATTAGCCCTCCATTTTCAGATGAGAATGTTTGTGAAGCCGGTCTCCGATACCACTCCAGCTATTCATCTTCCTTCTCACAGTACATCCACACAAACACCCACTGCAACATACCACCACATGTTTCTCAGTGAGTCACCCAGAGACGCCTCAAGCCACCCGGCATGCTGATAACCTTACACAGTGCATCATGGCAGACCTTCTCAAGGACATATCTGTTGACGAGATCACCCCTGGTCTCTTCGTAGGCAACATGGCTTGCGTTGAGAGCGAGAGTGTCCTGAAAGAGCTCAAGATCACTGCAGTTGTTTCGGTCGTTTCGAAATATCGCAAACCGTTTCCTCAGCCCAACACTCCATACGGTCTAACGGGACCCCGCCGCCATCCACTGGAAAAGCTGTTTAGCTTGCAGGACCGACTCGTTATTTTCGTTGACGATACTCGCTCGGACAATATTTTCCGCTACTTCGAAGCCGCCTGTCAATTCATCGACCATCAGTTGCACCACGCCAGTGTCAAGGAACGGGCCGGTTTTGACGCAAAGGCTTACAATGAGCGAAGAGGTAGAAGCTCCATGCCCAGAGAGAACGTGGCCAGGAAGACCGGCCGTGTTCTCGTACATTGTACCCTCGGCATATCCCGGTCCGTAACCATCGTGGCGGCATACATCATGTGGAAGTGGGGCTTCTGCGCATCTCGGGCGCTTCAACACGTCCAGAAGAAGCGAAGCATGTCCTCTCCAAACGAAGGCTTCATCGACCAGCTGCTCGTCTGGGAGGAGCTGAACTGCAACCCCTGGCTGAGTCGGCGGTTTCGTATTCGGCCACAGGCGTACTACGACATGACAAAACGCCTCGAGAACCACAAGCGTGTCCGGGAGGTCACAAAGGCCATCGAGAGAGCCGCGAAAGAGAACTCCCCCAGGGGCAGAGCCCCCACGAAGGGCGGCACAAGGGCGCACAGCATGGAGAGAAACACAGTCAGATACTTCACAAGGGCCAGGCATTAAGCAGCCGTCCCGTGGCGGGGAGGAATGATGCGGGAGCATTCGCGAGATACCAATACATCTAAGCCTTCTTGCAGGCAACAAAGTTGTTCCCCGAGGCCCCAGTGTGAGTGATCAGCGCGTCAAATTTGCCCTTCGTGTCAAAGATGACCCTGTCTGCACCAGGAGATCCGCCGGTGTAGACCTTGTACGAAGAAAGGATCGGGAACTCATACCACGGCGCTGCGGTTGGGAAGCTGAAGCCCTCGTAGTTGTTGTACTGGTGAGGGTAGCCACCTGCGAGTTTATTGTTAGCAATCTGATCTGTCAAGACCGCGGATTCTCATCTTGCGAGAGGAAGTTCATGTCATACCTGGTGCGCTGCCGGACTTGTAGTTTGAGTAAGCGGCAGCCAGGGCGTCGTCAATATCCACTTGCTACACATAGCCAAGGTTAGTGCCGATCAAGCCACAGAACCATTTTTGTTTCTGGGAGCTTACCCAATAGCACACCGAACCACAGGTGTAAACACAGGCATCCTGCACCGAGACCTCGGCCTTGACCTCGGCCTCGACCGCGGGCTCGGCCACCGGCTCGGCGTTGGGGATCACCGCCGCGACGGCGGCGGAAGCGGACAGGGCCGCGAGGAACAGCGATTTAAGCTATGAAGTAAAAATGTTAGTTGGTTCTGCATCGTCTCGCCGAGTCTCAACTTGAAGTGGACTAACCATGGTCACAGCTTTGAATCAGCGTCTCAAAATGCTATTCTCGGAAGCCGGCCTGGGTGCTGCAGGTGCCCGTGTTATTGAGGAGCGACGGTCGAGCAAAGCTGGTGCGCCTGTTCAAACATCGTCAGACGTGAGGGACCAAATGCCCTTATTTATGCTGCTCACGATCTTTCAAGACATAGTTAGGTCTGGAATGCTGAGAGTCCTCCCTCATTTCCCAAAGCCACAACCACACCCAATGAGATACTACGCTTTGCAAACGTTACAGCCGGCCGGGTCCTATATCCGAGACGGGAAGGACGAACAGCCAAAGACATCCCGCCAATCCACACACGTGAGCGAGTGTGTGGCAGTTAGATAGCTGCTTATCTGCGCGAGTCACCCCGGCCGAGAGGGCGGCCCACTGGTCCCTGGGTGCCACCTTCTCGATCCATACAAGCTCTGCCAAGGATTCCGAATAGGAACACCGAGCACCTGTCCGGGCGTTGCGCGTTCGTCGGCGGAGCGGGGGACCCATTCCGCGCCCATGATTGGAACAATCCGCGCCGGCAGATCGGCGCTGCAGAGGGGCAGGAAGCTGCCAACCACTGCAGGGACTTGGCTGAAAACAGCAGCGAGTGCCGGGATGCCGTCCAGGCGAAAATAGAAGCTTAAATTGGCGGCTCCGTTGCCAAGTGCTTGGTGGCAGTCTATCAGCTAGAAGCCAAACAAGAGAACACATGGATAGATGCAGGATTTCTGACAAGTCTTGCACACCTTTCTCTTGTTCTGAATGACTGTTGAATCTGATCCTGGCTGCCACTCAGGCTTAACATACGAAACGGACACTCATCACATGGAATAAGGATAAAGGAGAGCAAGAGAACACAATCGCGTAGTGGGTTCTGTAATTTTATTGAGTCTAGGATAGATATATAGATACAGCGGAACATGTTCACTTCAATGACCTGTAATGGACTAAGTAGATATCTGTTAGCACATGACCCCATATGACTTCATCCATAATAAATCAACGCTCCTAAATCAAACAAGGCTAACAAGGGTTGCAACCCTTGGAGCCAGGTCTGTCTTGCTGGTATTCTTCTCTCAAGTTAGTCCTAGAGTTGCGTTTCCTGAGGGAATGGCCCTGATTGCTATTCACAGGTATCGGTGGCTGGACACCGGTGATGTTTGTCGTAGGCGGTGGCGTCTGGACACCCTCAGCTGGCGGATCTTGAGCAATAGACGGTGAGGCCTCAGACGGCGTAGGGACCGCCTCCATCCACTTCATGATGCTCTTGTTATCTGTATAGAATTAATTGTTGTTAGCTCCTATTTCATGACCCCGGCAAGAGCTGTGCTCAAAATAATCTATGCGACAGGGCCGAGCATCTTGCCGAAACCACGGCTTCAGTGGAGCTGAAATTCAAAACAGGAGTGAAGATCTCGGGATCATGGGCTTGGTTGTGACACTTACTCCAGTAGGGTTTACCCCTCCGCCTCGTGTCGCCGAGGTGGACGTCACTATCAAGAAACTCCTTTGACGGCATTTTGTCTTCGCTGTAGTAGTTTTCAATTGAGATTTGAAGTTGTTAGATAATCTGAAGGGCTTATGGATTCTATAAGGAATAGAAAGGTCTGCATTATTTGAGATGTTTTATACCATGAGAATACGCCACCTCACTCACTCAAGGCTTTGTGACTCGCTCAACTTCAGTTGTAATCCCGCCGCCGGCATGACTGTGTGCATGGGATGAATGACATCCCGGAATCCATCTTTCTAATTTGTGATTGAAGTGGTTTCCAGCGTATGGTCCGAAAGTCTCAATCAATGTTACAATCCTGTGCAACTTCGAAAACCTCCTGTTGGGTGCTACGGACAGCCCAAATAATGAATGTTGCCTCTTGGGTTTTTGCATGATTCAGCTATTTTCACCATGAACGTCAGATATCCAATTTCAGTGTCTTTTCATGGCATATTTGACCACAGCAGAAGGAGGCATTTCAATTATGCGTGACAAAATCACTGTTGTCTGTCTCCTGAAATCACACATCGCTGCCATGCCCAATTCCCACAACCACAATGATCACTTGCGAGTATCCGGTATTCCCTGAGGCGAGCCTCACAATTTCAAATTGCTCTATCGATTTCTTCTATATTTCCTCGAAATGAGATGGCTCCATTGCGAACTTGAACACCAAGAATGGTCTTTTAATACATTGTATGCGACCTCGTTGCTTACTAAGCAAGGTGGTCTGAAGTGTGAGATAAGCTTGGGGAAAAATTCACTGAATGGCAGCCGACTTCACTAGGAACAACGGCCATGTTGCAAAACTGAGCCCTACAAAAATCACAGCCAAAGCCCCACCCACCATTAATATCCCAGGAAGCTCCTGGGGGGACTAGCCAGCGATGGGTAAATACGATCGCAAGGAAAAGTCACAGCCGAAACATGGGAAGCCCCCATCCAGCGGTGCATCCAAGGCGCCGGCGCGGATAACCCCCGGCGTGCCAGGCTGGAAAGGGCCTGGCTACATTCACAAAAAGAAGAAGCCTCAGCAGCCATCTGCAGGCTCGGGGTCAGCGGCAGCATCAGAGCCTCCTAGGCTGGAACATGTACTCCCCGTGGAGCTCGAGCAGCTAATGATCAATATCTTCCGCACCACCTTCCCTGCGTCGAATGACTTCGAAGCGCTGAAGCCGACACTGCAGGAGATCAAGGAGGCGCTATTTAGGAGGGACTTTGACATGGCATTTGGAAGGGCCGATTTCCTGGATGCATATGCGATCCGGTGGAGTCCCAGTCGCGCGTTGGGATATGCGCAGCTGATGGCTTGGATCTGCGAGGAGAGGGCCGACGACGCTTGCATCCAGCGGTTGGCCGGCGGCGAGGAGGAGCAGAAAACAGCCAAGGTGGTATGTTTCGGGGGCGGGGCGGCTGAGATCATGGCGTTCTCGGGTCTTTTGCGTCACCTACGGCCGTCAGAAGCAGCCGGAAAACCAGATTCACCATCCGAGGACGTCTCGGAAGATCTGCAGGCCCTGTCAATTTCAGAGGCTGAACCCTCGGCGACACTCCTCGATCTTCACCTTGTAGACACAGCGGACTGGTCTTCCGTGCTCTCCAAGCTACATGCGTGCCTCGAGACGCCTCCCACTCTTTCCAAGTATGCTAGCGCGGCAGCTCGAGCCACAAATGCCTCATTCCTCTCGCCCGGAGCTGTTAAGCACACTTTCACGCGCACAGACGTGCTAGGCTGCAGTACTGAAGACCTCCGAGCGGCCATCGGACCTGACCCGGCGCTTCTTACACTGCTCTTCACTCTGAACGAGCTCTACGCGGCCTCGATGCCTCGAACCACCGCGTTTCTGCTCAAATTTACGGAGGCTGCTCCTAGTGGCAGCTTGCTGCTCGTGGTAGACAGCCCGGGATCTTACTCTGAGGCCGCCGTTGGTAATGCCAAGGATGGGGAGGAGAAGAAGAAATATCCCATGAGTTGGCTCATGGACTACGCCCTCGTGCCAAAACCGAGAAAGAAGACAGCTGATGGAGAGGAAGTTGGCGAGGGGGAATCGGCTAATGCGTGGCAAAAGGTCATTTCCGAGGACAGCGTGTGGTACCGGTTGGAAGAGGATTTAGAGTACCCGGTCAGCCTGGAGAACATGAGATTTCAGATCCACGTGTTCAAACGTGTATGAGAATGAGAGACTACACGTATATCAATTAAAAATTTGTCGAAATCTACACTAGGAGATCTCTATGTGCCATGTAATGTTTAAGCCACTGCGCATGGTTCCGCCTCTTTACATCGTTGCTCCTGCGGGCTCCTTGCCCCTTACCAAGTTCGATGCTCCTTGCTTGTTCTCCGGGGTCACCAACGTGATGGTCAAATCTGGATCTCTGGAGTAGACCCGGAGACAAGCGACACAGACAGCATTCCACTGTCCGTCATCACCGTCCTCATGATCAGAATCAGGAGATCCGTCTGTGGACTGTTCCTCAGCATGCTCGTCGACGTTCGGGTTGATCTCAGCTTCCACCTCTGCTCCAACTCTGTCTCCATTCATCGGGACGGGTTCGTTTCCTCGTCCAGGTCCTTCATGTTCTTCTTCCTGGTGATTCTCGCCATTTTCCTTCTCTGCATGTTCGGTCTTTACCGTGAGCTTCTCCCTCGGCTGGCCTCCAGGCTCTCCGCTCCTATCGCCTTCTTGGCAGTCGCATGGGTGCCCGCCTACAGTCGATGGGCTCTCGGTTGCGTCTTGGAATTCTTCGAGCTCGGCTTGACCCTCCGACTTGCCGCCGCTTCCCTCGCTGGGTGTCGGCTCCTGTGGTGACATGACATCGACATCGACATCGAACTCCACAAATCTTCCCCGAATGTGGGGATGATGATGCCTTACGTGAGGCTTTCTCTTGGACTTGGACTTTTCCTTCTCAATCTTCATATCTTCATCTGGACTACAATCGGTGTTGTTAGCAGGCGGATCTATGAGAACCAAAAACGGGTCCTTTCCAAGCCCGCAAGAGTCCAGTCATCTCTGAACCACATTGAGGGAGGGACCGGGGGAAGAAATTCAAAGCTTCGAGTCAACTTACATGCCTCCCTTTGCGTGAGCAAGGTCGTATTGTAATCCCACTTGCCTGAGCTTCTGTGGGTTTGTGTCGGCGTAATCCGGGACCAAGGACTCAACGGTGCGCTTCTGGTTCCGCTCGGCGGTAATCTGCGGCACGACCTCGTACTGGCCTTCGTCAAGGTCTATCTCGCAACTGACGGATCGATCTCTACCCCCGTGGGCTGGCCGGACTCTGCAAATGTAGTCCCCAATCTGACTCCCCTGTTTTCGAACGACGAAGTGGAGACTGAACTGGTACGGGCCCTCCAGGCCTTTGAAGTAGCGTGTGTCCAACTGGAGCTCAAGTCAGCATTCGGGGCTTTTCATGATGTGCACAACGCGACGTAAGTAGCCGTGACTGACTTGTCCCATCACAATCACAACCATGCCAGCTTTCTTGACGTCAAGGACGAATTTGGTGCGCAGATAGCCAGTGAGCCACGAGACGCTGCAGCTCGCCCACTGCTGGATGACCGTCCAGTGCTCGTCGAACAAACGTGTGCGGTAAATATACCTGAACGTCTGGAGCATGTCGCCATACTCCATCCAGAACACGCCGTCGTCCTTGAAGCGGTGGTCAAGCTTTTCCATCCAGTACGGCGTCCATTCTTCGGACCCGTCTGACCACCTTCCGTTCCACTCGCCGACTCTGCCTCTGGGGTCTCTCTTTCCCCATGGGTTCCTGAGGGTGTCAGCACAACTTCACTTTTCGGACGCTTGCAATATGTTGGATGGTGTCTCTGTACCTGATCTTGACAAGGCGCACCGAGCTCTTTCCGTCTTCCGCGTCCACTTCGACTGCTCGGAGTATAGTATAAGCATGACCAAGAGCCACTCCCGAATCGGCTTCTACCCTACCGAAGCGGGATTGAGCAGACAGACCGAACACGAATTGCCCGTCAGAGCTGCTCAGCTCCCTCCACAATCTATCCTTTCTCAGTACCTTGTTAGTAGCAATAGACGTGTTGACACCGCCAGTCATATCCTCGACCCCGTCTCCAACATATCCACCATCAATGGCCTCGAAATCCCCGTGGGCTTTCGCATAAGCCTTCTCCAGCAGCGGCAGCCACGTCTCGTTCTCCTCGGTGCACCGGCTGAAGTAGAGCGCCTCGGACCCCTTCTGGCGCAGCGACCTGAACTTTGCGGCCTTGGAACCGTCGGGGTCGAAAACCTCCGGCTGGAGCTCTCTAAAGTCCCGAGAGGAGAGGTACAGGTTGTCGTCGACGACCGTGGATACCCACTCCCCGTCGCGCTGGAACACGAACCCGTACACGCCGCACTCCTCGTCCCGGTCGACGCAGATGCGGTCCATGAGGTCCTTGCGGTGGGCGATGGTCGAGATGGCGGCCAGCCACCAGCAGTCCCCGCCGACGCCCTGCTGGACGTCCGTGTGCGAGTAGCCATTGACGGTGAACTGCGGGTTCCTGAAGATCCAGTCGAGGCGGTGGACCGACCCGGGGCCCCGGTGGGCGCCCGACGGGGCGGTGCTGGTGACACTGACGTCGTCGGGGGGTGGAGGAGGGGGGGAAATGCCACGGCGGTGCGAGGGCGGCGGCGGCGGCGGGAACAGCCCAAAGAGGCAGTTGTTCCTGATCTCAAAGTCCGCCTCGATGTCGAAGTCCGGGTCCGTGAACTTCTCGTTTGTGCGCTCGCACTCCTCCCTGATGCGCCTGACCTTGTCGCGGCACTCCCTGGCCGCGATGTCGTAGCTCTCGGCCGCGTTGCGCGCCGACGATGCGCCGCGGGGGTCGGGGTGGCTGGGGAGCAGGCTGGCGTACAACAAGCGCGGGAAGATGGATGTCACCTTGCTCGGCCGTTTGCGCGAGAACTTGGACCAGAAGCTATTGACGTCCCCTTGTGGAGTCCTGGGGGCCCGCCGGCCGCCGTGGTGTGGAGCGCCGTCCATTTTTGCTTCAATTACTTATGGAGAGTGAGGGAAAGTCCGAGTCGGACGATGAAGGGAATAAGCAATGTGGTTGTCGTTAGTAAGTAACCCCGCCCCTCCAGGCGCGCAGCTGAACTGTTGCATGCAAGCGCATCCAAACATTCAGAGCGCGTCAATAAGCCAGTCGAGAGCAAATCATAATTCGGTGGTAAGTACCAACAGCATTTTGCGACGGCTGTGATAGGACAGCTAACGTTTGAATGCGGCAAGCTGCATTACTACGCCTGGGCAGTTGCAACCTTGCGTGGAACGAACGCCCTTCCCAGTTGTGAAGTAGCTTTCTCGACCAACTCAAGAATACACCTGGAAAACTCGGAATCTTGACTTGCAAATTAGCTGCCCAAGATCATACAACACTTCAATTGTTTTCAAGTGTGAGCTCGGCCCCATTCGTTATTAGGCCAGAATCAGCCTTTCCCCATTTCCTTCGGAGAGTGTGCCATCTGTCTGCCCACAGGCATGACATATCTTCTCCCAACTCTGCCTCTCCATCTCCACGAATCTGATCGCCCCTATTCTCTGGAAACGTTCAGAAGGTTTCCCATGCTGGCTCCTTTTGATCAGTAAGCCGACGCCGGAGTAGACGAGACGCCTGTTACCAGGGTCGTAGTTCACAGTACCATCTTTTTGCAGGCCCAAGCTTTTCTCTCCCACCGCAAGCACGAGCACCTCGCAGGCGCCGAGCAGGCCATTATTCTGGCTTGGGAAGACGTCCGGAAAAGCTTTCACGGTCACGAACGACTGGTCGGTGTCCGGTATTTTCACAACCCACCCGGTGCATTCGTCGTTGTCAGTCAGGAAACCTTGTGCTCGGTAGGCCTGTAGCTTGAGAATTGCGTCGTCCTCTGCCATTTTGGGCAGGTCCCCGGGAAACTTTGTTACGCCAGTGGCTGCCACGACTTCCGGTCCGTCATGGCCACTCGCCAGGTAAATTATGTTCTGGAGCAAACGATCCACCACCTCAACTCTGCCGGTTACTGATGCCCACGACCAGCTCGGAAACCAATTGTTACTATCCGGCCCCGGGCGCTCTGATACTCTTGGATTCTTTACTGTCCACGCCAACTGCAACACCAAGTCTCTCTCCCAAAGACCTGCTACGAATTTCTCTCCTCCTCGAGAGTCCTGGACCAGCTGCGCAATGCCCCAAAGCGCCCTGAGCTTGTCGCTGTGGAATGAAAGCGCACAGGAGGTATATTTCCCGACGGCCATTTTCCAGAATTCGTAAGGGATCTCTCGGCGAGAAGGGATAGTTAAGACGGTCATCGTTTTTGTCTCGCCGCCCGGTGCTGGGCTTCTAGTCGGCTGTTGCAGCTGGGCACGCCATTTCCGGTCGATAGATGCGCCATGATCGAGCTCGCGTGGCAGACCTCCTGGTAGACTTTCGCAGGCACTGTGCGTGGGACAGTCCCAGAAAATTTGGGTGCTAGTGAAATGAAGGGCACGCGGGGCGAGCATGCGTTCTGTTTGAAACGAGGGATGTCAACTGCTACGTATTTGGTTTTGTAGTGCCGGGAGAACTAGTTAGAGGATAATACATACCTTGAAATACCCATCCACGTCCGTAAAGCACATGTTCAAGGAGGCCTCTGTCCCATAGGTCTGCGGGCACAATTCGCCACGCGCCGGCTAAAGTGCCTGTGAGAATTTCTCCGTCCACTGGATAGCGCGCAAGGGCAACGTCCTCCGGCAGTCGGGACCTGAAGAGCCCTCCCTCCGAGTCTGTCGAGTCTGATGCTGCGATATTGCAGTACGAGTTTCTGTACACCCTGTGCATGAGTGGCGCTTCATGTTCCCAGTCTTGGCCGTCCTTGCTGTCTTGAATGATACACAAAGAGTCGATCCAGATATACCGAACATTAAGGTGATACGTTACTTCGCAAGCATCGGAAAAATTCCTGTTGCGGCATATCTCTGACCATGGAATTCCCTTGCTTTGGAATTCCTTGATGTTGGATACAAGGAGCCGAGCGAAGCTTTTCTTGCCCCAGCAATGACTGAGGGTTACGTATCGTCCCACATTCATATTCCTCGTGTCAACAATCTTGAGGCAATCGGATGCACTTGGAGGCCATGCGAGTTTACCATTTGAGTCCATTAGGTCAATCAATCTTGTTGGAGGTTTTCGATCACAGCCGAGATCGGCGTGACATTTTTCGGGGTGTGTTTGATCGCATTCTGTCGCCCACTTGATCACCTGCTTTACCGATTCAGCAGAAGACGTTCTGTTCCCGATGTTTAATGACCATAACGGAGCATGGGGGATATCTACAAGCCGTTGTTAGTTGGTCTGATTTTCTCTGTTCGCAAAGTTCTCAGCGAAACTAAAGATAGTTAAACAGAGACATAGGTCGAAAAAAGGAAGCTACCCTCATGAAATGTGTGATTTGCTGACCTTGTTCACGCAGCAAGTAGAAGGTGAGGTCTGGCAGTTCTATCGGATTCTCCTGGAACTCCTCTGCCATGCTGGTAGGTATCTCTCGAAAAGTAATGATAAAGCTGTCACGCATCTCCTTGATTCCGGCTGCCTTTCGAAAAGTCCAGCGATATATCGGGCGCCCGGGCTTCAGGAGATTTCTTTCGCTGAGGACACTTTGCCATTGAGCAGCAACCAGAACCTTTTCTACAATTTTCTTGCAGAAGACGCACTTCGCAAGCGTCGCAGATGACATATATTTTTCGTAGCTGTCGTGATGCTTGCCCCAAGGCGAGCCTGACTCCAGGATCTGAACTCGGCAAAAGTCGCACAGTTTCATATCTGATTGCGTGGCAAAGGAATGGCACTAGGGCTCAACGACGGTTCAGAAGACGACAGAGTGGGAAGAGTGTGAGAAAGGTGGGGTTTGTCACCTCCATAAACTTTAGTGAAATGAAGTGAGCCGTGAGGGGGGTGGTGCTTATCAAGAACACAGGTACTGTGACATCAGACTGTTGTGCAACTACTTCGGCATACAGGTGCCCGGCAGCAAGGACCTTTCTCCCCGACCAAGGCAAGCGGAAACTACTTCCTCTTTTTCCCATGTGTTTGGGGATAAGCATTACTAAGCAGATGTCTGCTTCTGGATCTCCCAGTTTGCTGATGATCATGGTGTGGTGCCGTAGGGATGAGCAGAATATACCCTACACTACTAGGCTCAACAGGCGCTTTGCCCATTGCGCCATGAATTTCATATATCGATCCCGGCAATACTAATATACAGAGCGTCTCGAATTTGTAGGGAATAGAGCGGCGTGGGAATCATTGAATGCCAAAACTCTCAGACTAGATCCTGCTCGACATGTGTTTCCTCCCTTCCGGCCAAACTATCCCAAGACTGTCCCGAAAGTTGCAAGACTGTCCCTAACTTGACATCCATATCTTTCACAAACTCATTCATTTCTCTCAAATACGTGTGAAATGACTGGATGTAAGCGTGCAACATTTTGTCCACGTCGAAAAACAAAAGGCCCTTCGTAGAAAGGGCTATTTGATCCACTGAATGTATATCACTCGGGTCATGATCATCCTGTTCAGCTTCACTCAGGCTGATGACGTGGCTGATTGTGTCGAAGGACACCCCCCTAAAATGATCAAAACGAGACACAATCGTCATCGACTTGAGTGCTAACCGCCGTTGCGAGAGAGGCAAGGATTCGTGCTGAGTCGAGTTGAATGCCAGCTCTAGGAGTGCAGTCACATCTGGTGGCGTGATGCCTTCCTGAACTTCGATTCGATCCACGTCATTCAAGCCATGGATGAGATCGAGACGCAACCTCGCCATAGCCACATTGCCATCCGCATTGTCCTCGACTTGACGAACGATGGCGCGTGCTCTATGGCTGTTTCCTTGTGCTCGGAGTTGGTGTCCGAGCTTGGAGAGCGGAATCCCGCCCTTTTCTACAAGCTTGTGTCTCAGATCACCATGCTCATTCTCGAGGCTCCACCATATGAGCTCGCGCATTTTGAGTCCAAGAGCGTCGTCCATGTTGATCAAGCTATATTGGTACGGGTGGCTCATGCACCGATCGTCTTGACTGTGGCAATCCAAGCCGGAAAAGCTAAGTCGTACTTTTGTCAGTTCAAAAGTCAGGAAAGTCAAATGCCGAAGGCACTTTGAGTATTATGAATAGGTTACGGCTGCTTGAGGAGTAGGGGTATAGGACTAACCACTCGTGGCCCTCGAGTTCACACATCTTGTATTTTGTAAAACGAGAGTAACAGTCCACGCAGGCTGCATGTTCTCTTTTGCACTGCCAATAGACTTCCAATCCATTCTTTTCCGGCCCTCTTGATCCACACCAGTCACACATCTGAGGCTCAAAAAAGCAGGTTGTCAGAGCACAGTTGTGGCGAGAAGTGAGCAGAATCCTGACTCCAAGCTTTTGTAGCTCCGATAATTCATGTTCCAGATTCTGGTGGAAGCGGGTGTCATTCGAGTCGGATCCATCGATAAGGAGGAAGAGGGGTCTTGATTCATTCAGCCGTAGAGCAACAGCTTCATGTATACGCCTTCTGATATCGCATGTCGACTCCCGTGAATACGACCCAGAATTATCATAGACATCTTCATGAGTCAGTAACTGACCCAATACGCAGTTCATGATCTCTTCGAGGGTATTGTTGTTCCAGGTATTCTGTGGTTGAATGAAGATCGTGATAGCATTTGCCTCGTGCCTCCTGAGGTATTGGGCAGCGACAGCAACGAAAGTAGTCTATCGACCGACAAAACGACGTTAACCGTGTTTTCCTGCAAGCTTTCGTGTTTGTTTTGGTCTTGGATGACCAGAGCATACCTTGCCCGATCCAGGACCGCCGTGAAGACGGAGCTGAGGCTCGTCTGTTCCAAGCCGCCAAAGTTTGAACCGCTCCCCATTGATAATAGGGTCAAAAGATTGCCGTAGTATGTCTTTTCCAATAGCTTGACACGATTTGACTGTGGATCTGATCACCCGCTGCTCTGGGGCTGACAGGTGTACTGCCGGCATTTTCAGCGAGGGAGCGCCCAAAAAGTGGGAAGCTCGAGGGAGACCCAACCCATGTACTGGATGAAAAGTCGGGCATTACTGCAACTGCAGAAGAATTGCAAGGCGTGAAAATCCCTGAGTATTCCTGCAGAGTTACCTGATTCTGTTGTCGAATTTTCAGGGCATTCACCTGATGAGAACGATGCTTCTGCAACGCGTACATCTGCTGACGCCAAGCCAAGTGTACCTGCACACGATTATTACCTGCGCCATGGGGAGAACAAACCAACACTTTCGTACAGGTCATGTGGGCTGAGCAAAGCCACCGGTTCTGTCTGGTTGGAGCCAACCGCTGATCAGATTGGTCTCCGCCCCATGCTGTGCAACGGTGGTTGGTCTGGGTTGTGGGCGTGCGGGGGGGTATGGCCCGACTATCTAGTTTCAAGGTTGCTATACCATCTTCCGATCAGCTCGACAAATTCCCTGCCGGTCTTTCAGGGCCACAGAACGAAGTAGCTTGGATTGACCTGAGCGTTAGTCCTTCCTTGGCAATTTTTCAAATTCTTACATAAACTCCTGGGTGGTTCAATCTCCACCGAGCCCCATGGAGCCCTGAGATGAGGAAACAAACATATGATAGGCAGGCTCTTCTTAAGTGGCTTCAAGAGGTGCTGGAAATTGATATCACCACACCACTTACAGAAGGGGCAGTACACATGGTGTGTAGCAATCTATATGCAAGATGCATACGCGTGTTTCATTTCCATTCTGTCCGACAGAGGGCGATGCTCACCGAGGTTTTTTCAGCATTCTTATTTGACAAGGCTGCTCATGCGGTGCTACTACACTTTGCTTAACATAGACACGAGCACACCACTCACGCAAAATTGCGCAAAATAGGCAGAGGACCAACCACACCCTAAATAGTTCGCATAACAACTCAATAAGCTTTGTTACACGACCTAAGGGATCTACAAATTCATCCAGTCGTGAGAGCTCATGGTAAAGTACAAACAAGGGTGGCTTCCCGACCGGTGTGTCTATGGTAGCCGGGCTTCTTCGAGGGCAGTGCTTCATGTTACTACCAGCAGGCACTCGGCTTGTGCGTCGCTCCTGGTGAATGTGGATCTGCCCCTTTTACACAGATGCGGCTGATAAGTCTTCGTGGGGTTGACAGGATGTTGAGGCCGCTGATTCAGAGTCTACCAGCACTGAGAGCTCACCTCTGATGTCGTTTCTATATGACTTCAGGCATTCATAAATACCTAGCTACGCCATAGCTCCACACCACATAATAGTTACCGCTCCACATTAGAGTCGTTCACTCCTACGCAAGCCCTCTTTCTCATCCCGTGTCCAGTCATAATCTTCCTTGTCGATCGTATTCAAGTTGTGCTAGTTCTTAGAAGTCCTTTTCATAGGTCTTTTGGTCACGAAGCAACATGCTGCTCCTCCCGAGTCTTACAGCGATCTTCTTGTCGGTCAACATTTGCCTGGGCGGCCGGACTCCGTCTCATGGCCGGCGAGAGGACTCGTCAACAACAAAGGAGAATGCGACCTCTCCGAGACCCACTATGTGTGGCGACATCATTGACTATGTGAATGACGGTAGAACACTCTTCATTCGACCTTGTTGGTGATACCAAAGCTGACATGAGCAATTTTATCACAGGATATAATCTCTTCTATGCAGTTGACGTGCTCGAGTGCCTAGTCAGCGTCCCATTTAACAAGGACGTAGCGTTGCGTTTCGTCGACTTCTACAATACCACGATGCAATTTCAAAGCACCTTGTCTTATCTACGGAATCCTCCGCCGACCTACCAACAACCCTCAGTCGACTTCGAAAATCAGCTCGAGAATATCAAGACCAACGTCATATCCGGCTACTACCGAAATCAATATGCCTTCGAGGCCGACATACAACATCTGGTCCAAAGTCTCCATGATGATCATGTCAGTCTCGTGGGCGGCGCATTGTCAGCCTTCTCCTTCGGCAGCAACATTCCACTCATGACGCTGTCTGTCGATGGTGTCAAAATTCCCGAGGTCTACTTTCGGTACGATGTTCAGAATCGACTACAATATCCCATCTCCCCGATTGCACAGATAAATGGAGAAGACGCTATCGACTTTCTCGGCCGGTTCGCGGCACTCAATGTCTACGGAAGTCTGGAGCCTCACGGGGACTGGAACAAGATCATGTACAATCCTGTGCAGGATATTCTCGACATATACGACGTCTTTTCCATGAATGCGCCTTTCTACTCGGGCGACTCCCTGGAGTTCACAATGGCAAATGGCACTAACTTTACGGCTTTCTGGACCGCACTCTATACCAACCCGGATTTCACGGGTCCGCTCACCACAGGAGGTGACTACTACAACTACTTCGTCCTGGGCCTAGTCCCGGCTTCTTATGACGACGTCCCTCTCCCGTGTGCATGGGAAATCGAGCCTACCGACAGGTGCCCAGGTAGTACCATGGTTGACGGGGGGGCTAAGAACATCACGAGCTGGTCCAACAAGACCCACGGCTCTTTTCCTGCAGACCCAACGGTTGCTCAGTCAGGACTCACTTATGGACGTGGTGGTGGCACCGTCACGGGATACATCTTCGATGACGTATCTGTTGGTGTGCTCAGCATTCCCAGTTTTGTTGGATTTGGCTTGGATATTCGTGATTTTTCTGATACCGTCGGGGAGTTCATCCTCACAGCTCAGAAGAAGAACACTGCCAAGATTGTCATCGATCTTCAAGGCAACACCGGTGGCCTTGTTGAGTTGGCATTCGTGACCTTTGGTCAATTCTTTCCACAACATTATCCCTTTGCAGGAAGTCAACGACGGAACCATAAGTTAGCAGACGTTCTCGGCACAAGCCTCACTGAGTACTGGACTGAGCTAGCTGCGGATGATGAAGATAAGTCCGACCTCGCGGCCAATGAGTGGGTTATTACCGACCGTCTCAATGCCCAGACCAGACAGAACTTCACATCATGGGCTGAATACTTCGGCCCGAGGCGCGAGGAGAACGGCGACACTTTTTCACTTGTCGAGCAATACGATCTTGCCAACCGAGTGTTTGACTGGGCTGCCTTTCAGCAATGGGCCCCGATTCACTATCTTGATGACAATTTTAATTCCAGTGCGCTGCCACCTTGGGCTTCACAGGATGTGGTAATAGTAAGCTGATATTGACCATTCCGCCCTGGGTACCATTTATCCATTCTCAGCAGACGACTGACATGTCCTTAGCTCACCGACGGGGCTTGCTCCTCTACATGTACCATTTTCGTTGAGATGATGAGCCATCAAGCTGGTGTTCGCACTGTCGTGGTCGGCGGTCGCCCAGAACCTGGTCCCATGCAAGCAACAAGCGGTTCTCGTGGAGCCTCGGCCTATTCGGCCCAGTACCTAGACGAGGATATTGCAGTCAGCTCCAGCCGTGTGCCGCACGGAACTTTCCCGGAGCTGAACAATGAAACGCAGCAACGCGACAGCGGAATGTTTCTGATCACTGCAAACTTCAATCTCCGCGACCAGGTGCGACCGGCCACTGACAGCGGACCGCCGTTGCAATTTAGATACGAGGCGGCCGACTGTCGACTCTATTGGACGCTGGAAAATGCGCTCAACGTGACCCGACTCTGGTACGACGCAGCCGGGGCCATATGGGGCCTAGGACTGAACTCCAGCTGCGTTTCAGGGTCGATAGGATATGCATCTCATGGCGTCAATGCTACGACCACACTCGCCGCCCCAGAAAACAAGGCAACACAAGTCCCATCTCTACCAGCGTTGGAGTGGAACAACAACGTACCAACTAGTGAATTAGAGGACTTCGGACTCGTGGACTCGCCTATTCCGCCCACCAGCAAGTACCCTGAATCTTGCCCCATCAAAGATGCCAGAGCACCGGGCCGGAGGGTGTGCGTCGATGCATTACCATATACATGTGAAAATGGTATGAAGGTTGTTAACCCTCCGTACCAATACTTAAAACGGTGTACGTCCGGTCCGCTGAGAGACTCTTGCGGCTATTTCTATGATTGCCTCACTACCGACGACGTTCAGCAGGAATCGTCGTATGGATGGAGGCTCGGCCAAGTATGGGGGGACTTGAGGCAATCTCACATTTTCCAGCAATCCGGCTTTTGCCATCCACATGGGAGCAAGAGGTGTTAAGTGTATCTCGAGGCGTGAAATACATAGGTAGACAGAGATCTTCGACACGCCTCAAATAAAATATGGGATACAGGATTTTGATGTGCATTTGCCTAGCACCATGGAACAACGAAGCACTCTCGGAAGATTACTGCGGTCTCAATCTGATCGGTCCGGACGAACAGGCTTGACTGAAAAAGAGTGAATAGAATACAGTGTTTTTTTTGAATCTTAACTTCCCTGCTTTTCCAGTAGGAACTTGTGATGCGTTATTGAAGCAATCGTGGGACTTGCCTCGGGAATTTAAATCGGTACTCGACATGTAGTGTACTATTTTGGCAACACTCATACCGAATGTTTCGTACAGATTCAGAATACGACTTTCTACCTGCATGCAGATTCTCCATGTGTAAACATATCTAGCAGGGTTGGAAAATTAGTCTATAATTATTCTACAGGATAACTGAAACTGCTCTGACTGCAACCGCAATGTATATACTTATAGAAGCGAAGATCGCGTTTGCAATGTCACTGTAGACCCATGCCTGTTATGTCAATGTGCAGCCAGGCTCCGACGCAATTGGGCGCCACGATATACTTGAGCAGGCGGATGCATGAGCACGGCCACCAGCACAGGCACTGCCTAAATGTCAGCCATTGGGCCGGCATCCTTCTCGCCTGATCATCTGCCCAAGAGCTGACCTTCCTACTAATTCTACAACGTACTTTTCGCTGAGGTTCTGTTTAAATCGTGCAATTTCTTCCTGGGTTTATGAATTACCGGTAGCCGTCACCGTCGACCTGACCACGATGTCGTTTGGATACAGGTATATTACGTCGTTTTTGCTACATGAAGATCACTTGTGACACATATGTGCATTATACTGCGACTTTGTTAACGGAAATACTCGCCCAAAATAGTGTAGGTGACGTCATCGCCGTCGCGGGCCTCATCGAGCGCATCCTCGCCGAAGTCAAGTCCTACCGCGAAGCGCCCCTGCACTTTCGCCGGCTGGCGATTGAGCTCGACTTCCTCGGCCAGGTGTGCAACCAGGTGTTCACGCTGCAGCCGACGCTATCCGAGGAGCGGTCCCAGATCGAGCGCATCCGCGCCATCGCGATGCACTGCCTTGGCCCGCTGCGGGCGTTCGAGGACAAGATGAGGAGCTATGACAACACCTTTGGGATACACGGTGCCGCTTACGCGAGCGGGGTTGCCGCCGCCGGCGGTCTCCTGAAGGTGCGAAACTTCAAGAAGCGCCTTCATTGGTCTGCAATCGCCCGACATGAGGTCGCTGAGATTCGGGCTGTTCTTACGAGCGAGATCTTGGCGATCAATACCCTCGTCACGATACACAAATGGTGAGTGGTATAGCAAAGGCTGCCGCACACAGTAAAGTCTCTTTTTGGAAAGAAAAATGCTAATCTGCTATATGTGATAGGTCTAGCCTCCGGGATCAAGGAGCGCGGAGTGAGGGCCATGCAAAACAATTGAAACAACTGTTGGATACCACTGCAAAGGCTTCTGCAGAATTTCGAAAATCCCTCATCGACGCCAGGCTGGCCTCGGAAAACCTGGAACGGGTCATCAAAACAGTTCAGTTTACGCAAAGTGAACAACTCCAGATACTAAGGACCATTAAGGGCATATCATCTACAACGTATTATAAGGTCCAAAAAATACACAGGCAACAAAGAGCATATGCAAAAGAGTACCAGAAAGCAACCAGCGCCCAGATCACCCGATTTTTCTCGTTCAAACAACACATGGAGCAATGGATCAAGACAATTGTCGAGCACTGCAAACAGATCATCGCCATGGTGCAGAGGAACACCCAGCTCCTGCTATCCATGCACGGTCTTCTGGCCAAGCTGGAGACTTTGCTCGCCGGGTCGAGGGTGGACCTCCCCAGCATCGTCTTTGAGAATGTCCTCGGAATTAGGACGTTGCTTCCATTCCAGCTGTGTGATACTTGGGAGGTCAGTACAGCCGTCAGCTATGCGCCTGGATATACACTCTTCCACACACCAAGTACTAAATACATTCATTTTTGTCCAGGGTTTCACCAGGCTACTCGGAGTCATGTTCTATAACCAGCCAGGATCAGAACACGTGGCAGTCGGAAAGTTGCTCGTGATGCGAAGCAAGACAAACAGAATCATCAAGCCCAAGGACTGGTCTCTTTGTGTTGTACCGGGGGACCAGCTATCCATGTCCGTCGTCATGGAGAGATTCAGTGCCCGCACTTGCCCACGGTGTTTCGCAGTCCTATCAGCCTCTGCTTGGGCCCAGAACACTGGAACAACATGGTAAGCTGATAAAATATGCATTTCGATCAATTCCATCCATTTTCTGATATTCTTCACAGCCCAGACTGCGATCTTTGGCTATCGACACATGGATTATGGCACGCCGCCAGTGGCGTTTCCTCGGATGATGAGCATTCTCCTGTTCCCATGCCACTGCCGGAGAAGATCCAGTTTCGGGCGCACACCTCCCATCTCACAGATTGGAAATTAATATCAGTCCGAGAACAATCTCTATCGCAGGCTCACCAAGCGCGGTTCAGGCGGAGACGTCTCGCGCAAACTTCGGGGGCTGGGCCTGCTGTGTTAACTGGCCCGGGGTCTGATCCCAGCGCAGCGGCCATAGATGATGTCGAATCGTTCCGACGCATTCACGTCCAACCATACAATGGCAACTTCTTAAGGGCTTTGTTTGAAATTGGCGAGAACCTGAGGACCCTGGTGATAGATATGTTGGCTACCGACGCCGGCAAGAATGAACTGATCAACGCGGCTCCACATCGCAGACAGATACACAGACATCATTAGGGACTTCGAGGTCCTGCGCAACACCAATATTTCGCCTTTCTTGAAGATCCAAGAGAAGACCAAGCACATGTCCAAGACCAGACAGATTGTCATGTGGCAATGGGTGCTGAGGACCGCACAGCTCCTTTTCCCGCCGAAACCGTCTTTTCCGATTCAGCCATCAGTTCGACAGGCAATCGCTCCGATCATAGACTGGCTTCAGGAGGGCCAAAATGGGGTGTATGATTTCAGCAGTGGGTCACCTGTATCGCCACTCTTGAACAACAATCGGGACAGGTCGCCTGAACAGCTCCGGATGTTCCATCACTACCATGGCCTCAGAAACCCAAGTCCGCGTGTACGAGATTCGCCGATCCATGCGTTTCAAAAAATACATGATCCTGGTCTTTTTTACTCTCCAAATTGCGCGATTGATCTTGATTCCGACCGTTTCGATACGCCATCGGTGGAACCCTGATGGGACTGAGAGCCATACCACCGACAAGGACGGGATAGGATCTCTGAATTTATCCCATGAAAATGGAACTGGCAGCTGAATTGGGAGAAACTTCGGACCCAATGACAAGTAGTCTGATAGACAAGGGCAGGAGATCATCATGCCCGGCACAGATGAAGAAGACAAGCAGAGAGGGGGTACAGATTCACCTGTGGTTCCAAGCCAGCTCAGACAGGGGAGCTGTCGGTATCAATATAGCAAGGCGGGTGCGTATCTCGAGACCACGTAGCGCAACCAGACGAGATGGGGTTTCCTGAGAGCGCACGACAGCAACGCGCCGTGCCGGCAGGGCGCTACTTGAGCAGAACCTGTAAGTGTGCTTTGGGCACATTCACGAACCGACCCATGACTGAGGAGGCCTTCAGCTTTTTGCGGGTACGCAGAGCCAGTCCCGTCCACAACGGTTTGAGCTTGAGAGGGGCCACTCTGCGGTAAGCTTAACAAGATAGATCTACAGCAACGCTCTAACGTCATACTCTTAGAGGGCTATAAGCCAGCATATCTGAAACTTCTACAGCCTGCACCAACGCGAGTCTCGATGCCGGTGGCAATAGATTCGGTCAAACCCTACTTTGTGAAGGCAGGTTATTCTCGACAATTCGCAAGGCGCTCTCAAAACCCTGTTTCTTCGAAATTGACAAAGTATTTTATCCAGCAGGGATGTGAACCAGGACAGCCAAGTCAGTGTGACCCAATTAGCATCAATTGTGCTAGGACTGTCAATATCCCAGGGTATAGTTGTCGCTAAGTCCTAGGTGCGAACAGCAATGTTCATTCAAACGTTCCCTCTCAGGATCCTATGAGTTTAAGTGGATGGAGTGTATTGCATGTCCTGTGAGCCCGAGAATGTTTATAGACCACAACTTTACCGTCACTAAATCCTATCACATAACTGAGCTCGTTCACTAGATAGGCAATTTTTCCTTGTTTTGACCTTGATTGTCTAAGACGGAAACTGTCCTGATTCCGACGGTGGTGAAATTAACCACTACTCTGAAAGTAACGTCCCCGGCCCAGATTCCGGCCGCCCCCCGATTCCGGCCGCCCTTCCCACACAAACTCACACTTTTCAACCTTTTATAATAGATCCAAATTAAATCCCATAACCCTAACCGTAAGTTTAAAATATAGGATTTTAAAGGGAAATTATAATGTATAAATTAAAAAAACTTTATTATAATTACATCATTTTTAAAATAATTCTTAAAAGTATTATATTAAAAATGTTAAGAATCTTTAATATTTTATATAAGAACCTTATAATTTTTATTTCTTTAAAAGTTTATTTATAAATTAATATATAATATAATATTAAAAAGCATTATATTAAAAATCTTATATTTATAAAAATACTTTAAAATATAATCTTTTTTAATTTCTTTTATAAAAATTTTATATAAGGAAAATATAAACTTATTAATATTTTCTTATAAAAATTTTAAATATATAAAATAATTTATATATTTTATAATAAAATATTTAATATTTATAATAAAATTTAATTATAATTATTTTATTAAAAGAGTAAATATAAAATTAAAAAATATAAACCATTAAAAATTCCTTATATTATATATTTAAATCTTAATATTTTTAATAATTTAAGTTTAAAAATTATTTTAAATTTATTAAATTAAAGCTATATTTTTAAATTTATTTTAATGTAAAAATATATTTAATTCCCTTTACTCTAAATCTAGGGTTAGGGTTGTAAGATTTAATTCAAATTTATTATAAAAGATTGAAAAGTGGGTATCTTATAGTGCCAGTGCACTAGAAAACGACTGGCCGGAATCTGGGCTGGGGACGTTAGAGTAGTGCCTTGCCAAGCCGGCCGCCCCCCCTAACCGGCCACTTCATCGCTCTTAACGCAACAATAAAGATTAATAACTATATACTTAATTTTAGCTATATAGCTTTAATTTAAATTATAAACTAATGCTGCAATTCTTCTTTAAAATATGTATTAATAATATAGCTTATTTCTTAAGGATTTACATTATAGTTATTAAGTAATTATTACCGCCCTTAAAATTAACCTTTACTGCCACTTAATATTCTTTATATATTAATAAATGCCTAATTAAGGTCCCTTTAAATGCATTGCTTTTTTTAAGGCTATAGCTCTTAATTAAAGATATTTAAGCATTTGTCACGAGAGGGGATACAAAGACAAGGCAGCTGTCCTCAATACGTCAATTCAAAGCAAGACGGCGCTACCTTCTATGTAAGGAAGAGGGTTGGTGGAAACTGTAGGCAAGGGGTTTTATACCTGAGGGGTGTGGAGCCCAGAGCCTCAGTGAATGCCAGCAGTCAATGGGGCCCAGTTATACACACACTCACAGCATTTATTTTCCTTTTTAAAAGTAACAATTTTGCTTAATGCATTATTTAGCTACTTATCCATCTTCCTTAATAAAACTTAAAAGTTTCATTATATCTTAATGCTTTTTTTAAAGAGGTTATTATGCATTATAAAGAAATTTAATACTTTTTACAGCGTTTTAATAATTATTATCATTAGCTTTAAGGGCATTAATAATCTTTAAGCTAATTAAATAACTTTTTCTTTAGCTTTTTTTATAACCAACTTATTTAATATATAATTAGGGTTAAAAGGCATCATTCTCATATATAAAAAGCTGCCTTAAATATTCCTTTTTATAAAAGTTTTTTATAATGCCTTTTAATAATGCTTAATTATAAGTCTTTTATTAATAAAAGATATCTTAAATAAGAATATAATATAAGCAGTTTCTTATTAATAAACCTCCTTTAATAATAAAAATAATCCCTTATTATATAACTATGAAAAATATAATATATATAGCGATAAGAAAAGAAAATATGCGTTTTTAAGCCTTTATAAATATAAATACTTTTATATATATTAAAAACTTATTATATATTAAAAGCTATTATTTATATATTATTTTAATATTAATTTTAAGAAGAAATACCTTTATTAATTATTAATAAAAAATCTTTATTATAAATATAATAATAATTAAGTATTTTATTAAGAAATTACTGCTTTTAAAGTAAATTTTTCTTTAAACTTATTTTAAAAGTTAACTACTAGCTCTTAATAATAATAACCATAAAAATAAAGGTTTAACTTAAAGATTTTACCTTTAATATATTTATTATTAAAGATTTAAATATTTTAAGTACCTTATAATAATATATTTTATATTTAAAAATGCTTATTTTATTTATATTAATAATATTTAATATCTTAATGCTAAATGTATTTTTAATAATAATAAAATTATTAAAAAAGCCTTATATAGCTTCCTTTTTAATATTAATTACTTATTAAAAAGCTAAGGAAACCTTAATCTTTATATAAAATTAAAAGTAATTTTTTTTAAAAAAAAATAATATATTTAATTCTTTATAATAATAACCTTAATATTAAAAAGGTTGCATAAAGATTATATAAAGTTATAAATTATAACCTTTATAAAAGGATAATTAATAAACTTTTTTATAAGAATTTAAAGCATAATTAACTCCTTTATCTTTAACAATAGCTTTTGTTTAAATTAATAAGCTTTTTAGCAAGGTTTAACACTATATTAATGGTTATTAAATATATTTCATTTAATCTTATACTTTTTAATGGCTTAATGCTAATTAAGCTTCTTTGTTATAATTTTCTTTAAGGCAGCTATTATAAGTATTTCTTTATTAATTAATAATGCTATATTGAAAGTTTTATATTATTAAAAAAATCCTTTAAAATGTGGCGATTAATTGTTATTTAAGGGGGTGGAGGAAAGTGGGCATGATGACGTGGCCGGTTAGGGGGGGCGGCCGGCTTGGCAGGGCACTACTCTACACCGCGCCTACGTGGACTGCGGGACGAGATGTACTCATATCGTGACTAGTTCAGGCAAACTCCTAGCACTCTGCGCTCCACTATGAGAGCGCCGGTCAACAACTACTTTCTCTTTTTTTTTTGTACCCCTCCAAGTGTTCCCCAGCCCGACAGGCTACGGGCGTGCGGGATGGATGATCTTGCCACAACATAGATGCTCTGGTATTCTGAAGAGACATCTTAACCAAAGTCATCCGCCAGCGCATCAATCTTTACGATGATGCCCGCAGAAAAGTCGAGGGAGTACAGACAGCGGGCTCGAGTGCTCCGCAACAGTACCCCGAGATGCATCCCCCTCACGTGTCTGAAGGTGTTTCCTCCCTGTCACCGGCGATAATCTCCTGCTCCAGCTCGATCCTTACATCATCATCACGAAGCGGGCTCGGGCATTCGTTGTTTGGGGACCCGTAGATGAACCTCATCACCGTCCATGCGCCCTGGTCGTCCTCCCCCTTGATCACAAAGCTCGGGTCAGCGCCCTTCCGCAGGTACTGCAAAGCGCGGTCGAAATGTCCATCTGCACACGCCATTGCGAAGATGTTCCACGGGCCCGTCTCACCAGTGTACACCAGGTTGATGTCTGCGCCGTGTCCTTCCAGGAAGTTGTCCACCAGATCGTAGTTGCCACCAATATAGGCCAGGTGCAGAGCTGTGACACCGTCCTTACTCTGAGAGTCGATGTCGACAAGGTTCTTCTCCAGCAGGTAGTCGATCACCTCTCGCACCCCCCGCCGTGTCGCGACGTGGAGGGCGCTCACCTTTGAGCACCCTACGTAGCCAGCACTGGCACCTCGCTCAAGCAGCAGCTTTGCGGTCGAGACGTGCTTCTGGCATATCGCGTAGTGCAGCGGTGTCCACCATGAGTCGTGTGTATACTCTTCCCACGCGGGGTAGCCTCCGCCTTCGCCCCTGTCGCTGTCCTCCCAGAACTCCGGGCGGTCGGGGAGGCTCGCGGCGCAGCGGACCAGCAAGTTGCAGCAGTCGCACAGGTGTGCTGAATCCAGCTCGGTATCTGCTCCGTTGTCCAGCAGGAGTTCCACCATAGAGTCCTGTCCGCAGTATGCGGCCAGTGCAAGCGGTGAGTAACGAGCTCCGTAAGACTGGACAACATTTGGCCAGTAATAATGATTGGGACATTTGTCAAAGAAGGTATTTTCGATGCTGACGGGTTTACCTTCCTCATCATCTAGCATGTCCACATCGACGCCATTGTCAATAAGCCGTTCGAGTGTTCCGTATTGTCCATGTCGGATAGCCCAGTAGACTTGAGGCCAAATTGTTAGCTTTGACTGAAAAAAGCCCGCTGATGTGGTAATTTATCAATGAGCTTGTTGAAGAATACTCACTAGCCAATCCACACTCATCCCTAACGTGTGATTCGTATGCAGCAGAGATGGCAACACGGTGGTTGCGGCGGCTAGTACGTGCCAGCGAGACGAGATCGCGAACAGACAGACACGGCTGCTCTATGATGTCAAGGAGGAGCTCATCTGGCAGGCGATCGAGGCTCCCGGGACCGTGAGTAGAGGCCATGCTGTCGTTGAGGCGGATGCAAGTCGTAAAACAGTCGTACGCAGATTCGTGAAAAGAGATGTTGCTGGGTAAGAGTTGTCGACCACGGGTTAACGGCCGTGGATACAATTTAGATGTTGATGTCCAGGCTCCAGGTTCTGCTTGTGCCTGAGGCTGCGAGACAGTCGCTCATGGGAAAATAGGGAAGATAAAGAGCATAGTCAGGTTAGTGCACCTAGATAATCTCTCCTGGTCTCTTAAGAGAGCCCCTGCCTGGGACAACTGGTGGCAGAGGTTTCAAGTTGGCACGTGTCTCCCTTGATACAGCTCAAACGGCAGGCTGGAGTGGTTCAGGATTTTCAAACTTACTGTGGATTTCCGTTTCCAAGGTACGTCAGTAACACAATGCTGAAATCCACAGAGAATTCACAACACGGTAACATCGTGGCCTGAAGTGGCCTGAAGTCCAGAGTTCACGTTTATTCGCCACGAGATGTCTTTATCCGGTGGAAGGTGTATCAGCCATCACTTCAAGTTATAAATGCTGTCAAAACACCGCCTGAGGTGACAGAGGCTTGCTGAAGGGTCTCTTTGATTGCCACAGACAAATTTCAGGAAATTGTGACGGATGCACACACTGCTAAAAGACCAACCAATAACACAATCAACTCGCTCTGGGCTCTGGGCTCTTGTCTCACGCTTGCATTCTTTTGCATAAAGTTGTAATGCCTGGAGGGAATCCTTATTCCATTAACTTTTCCCAGCCAGAATAAAGACGGGAATAGAGAGAAAAGTGAGAAAAGGATACTCTATGAAAGGAGACTACAAAGTGTCTAGTAAGTTTTGCGAGGACCTAGGGTCTTGCAGTTGAGGCTCGATGTGAATCGGTGGCTGTGAGGCAAGGCGAGTTGGCAAGGCTGGATGGCCAGGCTAATTGGCCAGGCTGGATGACCAGGCCTAATGGCTCCGGAATCAAGGGCTTCCGTGGGGAGGGGAGGGGTTGTCCCCTGCTAGAGGTAGAGACAATCGGCGGATCCTGGTGATGAGTGAGAACGGAGAACGGACGTACACTTGACCTGCCGAGTGGGCACACGCAATCGTGTCGACTAATTGCAGAACGTAAAGCACATGCACTAAAGAGACTTCCAAGTATTTTAATGTTCGTTTAATTCATTCATCTCATTGTATATACATTTAATGACCCCCATATTGGTAACGTCGAATAGCAACAGGCCATAGCATGGGGTTGATATCGACGAAAGCCAAAGCCTCGCGGGTGCCGCGGGCCTTCGTGGGTTTTGTCATCTCCACCTAAGCCAGCGGGCTACATGTGAACGCGCCTCGCACAGCTCCCTCGTGGTATTGGTTGATCTGCAGGTCAAAAAGTTAGCATCAGGTCCCCAGAGCTCAATATATGTGTGTTGGGAGGGAGACAACTTACGATATCCTGAACACTGGCGTAGGTACCAGCAACCAGAATAACCATACCGATGAGGAAGATGATGCCGTTGGTGATGGCGAGGGGCAGGTTCTCCTTGGAGTGCCAGCTGCCCTTCCTGATGAGCTTGAACCACATCCACGCGGGGAAGTAGAAGGTGAAGCCGCTGATGAACAGGCACGAGCAGATGGACAGCAGGTCGCTGAAGAAAGGGATGGCCTCGGCGATGATCCACGCGATCAGGGTGATGATGGCGATGAGGACGGCCCACGTGATCCAGCCCATCTTGGTGTTGATGAACCGGATGACCGAGTCCTTGTACACGCGCGCGTGGATGTACCGTCCCACCGTCGTGCCGTTGATGGAGCCCGAGATGAAGATGACGGGGAGCGCGATGCCGAATGCGATCTTGGAGAGCATGTCGCCGGCCGAGAGGAGCGCGGGGGACTCGACGGACTGGCCCACGAAGACGTAGATCAGGGCGCCCGTGACGGTGTAGATGACGATCTCGATCATGCCCAGCCACCAGATGGACTTGACGAAGTCCTTGGGCGTGTGCATCTCGTCCATGAAGGAGAACTGGCAGACGGCGAACGAGTAGGCAAAGACGATGTTGCCGAGGGCGATGAAGGCTTCGACGAAGGTCAGGCCCTCCTTGGGCCACGCCGACCAGTCAGATGCGGGAATCAGGCCCTGGCTCTGCTGGACGCCGGTTCCGATGATCGTGATTCCGATGGCGAGGATGATCGACACAAAGTCAATGTATCCCAGGATCGCGACCTCGGCAAACGAGGGCGGAAGGGCCAGCAGAAACAGGATGATGGCAGACACAACGCCGAACACGAGGGAGCAAGCGCCGTTGTCTGTGATGTTTCCAAATGCGATGGCTCCCGTCAGACTGTGCGAGCCGACCAGGAAGATAAGCTGCAGCGCGAACATGACACCGACAAGCTCGTAGCCGAATTTTCCCATGAGCAGCTGTCCGGCGTCGGCGTAGTGCGTGACGTGCGGGAACGCGAGTTTGACCTGGCCGACGACGTAAGAGGTGTAGATGGCGACGAAACCGAGACCGACGCAGAGGATGACACCGGCGACCATGCCCAGGCTCGCGAAAGCCGCAGGGATAGACAGGGAACCAAGAGCAATAGCCTCGACGATAAGGACGACTGTCAGGCGCTTCCAGCCCAGTCGGTTGAATTTTGCGTGGCCCTCTGCGGCCTTGCGCTTCTCCAGGTCGTTCCAGTCCGTCACCTCGCCGACCTCTGTTTGGCCAAACATGCCAGAGCCGGAGCCCTGTTGGCTCTCACTGGCGCTGATGGTCTTCTCGGCCTTCTTGTCGGTGGAGCCCACTTCTTGGGCGGCGGTGATGTTGTAGTCGGCCATTTTGGGATGTGGGGTGGAGTCGTCGGGAATGTTGTCGACTACTTGTGGGGCGGGGGCCGGATATGGGTGGTAGGACTGTGCAGCTTATGTAGTTGATGCACAGCTGGCCAGTCGGTAATGATAAGTACACACGAGACCTGAACGACGAAAGCAAATTCGCAGGTCAGGTGTTGTCTTGTCGTGTGAAATCGAACCACCCAGGTTGATTTTTAAAGCGGTCACGGGGAGGACGTGGCGATGACGTCCTTTTGTCGGCGTTGAGGCTCCGGGCCGGAGTTCAAGGGTGGTGAGGACTGGCCTTGTTGAGTCTTGCCCAAGTGACAGAGATGAGAGAGGAAAGGGAGAAAAGCGGTGGCAAAAGTGCTCGAGGGAGCAGTCAAGACTAAATATGAATGAGGGTCAAGCTTATCTATCATGAGACGAGACCGAGTCGACCGATCAACGGTCAGGGCCCGAATAGGATGTACAACGGACTCGTCAGCGTTCATCCGCCTCTCACGCCCCGGTCCTGTCCTTCCTGTCCTGCCATGCCATGCCATGCCCGGTCGCGCTTGCTGGCTGGATGACAGGGCATGGCTGGACCGGACTGGACCGGTCCTCCAGGAACAGTACTCCAGCATGTGTGTCCATGGTTAATTCCGAGCCAAGGACCGTCGAAATGACCACATGATCTTGCAGCATCCGTACTGTGTGTACTGGCACTACCAGCTTTGACAGCCCGGCAATACCTTCACTAGGTAGCGCGTAGCGTGTTGGGGGAAAAAAGCCGACAAGCGAAGAGACGCCGAGGCGCAACCGACTCGTGCTGCTAGACTGAGCGAGCGTTCCTAGCCCAATTGCGGCCCAGATGGGGTCAGCTGGCGTGCATGACGCACATGGGGAGAGACGATCGCGCCCCTCGGAAGGTGAGAGCAGGTCGCTGCTGGGGCGTGTGGTCTCGCCATTCTGGCCATGTTGGACCCTGACAGCCCGGACCAAGCAGGACCAGGCCCCAGGACAAGGACCAGGAGCGCCCCGCGTGGGGGAGATAAGCACAGATTGGTACGAAAACTTTAGATCTAAGATCTTGTCAGAGCAACTTGGCTTGTGAGTTATGCAAGGGCACGAGCCAGTCGCATTGGGCAATGGCAAGCGGCCGTGCAAAATTGTGCGTGGGAGCAGGTTGTGCGCCGGGCTTGCTGGGCTGTTGTGCGCCGGCTTCTCCCGTGTTGCAACGGCGAGAATCTGGGAATTTAGTCAGGTACCAGCAGGTCAATTTGGAGTCGTGAGGTGGATATTCGCTCGTAACACGGTGGGCCGGAAGGAAAACTCTTATGAAAGAGTTAGCTGACTGGTACCAGGGGCTAGGGTGACGTCGGGAGGCGCATGCGGCTCTGCGGTGAGCGACTTGGCACCACGAGTCATTTGGTGTGTAATGGCAATCCGGAAATAAAATGGGCGCCGCCATGGAAATGAAAGCCTCCCGTAATAGAATCCACCCTTGGCCTGACCCTACCCGCGTAACCCCTGCTCCCGAGGCTTGTTTCTTCAAGTACCGACCCACCCGGCCGACTTCCCTTCTCTCATGATGTTTTGGCCGCTGACCGTACGCAACGAGACAGCACAAGAGCTGGTCCCGTGTTTGTCCGAACTCGAGACGACGACCATTTCTGAATGAATCCTTTATCTCCATGAAGATCTCTTGCCCTGACTCGGCCGGATTTCTTTTTCCATCTTCTGGCCTGTTCCAGAGATAAGAGTTAGAGTCGTCATCCAACCAGAGCCGACCAGAGTGTCAGTCGCTGCTGTAGGTCCAGGGATGGGGCCACCGGGCAACCCGAGTGTGTCCAAGCATCGCGTCGGCACGAGGTCGGCGCATTGCTGCAGCAGGACACGGTTACATCGTCGTCCGTACGCCGTGATAGCTCCAACTCAGTCCCAATCCTCGTGGTTATTCCTTCCATATGCGGTGACCGAAATAGTGTCTACCACGGTTCGCAGGCGCACACGAGGAACATCCTCCTCTCCTACAGCGTGCAGCCTGCGACTTGCCCAAGCTTTCCCTGGTGGCGAGCTTGTGTACCTGAGCGGAGCTTAGCATTGCTGATCGTCGCTGCGGCCACTGGCATGGCTGGCATGGATGCGCGCTGAATAAGCACGCGATCCGCAGCATCCCACATCCTTGGTCAACACTTGCAGCATCGTGACCTCGATTGCTGGCGCTCGATCATCCCTCACCTCGGATCCAATGGGCATCCAAGCAGCACGAGGTCTGATGCTAGCCGAAACCTTAGGATCCAACTCATCGAGGGGCCCCGTAGTCCCCATGGGGTAAATTACTTCTGGATGCGCCTCCGGCATGTCCCGCAGCTTTCTTCGTCCAAGTCCAACCTGCCCAGGACCGAGCGTTGCCGTGATCATCTATTACTTAGCCAACCATTACGAGATGACAAGGCAATACGCACACGGTCAGGATTTGGTCAGCTTGGATTTTGTCCAACTTGCCCTGCACGTGCGCGCTGTTTAATCATACAGAATTTCCTACTTCTACCGAATCTGCTCACATGCGGTGTGCAGTGGCAGACTCCTATTGGTATCTTGCTGACTGGTACGTATTCTCGAGAATAGACTGCTTTGTTGTCCGTGCCTCACGTGGCGCATGAACTCAAACTCATGTGTCAAAAGCCTCCACCTTTCCCCGCGAGTTCGATGATCACTAGTCATCGTCCCCGAAGTCCTCGGCATCGTACTGCTCACCCTCCTCATTCTCGTTGCCCTGGTCGTCGTCGCCAAGACCGAAGTCGTCCTCGTCGCTGTCCGAATCAGAAAGCTCGGCACTGCCAGTGCGGCTGGTCAGCTGGCTTGCGATCTCGCTGCCAATCAACGACCCCGGGCCCTTTCGGTCCATGTTTGTAAGGGCAGCGTAGTTGATCTTGGTCGAGATACCGCGACGGTTGGCCGTTTCCTGGGCGGCCTCCTCAGCCGAGCTCGCCGGTGTTGCTTGACCCTCCCCGATACGTGGCTTCCGCGTGTTTGGCTTGCGCGGCTTCTTGACCGGCGCCATCTTCTTTTTGAATTCCTTCTCCTGCTGGAGGCGCAGCCAATCTTTGTTCTCGTTGAGCCACAGCTGCTCCTTGATCTTGCGCTCGTCCTCGTTCAGCAGGCAGTTGAGCACTTCCGGGTCGTCGGCGAATTCGTCCTCCGTGACTTCGGGCGCATCGAGCAGCTCGTTTTTCTGGTAATTGGCCGGTCGCATGCATTCGAGCTCGTCCATCAGCTCTTGAGTGCGCAGCCCAGCCAAGTCCGCCGCAGCGACCCAGACCTTGGAGTTGATGTCCTTTATGTTGCTGAGCATTTCCTCGGCCATCTTGTTCTCGTCCTCGGTCCACTCCTCGCTATCGTGAAAAAGGGCAGGATTCCGCAGGGCGCTTCCTTGCAAGCGGCTTCGGTGAGTCTTGGCTCCAGGAGCCACAGCTGTGTTCTGTGACCCGGAAGGGCCTGGCTCACCATCACCGGTGCTCAGTCCGGGCAGAGGAACATCACCATACTTGGATGCAAGCGCCTCCACTTCATCCTGTTCGTCTGTAGGTACGGCCTCGCTGATGTCATCTTCGGTGACGCGTTGTGTACCTTCACCTGAGGGGCTGGCACGTCGTTGTGGCAATGCAGGGATAGCGAATCCATCCGCGTCCGTCCTCGACTGCTCGGGTGGCGTAGCGTCGCCTTGGGAGTTGGACTCCGAATCTGGCTGGCCGTCTTCCCGCTGCCTCTTGTCAGACGGAAGGGGTTCGCCGGTCTCTTGATCAATGACCGGTCGCTTGCGCTTGCGGCCAGGTTTGTTCTTCTTCTTCATCTCCTCTTGATATTCTTTGGTTTGTCGATAGAAGGCTGGGGGGTCATGAGACTTTTGTTGGCCGGGGAACTCTCCCTTCATGAAGTCACTGATGCGCATCTGCGCGGCCTCGAGTCGGGCAAACTCATCCAGACGGAGCTTTAGGGTAGCTGTGGTGACCTTGGCGACAAAGGAAACCTCGAGCGGGGTTCGACGATAGTTGAACATCCTGGCAGCGAGGATGAGGGCTGATCCACAGATACCGGCGGGCTTTCGGCCGAGCATCATCCAGTCGCGATCCATTCTCTGAACGATCCGCACAGCAGCCGCCTGAATGGTCTCGGTGTCGTTGTAGAACTCGAGGCGGCTGGCAAGACGCCGGATGATGTCCTCAGGGACCATAGGCTCGAAGGGGTAATTGGCCTCGTCGCCGCCGTAGAGCATGTGGAGCATCTTCTTGAAGGTCCGGCCAAGCAGAAACACGTCCATCTTAACGACGTCGGCGATATCGATGAGCATGACCGGGGTGTTGCGCTCTTTGCGAATGGCCCAATACACACAGACACTGGCAACCCTCGCGACACTTCGCCCTTGACAGAAGTTTCGACCGAGGACTTCCTTGAACTTGTTGAAGGCGGAGAGGTACAGCTGGCCTTCGACCTGGCCCAGGTCAAGGCGGTTGAGCAGACCGATTATCAGGTCGCGACCTTCGAGAATGGATTTGATGCGGTTCTCGCCCTCACCACCACCTGCAGCTCGGCGAGGCCCAAAGCCAGGGCCACCCAGGCGGGGGCCCGCCTGGTCATGTCCAACAGTGACACCAAAAGCGATGGCTTGGCCGTTGGAAGCCTCACCGAACTGAACGTCGGCGACGATATTGCTGTCGTCAACGACGGCACCGCAAGACTGGCAAGTTCCGTCGACAAGGTTGGGTGCCGAACACTTTGGGTTGGGACACTGGGAACGGGCGTTGACGGGAGGCGGGGAGCCGGCAGAAGAAGAGGCCCTGCTAGCATTGTACTCGGCAATCTGCTTGCGCCGGTGATCTCGGTCGTTGATTGCTCGAGCAGGGTTGGGGCGTGTGACCTTGGGTTTGGCGGCAGGCGTCTTACGGGGGTTCCTGACCATGGACGACATGGTGAACGGAGTGCTCTGTGAGCTCCTTGGCCACGTAGAGGCAGACAGTAGCTGGCTCCGCGAGTTGGATCTAGACGAGCGCCCGGGCCGGAGGGATGAGGCCAGGGGCTGAGAAGAGAGCGTGTGAGGCGAGGCGAGACAAGGCCAGGCAAGGCAAGGTGTTGAGTCACCCGCCGAGGGACGACGGTGAGCCCTGCGATCGGCAGAGATCTGTCTTGCCGTGCTCTTCAATACAGTCCAACGAAAGGAGAGAAAGGGGGACGATTGAAGGGGGTGCAGAAAGGGTGTGATGCTATTGGGCGATGGACGTTGATGGTGGAGGGAGTGCTGCCGACACGAGTTGGGTGTTGCGTCGGCGAGATTGCGAGTTGCGCGTTTTGGATTTTGTCGTCTGGTTCAATGGAAAATTTCAGCGTGCACAATGGGGAAAATTGCAGGTCGGCGTGAGCCAGAGCGGGGCTAAACGCATGGGCCCATAGGCATTCCTCTGCGAGCGGACTCGCTTAGTCAGCAACGTCCAGCCTGCTGCCTGCACCTCTGGGATACGGCAGAAGGCACCAGGCGACGGGTTCGAGCACAGCTTGGTGCCAAAAAACTGCAGCTGTGGCCGGCCCTTTTTCTCCGTCAAACACCACAGTTTCCCACACCAAAAGCTCGACCGACTGATCACTTATTACCAACAATTCCATCCAAATCGTATGTTTTCCCAATGTGACGCCATAGCCTGGATTAATGTGACCGTAACATCTAATGATTGTCGAGATATCCCTGCATCTCGTGCTTGCTGTGTCTCTCTCGCAGTCTCACCTCAAGACGTGGTTCCTAAGATGTCGGAGTCGGCTTCTCTACCAACTCCGTGTGCTTCGTCGATTGTGTGCTTTCTGCATTCATTAGAAGTGGAGCGAGAAGTTCCAAGCTAGACGCTTATTGCTGCTTCCGGAAACAAACCTAGAACATGCATTTCCAAACCGTTGCTACTTGGATGCCTGAAGTTTAGGCAAACTTCGAAGAACAAAGGTGGAAGGAGGGCTGAGAACGGGATAACATCGTACTTGATGAGCTGGATCGGCGCACATCTGCGGATCATAATCACTGTAAACTTCTAGACGACGACAACTCGTAAGGCTTTGCCCTTTGCGAGATCCTCTTCACATACTTCTACAAACTGCAGACACAAGGAGCTACTGAGCCGGTCTAAGGCACGGCAGGCAGTCCGAGCTCTGTTCCAGGAGCAGGAAAATTCGATCCTGTCAGCTCCTGATGCCCGAACAGAAAATCGCGATCTGTGGTCAGATTCGCAGAGAAACGCCGATCTGTCAAAGGTGCATATTCGCTTGGTGTCGGAGGAATCGAGTCGACCATACATGCTCGGCCATCGACAACGTGCATGTAATCCGCGTTGATGCCGGGGCTGATCCAAAACAGCATGTCGGGGTCATACTTTCGCTTCAGTTCCGACAAGCGCGGATAGTTGGTACCCCAGAAGGAGGACGACCAGTTAGGCTCAGTGACACTGGCCTCGTTGATATACGTGCCCATGTCGGGAGCCAGTCGTCTCAAGCCAGCAGCACTCGTAGTGTTGGTCTTGTTTGCGATGACGAGCGCTGCTGCTTTCCTCCATCCTGGGTTTGCCGATACCGCACTCCCGTTACCGACACGGTCACCAGGCGACATTATCTGCACACCGATGCTGCCGCCCGTCTCAGCCAATGCCTGCGTTAAGTTTGGATCGCTTAGATGTTCATGGCTCAGAAGGCGGCTGTCGTAAGGAATGGTGCCGCGGTCGTAACGATGGTCGGCTGTTGTCGGTTGAGGAACGAGTGTTCCATATGTGCTTCGAAGAACTCCCTGTAGCTAGAGAACTCGAATGCTCGGGTTTGGAACGGCGTGATTCCTGGGAGACTGGAGACATTCGACAGTATCGGGCCCCAAATTTCGTTGGCCTTGGTGATACCCGCTGGCGATCCTGGGTGAATAGCAAAGCACCTAATGTTGGTAGGGAAGGTGTAGAAAGTCGCACTGATACCCTTCTCTTGAAGATCTTTCGCATGGCCCAGCAGGTATCGAAGAGCCTCACTGGTGGGGTACGTCCCCTGGTCCAAGTCCGAAGCATTCAGAGTAGAGTTGATATACCAATTGAACCCTGCCATTGGCACCGTGACATGGGCTTTCCAGGTCGCCTGAACAATCACGCCAAAAGTGCTGCCTTCGCCTCCTCGAATAGCCCAGAACATATCAGAGTTTATTGCTTTGTTGGCAACCTTGAGTTCTCCATCGGGAGTGACGATCAGCGCCTCGAGCCACTGGTCCCCCTTTCCCTCCATCCCCTCCTCGGTTTCGTGTGCATACTTACAAGTTCCACCTGAGCAGAGATTGACACTCTGTTCGAGCCTACCCGTCGATTCGAGGTTGAAAGTATGCTGAATCAGACTGCGCACCCGTACCAAGTTGCTCTCTTTTCCGGCGCCTTTCAAGGGTTCGGCACCCGCGCCAACATCAGTGTGCCAGAACAACGGTTTGCCAAGGAAGAGGCTTTCTTTCAGGCCGTCCGCTGGTTTAAGGCTTGGTAGTAGATGGAACGAGTAAAGTGTAAAAATCGTATAAGAGTCTTCCGTAGCAAATCGATTAGACCTTGACGGTCGGCAGCAATGTACATAAAGCTTACACGCTTCTCTGCAATGCATTTGGCAACTATGGAAAGCACGGGAGGGGGTTGGGAGCATTCGCCCCCTATAATGTGTTTGAAGGGTTGGGATGATGCGCTATTAGAGGAGAGGTTCGAAGACTTTTGTTTGAAGATTTAGTAATGAGTACCACGTTCATTACCTGAGTCTTTCCAATTTCATCTGATGGGTTCATATCTCATGGGCAGCATTGTGTTAACTACTTGGTCATGTCCTTCCAGATGATTAACGTGACCCGTAGATGAAGTTAATGCAAGGTGTATCAGAGGGCCTATACGGCATTTCAGGGGCAGAGTCCCACATCTCCCAAGTCCAGGCACCTTGCTAGGCGAGGCTGTCTTTGACCTGGAGTTCTTGCGGTTGACACTATCTGATTTCACATCGGGCTCTCACTGGTCCCAATAGTGGACTCAGAAAGGCTTTTACTACTGATAGTACCTGAAAAGGTATTTTTCCGGATCATGCCGAAATGCTACTGTCGTTGTTGAAGACCTACCCAGGTACCTACGTAGATTTCGGGTTCGGCGGGTGAGCCGCGATTCTTTTGAGCGAAAACATAACTTAAACATCGGTGAATGACTTCCGCCCCTGAAATAACCACATGTGTAGCTCGGGAAAGGTTGTACTCGGGCAGGGACGCTGTAATTAAGCCAGCCTGGGCACTGGCACCGTCGGTGTTCTCACCCGTCCGCCTTTCCCTGGCACCTTGGAATGAGCCGGTGTTCTACGCCCACTTTTCCGGTCAGCCAAGACTTGGTTGAAGATCGCAAAGTCTCTATCTCTCAGTGATGTTTCAGTCCGGCCAAACTCTAATAACCTCAGAGTCACAATCAATTGACACCCTCGCCAATCTGAGGCAGCAAGGGTTTCGCACGGTGGGTCTAGATCACATTGAGACCTCGACAGCCTGATCGCTGCTTCGAGGAGGCAACGAGATAATTAGTGAGAGCCCAATGGCCTAATTTTTGTGTTGAACCACAAAATTACCTCGATAGTCACCCCTCCTGTCAAGCGGCCCCTCAAATCTAGAACGGTCATGAGAAGATGTGACTTTGCTAAATGGAGGAGGGGGTAAGTCTAAACTCAACTTTAACGAGTTTGGCTGGTCTCTGTTGAACCTACCCCGGATACTTTCACCAGTAACGTGGAGACAATCTGGCTCATGCGCGGCTGTAATGAACTACGGAATATCGAGACGACATACGCAGCTACGCGGCTCGTCCAATAGCCACAAGTACAGTCCCTTTGGCATGTTGATGATGTTACCTAGCCTTGTGTTTGGACATGGATTTCTTCGGCTGAGATTATTCCACTGTGAGCCACTGTCACAATGTCGGCTTGAAGCATGGTCCTTCTCCGGTTCCGGCGCCAGGTCTACCAAGCTGTTGCGTACCTACTGTGCTGAGGGCTTTGGGTGAGTCTACGAATTTGGGGCACCAGCAAGCCTTGAAATGACACTTTCAGACTTGACCTTTGGCTTGCCCGCAATTGTTGGGTCTTTGTAGCGGTCGAGTATCACCCCGTCGAGCCCAATTTTGAGGCATCGTCATGGTCGTGGGCCGGTAGACGAGAAAGGCATTCAAATCCGGACATCCGTAGCCGATTGTCGGTCGAAGCCGGCGGTAATGCAAACAAAGTCTGATAGAGGCGCCGCAGCATGTTGGCGGTGGAAATGAGTCGCAAGTGATGTGGATCGATGCCGTCTGCTAGAACCAAGAGGGCAAAGTGGTGCAGTGCAGCGCATCGCTATTGGACTCGAGTGTGAATTCAACTTTACGTAAGCGGGCCGAGAGACTCAGACTTCCGCTGAGTCATCTCTGTTTCCTCTTCACATCGCATGTGTCAGCGGCGGCCGCGGCGTTTCTCCCAGAGTCATTCTTGCTGTGCCGCCTCAATGCCCTATGGACGATGCCCCAGAAACGAGCGTGTGATGTGTGCTATCGGCGCAAGGTAAGTCTTGAGCTTTCTCAGAGATATGGCTTACTAACGCATCCCACCATACGTAGATAGAGATGTGCCATCACCGTCCCAGGTACTCCGTGCAATTGGTGCCAACATCATAGTCTTGAGTGCACGTTTGTGAGAAAGCGGCCGGCACGAAAACAGCGGAAGAGGTTGGTTATCATGGCAATTGAAATTTGTTGCTTTCCAACTACAAACTCGGCATCCCCTTGGATCACGGAGTCATTTACTCTAACGTAAACTTCTTCAGGGCCCAGTCGAGTGATGTCCACGAGCTTCAAAGTTGCGCGTCGCGTTGCAGAGCTCGAGGGCGCTCTGCCTCAGCCCGTCGCATCCGAAGCCTCAAGTAATACTGCCTCCCCATCACTGGTCGCCTCATCTGGGAGAACAGCGGCGTCAAGAAGTCCCGCAAGGGACCAAATCACCCCACAGACAGTGGATTCTCAGGTGACGCCTCCCTGCCACGTCGCCATCTCGCCTGGACCGCTGCATTCTGCGGCGAAGTACCTTGGTCCACATTAGTTTTTCAACGGTGTGCCGATATTCTCCGATGAAGGCGAGCGATGGGTTTCATTACAGACCGGGCAGCAAGTCAAAATGGGGTGAATTTCAAATTCCCATCTACAGGCCAACATCGCTTTCAGCCTTGCATCTCGATGAATCCGACTCGGGTCTTCTGGGCCTGATAGACCAAAGCACGGCCAAATGGGTCCTGAAGCCATTCTTTAGCACCTACGCACCACTAGTGTTTCCTGTCATCGACCCTGTATTATTCGAGACAACACTTGACACAGCTTACGAGATTCTTGATGACCCTCTATCGTCGCCCACGCACATTGCTGCCAGAGCTTGTGTTCTGGCTGCTCTTTCCATCGCGGGTCGTATGAAAGTACCAGGTGCGGGTCCCTCACCGCTGGACCCAGAAAGATCCGCCATAAAGGCACAGCGTCTGCTATCACTCATTCCCGGCTACATGAGCCTTGACACTCTTATTGTAGTGCTTATATTAGTAAGTTACCTTAGCCGCAGCTATTGCCATGACCCATGACCAGTGGAGATGCTGACAGCTAGCTCAAAAGCAAATGCGATGCAGTTTGAGTGGTAATTGGCAAGACGCGTCCTTTTACCACTCCATCGCCTGTCGTACAGTTTGCGCCTTGGGATACCATACATGTCTTCCCCCGGATCATGATACTACCACGCCATCTCCAGACCAACGGCGAAGCTGCCATGGCCGCATGATCTTTGGCTTTGCTATACGTCAGATAAAGACCTCTCTCCCCATACCGGCGTCCCTCCACTGCTCATCGATGAGTTTTGTGACCTGGCATTACCGCAGGACTGTTTGAGAAACCGCATTGACCTGCTCACTTTCACAACATCTTTTGATACCGACCAGACAGACCGTGCGTATACAATGCCACCCTTTCCCAGAGATATTCGACTAGCCCAAATTAAAGAACGAATTTGCCGACTTTTATACTCGCCTAAAGCCTTTAAGGACTTTGACAGCCAAGTACTCCTAAACATTCGTCACCTAGATGACCAAATCGAGAACTGGCGTTTGTCTATTCATTCACCCCAGCGTCCCGCTCTTATCTCGTCTTCCTTCTTCAACTCGCTCGGGTCTAGAGCGAAGGACATGCGCTATGTCTACCTCCAACTTGAATATCTGTACCTGATGGTCGTTGTACATATGGCTGTGAGACGATTCAGGGCTGCCAGTACAGATATTAGTAATATAGCGGAGGATCGCCATAGATTGATTCATTCCAGTGTCGACATTTCCCTAGAGGCTAGCCGCTCAATTCTCGAATGTTTGAAAGCCATGATCAAGGCCCTTTCGGAAGAAGCGTTCTGGTATGTGACTATCTCATCCTGCTTTTGGTCCGAATCTCTCGTGGGCACACCGCTCTATCACTTTGACCGTTTCCCCGACACTCACATGCGTTGCAGGCCGGTTGTCCGCTATGCTACGCCCGCTGCCATTACGCTCTTGCTCAACATGCTCGTACACCCCCTAAGCGAACAAGGACAACAGGATTTGGAACTCCTGATTTCGGCTAGCAATCTTGTTCGGTGTATGACAACCAGTCCATTGACTCCCAGTGAGGTTGCATGCATCAAAGACACGAATTCATTTATAATGGAACTTGTGTTTCTGGGCACATGTGCAATCAGAAAGGCTAGCAGAGAGGAGGCAGATCACGGGACCTGACTCCATCCAGTAATTGCGAAACCTCTTTTCTCGTGCTGGTGACAAGGGGATATTAAATCGCCCCGACTCGGCTGTCCTTGCCCACGTCTTAAAGGTCAAGGTATTCGGCGGTGAAGTATGCGAGCTCAGAATGGGGGCCGGGGTAAAAGCTCCAGCTTTCCAAAACCTGGGATGATCGAAGCTCAGGGGTCAAGTGTATCGCTCTTGTGAGCTTGGAGCTCAATGGAGCATTATAATGACTAAGCGGAGGCGGTCTTCCTTCCTCCTGAGCGCCTCAGGGGTTACTCAGCGGCGATTAGTCCCTCTCCGCCATTTGCATCCTAGGTTTATTTAATTATTAAATAAATGCAGAGCATCGCCCCAGGACTGTGCTACAACCAGAGCTGAGTATTATTACTCGTGCTTTCAGGCAACAACCTTCCATCAAGCCTCAACCTTTTCTTCAGCCGCCATGACGAAACTATCAGCAACTTGGACACAGCTCACTCAGAGTGCGCGCCTCCAGCGCTCTTCACAGTGTCTCTCAGTCCTAGGTTCCAACATTTTCATACTTGGTGGTGAACTAGTGCCGCGTCAACCAGTCGACAATCGACTGGACGTTATCAGTCTCGGGGCATCTAAAGGTGGGTGGCTCGCCATCACTTTCCATCTCGTGGCTGCTGCTGACCGCACAAACCCCCAGCCGAGGTCTCAACACTCGACGCTCCACCAGAGGCCCTGACACCATGCGGCGGCATCGCGATGGCACCCGTGGAGGAGGACGGCGCCGTCTGGCGCTACACGCCCTCACAGCCGAGCTGGGAGCTCCTCAAGCCCGCGGACCCGGAGAGGCCCTTCCCCGCCCGCCGCAGCTACCACGCCATGGCGTCGGACGGGTCCGACCTCCTTTTCGTCCACGCCGGGTCCCCGAAAAGGGCCGCCTGCAGGACTGGTGCTCCTTCAGCCTCGGCTCGCGGGCGTGGAGCGAGCTCGCGGCGGCGCCGGAGCCGGCGAGGGGCGGCACCAGCATAGCTTACTCGGGCGGCAAGCTGTACAGGATGAACGGGTTTGACGGGACGACCGAGCAGGGGGGCTTGGTTGATACGTATGATTTGGCCACGAACGAATGGTCGTCTTTTGCGTTCAAGTCCGATGGGAAGAGCGGGCCTGGGCCGAGGAGCGTATCTACGCTTGTGGCCGTGACGGTCAAGGGGAAGACGTATCTCGTCACTATGTTCGGGGAGTGTGATCCTAGTTCTCTAGGTCATGCCGGTGCTGGGAAGATGCTCTCTGATGTGTGGGCCTTCGATGTCGATGGTCAGGACTGGGTGAGAGTTGAGACGACTGGAGGCAGCCCTGCCCCAAGGGGTTGGTTCGATGCCGATACCAGGGTTGTAAAATTAGTTTTGAGTTTTAGTTAAACTAAATGTAGTTTTTAGTTTTAGTTTTAAGTTAGTACTTTTTTAAAAACTTAATGTAGTTTTTAGTTTTTAGTTAAGCTTATTAACTAAAACTAAAAAACTATAAACTAAATTAAGTTTAACTAAAAAACTAAAAAATTAAATTAATTAAATGAAAAAGAATTAAAAGAATTAAAAGAATTAAAAGAATTAAAAGAATTAAAAGAATTAAAAGAATTAAAAGAATTAAAAGAATTAAAAGAATTAAAAGAATTAAAAGAATTAAAAGAATTAAAAGAATTAAAAGAATTAAAAGAATTAAAAGAATTAAAAAAATTAAAAGAATTAAAAGAATTAAAAGAGTTAAAAATAAAATAAAATCTATTTTAAGGGTTATTTAAACCCTTAGCTATTAATACATGATATAGCATATAATTATAAGCAAGGAATTTACATTATATTTATATATTAATAAATTAATAAGCATTATTATAATTATTACGAGCAATTATTATAAATTTTATTAACGCTATATATAATTATATTATATATATTATGGAATTACGAAATATATATAATTTGGCTTCCTTATAAGTATATATAATGTATATATATTATATATAATATATATATCCTATACCCCCCCCCTTCCCCTTACTCTTAACATAACTACCTAAATATAACTTTTAATATTTTAATAGTTTATAAAGCTATAAATATAAATAAAATATTTTTTAAAAGCTTATATTTTAATCTTTATATATAAAAAACTTTTAAAATATATTTACTCTTTAAAAAAATAAATATTTAACTTTAATTAAGTTTTACCTTAAATAAAAACTTAAAATACTTTTTAATAAAATTATATAATAATATTAGATTTTTTTTTAAATATAAATATTATATTTTTATATATATTAAAAATTTCCATAAATAATAAATAGATTTATTTAAATAGATTTATTAAAACTTATATATCCTTATAAATACTTTAACTTTAAAAGTAGCTATAGGGCTTATTAAGGCTTATTTACCCCTATAAATACTATAACTTAAAAAGTAGCTATAAGGCTTATTAAGGCTTATTTGCCCCTATAAATATTATAACTTAAAAAGTAGCTATAGGGCTTATTAAGGCTTATTTACCCTTATAAACACTTTAAGTTTATAAGTAGCTATAGGGCTTATTTTAGCTTAAAACAAGTTCAGGGTAATTAACTATCCAAATTAAATAGTTTTAAACCCTGAAATTCCGTTATAATAAAAACATATATTATTTAAATTTAAATTAAATATATTTAAATAATTATATAAAAGATATATAAGAATTTTCCTTAAATTATTCTTTATTTATATATATTTTTATATTATTTTAAAAGCTTATTAATATTTTAAAAATTAAAATATTATATATTTCTTTAGGTAAATATTTATTAGGAATTATGCACTTAAAGCCATAGGGAATAGAATTGCTTAATAAAACCAATCTAAATAGGCTGGCGCAACCTTTTAATGCACTGTTCCTAATAAATAGTAGCTATAAATGGTTATCTTAGCTGGTAGCTTGGCTTATAGCTATTCATGCCAAGGTTGCAAGTTTAATCCCCGTTATGCCCGGGCCTTAAGCGTATTAGCATTACTAATGGGAGAATATAAATAACAGCCCGTGGATAAGGTGCGGTAGCACTAAACCAGCGATACTTAGGAGGCCCTATAATAGCTTACGCGGACATAAGTTACTTTATCCATAATACCCTAATTGTTAAGAATTATGCACCTAAAGCCATAAGGAATAGAATTGCTTAATAAAACCAGTTTGGACAAGCTGGCGCAACCTTTTAATACACTATTCCTAATAATATTTAGCCAATTCGGAGGAATAAACTATTCGTTTTTTTTTTTTTTATATATATATAAACCTTTCTTTCTCTCTCTCTCTTTCTCTCTCTTTCTTCTTTCTTTATCACTCCTTAAGCCTACTCTACCTATTCATTATCTCCTTAAACCTTAACTACCTATATACTTTTATTATTTTATTTATTATATATAAATAAAATGTTTTTTTTTACTCCCTTATCTTTTATTAATTCTTTAATAATTTTTACTAAGAATTATAATATTTCTTTTTTAAAAGAAAATTCTTAAACACCTTTTATTATAAAAGATAAATTTAATTCCCTAACTTATAAACTCCCTCCTCTTAAAAAAATAAATATTTATATTTTTTAAAATAATTTATTTATTTATATACTCCTCCCTATTAAAAAAGGAAAATTAATAAATATTAATATCTTATTATTACGGTTTGGGCTTTGCTCATTGTAATTAATTAATAGGCTTTAGCCTTATAAGAATAGGCTTTGGCATGGATGTAAATAAGGAGTAAATCTTTTCCTCTGTACTTTAAATATAAACCCCATTTAAATACCTTATGGTAAACAACTCAAGGCTAGCCTATAATATATATTTAAAGTCCTTTTGTATTATAAACTTATAATGCAATTATATAAAACTTAATATAGCAAAACTTAAAAAAAATAATGATAATCCATTAAGCCTTTCTTTATTTAAAGGAACTCTTATCTTAAGAATATTTAGTAACTTAGCTAGTAAAGATAAGGGCTAAGTTTGCAGTAAATAGGAAAGCAATTAGCGCTAAAAGGGCTTAATTCTTTTATATATTTAATTAACTAGGAACTTTCCGTAATTAATTTTTACTTTATATTAATTTTATAAAGATATTTAAGGGGTAGTTAAAAAGCTTTTTAAAGAAGGTTTACTTTGCATTTAGGGACTTTTTTAAATAAAGGCATGCTAAGCTTAGCTTAATTACGTTATAGCAGTATTATAAGCAGGAAATAATAAAATTTCTTGCTTAATTTAATTAATTAATTTATATAATAAAAACTTAAAGTTGGCTAAATAAATATAAAATATTATTAATGGCTAATAGCTTAACCTTTATAATAAAAGCTTAGCTTAATTATAAAAAGTAGTTAAATATATTTAAGGCCTTTTACTTTACCTTATAGCAATATAAAGGCGTTTTTAGCGCTGCAATAAGGAAAAATAATACTTAACCTTAAAAAAATAAAGTAATAAATATTAATATTGCGATAATCTTAATAAGTAAAGTTAAGTATTTTATATATAATTAACTTAATTATTATAAGTATAATTACCTTAAATTGCTATAAGAAAATAAAGATATAGCTTTTATTAATTAAGGCTGGCAAGGGGGAGGAGTTTATTTAAGGGGGTGCAAAATTTTTTCTATAAGATAGGGCTTAAAAGTAATACTAGCTTAGCGTTAACCCAAGCTTAAAGTAGATTAGCTGCATGCTAATTAATTTAACGCCATAAAAATGCTTAAAATCTAGGAAATTCCCGTTAATAAAGCAAATTACCTGCAATTAAGCGCTAATTAATCGCGAATTATATAATAAATTTATAGTTTTAAAGTTTTAAGTAAGGAAGCTTATGCAAAAAGCTTGTATTAAAGAATTATAAGAATGCTGTTAATTTAGCCGCTAACTTATGCTTAAATAATTATTTTTTATTAGCTTACTTTAATTAACATATTAAATTATAAGGGCTAAGGCATGCTAATTATAAATAATAAGCTAGGCCTTTAATATAATTAAAAGGCGCTAAGGTATAATTAAATAACTAGGTAAAAAGCGATATTTAATTTATAATTAAACCATAATGTTCTTTATTTTTTATTATATAGCTACCCTTTAAAGCTTGCCATAAAAACTTAAAAAAAGAAGATATATTATAATTTAAACTTTGCTTATTGTGATTAATTAATAAGCTTTGGCTTTATAAGAATAGGCTTTAATGTAAATGTAAATGGAGAGTAAACCTTTTCCTTTATACTTTAAATATAAACCCCATTTAAACACCTTACGGCAAATAACCCAAGGCTAGCTTATAATACTTATATTTAGTAAGTTATTTCTTTAATCCTAAAAGCATATAACTTAATATAAATAAAATTTATTTTTTTAAATATATTTTATTTATATTTAATTATATTTATATTAAATTATAATTAATTAAATATAATATAAAGTTATTATCTTAAAAACCATTAATAATAAAAATATATTTAATAATATTCTTTAAGAACATTTAATTATATAATTAATATATAAAATAATTTAAGAAAGATATTATTTAAAGTTTTTTTTATTAAATTAATATCTTATTTAGTTTTTAAATTAATATTTATTTAAATATTCTTATAAATATAAAGATAATTTAAAGCTTTTTTAAACTTTAAATTATTAACGTTATTATAAAGCAAAACACCTTATTACTCCTTATAATAAGGAAAGTAAAAAGACTTAATTAAAAAGTAAATATTTCTTTTATTTTAAATATTAATATAAATATTAATATTATATTTAAAGGTTTTTTCTTTTAATTTCTTTGCTATTTTAGCAAAGAAATTAAAAGATAATTTTATAAATAATAATACCTTTAAAAAGATTTTAAATTTTATTATTAAAAATAATTTATCTTTTAATATATTAAATTTAAAGTCTTTTTAAAACTTATTATCTTACCTTAACCTATAAGTAATTTTCCCTTTTTATTATTATTTTCTAAAAAAAACCAATAAAATTCTAAATTTACCCTTATAATAAATCATTTAAAAATTAAAAATATTTTAAATAATACTTTTAAAATAAATTTAATAAGGCTTAACTTAAAATTAAAAGAAAATATTATCTTTAATGGTAAATTTTCTTTTATTTTTAATTATTGGACTTTTAAAGCTAATATAGCTTATTTAAAGGTAATAATCTCTTATATTAATTTAAAATTCCAATTAATATATAAATTAATTGGATTTTTTAAGTTAAAAGAAAGATATATTAACCTTATTCTTTTTAAAGAATTTTAAAAGTTTATTAAAAGTTATCTTAATATAACATTTTATTATAGGTTAGCCTTGAGCGTTTATTAAAAGGTACTTAAAAGGAGTTATAAATTACAATATTTAAGAAATAAGTTAAGCCCTAAAAGGGCTTAAC